ACAAATAGTACCAAAAAATAGAAGAAAAAAATAAATAAAGTGAAAGGCGTAAATATTCTAAAAAAAGAATGAAACGCCGATAATACCAAACAACAACAACAACAACAACAATGAACTGACTTTGTATTCATGTATAACCCTGGTTTATGTTGTTTTTGGGGAGGGAAGGGTCTTGTTGTTATTGCAGTTGTCGTTGCTGTTTTTTTAATTTTTAAATGGGATCACGTTCCGACATTCTCATAAATAAAAATCATATAACGTAAAGCCAGACTTTACCTATCTGAAACACTCATTCAAAGACAACAATCATGCACGATAAAGGAATGGACAAGAATATGTGATAAAGATGTCACAGACAAATAGATAATTATAGAAATGATTGTTTCTCTCTCTTTTTCTCTCTGCTTATGTGTCTCTCTCTCTCCCTCTATCTCTCACCCGGTCGCTTTGTCTGTCTATCTGCCAATTTTGTTCCACCGTTTGCTTGTATGCCGGCACCATTCCTTTTTTGAGATAAATTATTATAAAATAATGATGATGTACACACTTTATTATACCTTATATTTATTATAGGGAGTGAAGTGAAAAACGAGCGGCTGATAATGTCTAAATGCGAAGAATATTACTGTACAATAATTATATTTCCAAAGTAAAACTTTTGAATGAAAATCTCTGTTGCAACAAATTGATATAAACACTGTTTATTATGCTATATTGACAATACTATTATACGTCGGACATTATACTTCAGCGAAAAGATATCTATATGATAACAAAAAGGACAGACTAAAGGCGACAAAAATCGGAGCTGGGGTGGGGGGGGGAGGATGATCGGAGAGACAAATATCATATAAATAAATACAGTACGGACTACATCCAACTTTCTATCTCTCTCGCCCCCTTCCCTCTCCCCTCTCTCTCTCTCTCTCTCTCTCTCTCTCTGTCTTTCTGTCTATCTGGCAATGTCGTTTTCCATCTTCATCTTTTTTTATAATGTTTTCTATTCCTCCATTTGCTTGTACGCCGGCAGCATCTCTTCCTTGAGATTAATTATTATAACGTAATTATCCCTGATGATGTACTTATTATATCTTATATTTATTATAGGAAACGAAATAGAGAACGAGCGGCTGATAATGTCGAAATGAGAAAAACATTACTGAACAACAATTATACCAAGTAAAACTTTTGATTGTAAATCCCTGTTGCATCAAACTGATTGACACAAAAATTGTTTATTATGCTATATTGACGGTACTATTATACGTCAGATATTATACTTTAGCCCAAAGATATAAATAAAACAAAACAAAAAAATGGAAAGAAAAAATGTGAGCTTGAGGGGGGGGGGGGGGGGGGGGAGTCGGTGAGAAAAATATCATAGTAATAAATACAGTACAGACTACGTCCAACTTTCTATCTCCCCTCGCCCCCCCCCCCCCCCCCCTCTCTCTCTCTCTCCCTGTCCGTCTGTCTCTCTGTCTATGTCGTTTTCCATCTTCATCTTCATAATGTTGTCTATTCCGCCATTTGCATGTATGCCGACATCATCCCTTCCTTGAGATTAATTATTATAACATATCCTTGATGTTATACGTCGGACATTATACTTTAGCAAAAAGATATAATCAAACAAAAAGGAGACAAAATAAAGAAGAAAAAAAATTAGAGTTGGGGGGGGGGGGTGACCGGAGAGACAAATATCATTAAATATCATTGTACGCATATTTTATTTGTTTTGTATGTAATGGAAAGAGCTAAATGAATGACAGAGATTAGAACAAAATCATAATTCATCACAATCATCTCTCTCTCTCTCTCTTTCTATCTATTTATCTATCTTTCTCTGTCTGTCTCTGTCTGTCTGTCTCTATCCTCCCCCTTCCCTCTCTGAATACGTCAGGAATTTCGTGAAATTGGAATTGTGCTTCAGTGTATTTTATTTCCGTATCGCGTTGTTGTGTTTGTTTTTTGTTTTTTGAAAGGGTGCGGCTAATAAGGAGTTAATCGCCGTAGTATTGGTAGTCTTTTATTTATTCGAAAATAAATGATATTGAAAATATAGTAATTCATTATATTACGGAACAATAAAGAAAGAAGTGCAAACAACGTGATAATTCACTTTATTTGTCTTCGTCTCCATCTGTGTCCTTGTTCAACCTATCGTGTCAATAATAGATAATCCTCGTTTCATGATCAGTTCTGTACTGAGATGGCATGTACATGCATACATGATAATGATGATGATGATGATGATGATGATGATGCTTACAATATTGTAATAAAATAGTAATAATAATAATAACAATTATTTTCTTCATCTTGCACTCGCTTTTCTTCATTGCCAGAAAACTGGTTTTATGTTGCCTTGCATTTTTTTTCAACAATGGTAGCATCTTTGCCCGGGAAAAGTCTCATATTCGTGGCTTTACCGCCGGAGTTGCTCAAGACAAGAGTAATATTCCGTGGGGAGAGAGAGGAAGAGCAAGGGGTCGTTTTTCACTGAGAACATAACATTTGAACATTTCATATGCCCGCTCAAGCCAAGACCGGCTTTAGGTTGATCAAGATATTTTACTTCAACCTGCTCTAAAATTGTTACATGCCCTCGTAAAGGTGTATAAGTTAGAGTGGTTGTTTGTATTGTAATGTAAATTGACCTATTTACGCCTACATCCTCTTCTTTCAAAACGGCAATCTTCCAGAGTAGTTACTTCTTTACATTCTTTTGTTCCCCCTTAGCGTGGGGCAGCTGAGGGAGCCTGGATAAGCCTTTCATAAAAGAGGAGGTCCATACATGAATGATTCGCTAAATTGGTCAAGTTGATAAAATGAAAAGCGTATTGTCATGTAAATACAATGACGTAAAAGATAGCTGTGGAGTCAAAACTTTTGAGACAACAGGCTTTATAGATAACTTATGGAAATATCATCGAATGTCGTTGTTTCATATTCTTCATTTTCTACGTCCGACGAATACTCTTCTTCGCTTGATAAGTCCATTTTAGCATTTTCTGAGTCCGAGTCAAGGATCGCTTCTCGAGCATCTTCAACGCTAAAAATAGGCTTTCTCCGATGACGAGACATTTTGAGAAACTATCTTACATAGATAAAGAGCAGTTATAAGCAAAGAATTGAGAACTAATTTGTGCAACCAACTATCATGAAAATCAAAAAGCTGAACTAAATAGTGAAACTCCGACACTTTATAGCACGATAAGTAAATAATAGCCGACAACCTTGAAACGAAACAATGGGATGGACTATATCGAGACTAGCTAATCTCCCCAATAATAGGTCGGCCCGGTACCCTGTATACGTACGCATGAGTAAACTGAACTGAGAGCGCTAGGTCGAACGAGACTGTAATATACTATAAGCTTTTCAATAATCAGCCCGTTACCATGAATAGGCGTCATGACCATATAAGGCCAAGGCTCATGCATTGAACGGTGTTTCCGCGCGTGCCGAGTACAAAGGTATCCAGAGCGAGTGTGGAATTCGCTGCTTGTAAAATCATTATGTCCGGCTTACACAGTCCTAGGCATAGTAGACCCAGCTAGCTAGCAGCAGCGAATCCGAAAATCTATGAAAATAACGTAAACTGACTTGCATGGGCATACGAATATCCTGAAAGAGGACTCGTGCATTCTCATGCTAAACTTGTAATAAAACAAAAATTACGCATCTACAGTCGGTAAAAAATGAGATGCATGTAGCCAAAGGTTCAAGGTTTGTATACAGGTAGTTTATATTGTATTTAGAATGTGAATAGATGTACTTTTCTGCAATAAAAGAAGTCCTTGCTCGGACCCGAGAAATCTCGGTTCCCGTTTGTGAGTACGTACCTCGGGACCCGAGAAATCTCGGTTCCCGAGTTGAACGGGTTAACACATTTACATGTATCCCACCACAGGCCTTGTTGATGTGAAGCTTGGAAAGCTTTTCTCTAACTCTGGAAGGGGAAATCTCAATGTCATATACAATGTTGTCGTGTGATATCTCGGGAAGAGGTACATGTAGATTGAGATTAAGTTCAAGTTTGTGGTTACAAAAAATTGAAGGTGAATTGTACTACAAATGTACTCTCTTATATACATGTATATTTGTACAACATTTTTGTTATTACCCCTTACAACCTCACAACACAAAAAAGCATTTACAATAAATGACATAACATAATGCCGCCCTCCTAAATACATGTAGGAGAACCTCTGTAATAACCTCACAGAACAACAAAAAGAAAAACATTTAAAAAAACAAGGCATTAAAACGATAGATTCAGAATTGATTTTTTAGCACTCAAATAAAAATATTCAATGTATTGAAAAGGAAATGCATGGAAATCAATGTGCACAAGCTACAGGTTCGTAATGATTTTATCACAGTTTTCTTTCATAATCACATTACGGCTGCAAGATTTTTAACACAGAGTTATATTTTGACCAGAAAATCCTGAAAAAAAAACTTAATTAAACGCATTATACTGTCAAGCTGGTAAGTGAAACCAATGTATTTTAGCCTATAAATTTTAGAGTATAAATTAAATGCATCGGATATCAGGCCTTAAATTTCGATATTTTTAGGGCAAGGCCACTTTTCTGTAGGGCACATTCCTATATTACAGCACAAATAGGAAGAATTGGAAAGGGCACAAAAAATCTCCAAGGCCAATGAGAGGGGCATTGAGCCTTTTGAGGCCAATCAAAGGGGCATCCAAGGCCATGGCCTTGGTGGCCTTGGATTAATTTAAGCCCTGGGATATGCATCCGCTAAAATGAAATTAAAATTTACTGGCACAATCGTGCCAGTTAACTTTACACAGCAGATCGTATGGCCCGCTTTTGTCTCTAGACTAAAGAGAGGAGCCGACCCTACCGAAATAAGAGGACCGGTCGGTGCGCCGCCGGCCGGAGCGGCTGGAGCGGCTGGCACCGATGGATTCACAAATGGTAGATCGAGCCGAGTGTGAGGAAAATACATAAATAAAAGCAGCTTACCAAGTATAAAGAGACTGTAGAAAAAGTGGGTGTCCTCTGGAGTCCTAGATCAGATGCCTCTTTTCGTGCCAGAATTGATTGCAGAAATTGTGCTACAAGTACAACTTGTGAGATAATATGACTGTGCATCCACTTCTTTCATTGAAAATCTTCCGCTAATTTTCGATATTTGAAAAACGACACAAGAGGGCAGCATCATAATAAATTAGGACATTTACAAAGCTGCTACATAAATTCCTCCAATTTTATTTTCAAAAGTCTTGAATGTCATAGCAGCAAAGTTAGAAATTTGGGTTGGGAGGTAAAAAGAGGGGGCGGGGGGGGGGGGGAGTCGGCGTGACCCTTTCCACACAATATTAAACACTTCTAGATCTATAGACCTCTAGGTTAATCGGGCTTGGTTCTATATAAGGGTAGCCTCCCCCCCCCCCCCCCTCCCCCCACACACACTCCGGGGTCGGAGGAACCGCATTCGTGTTCCCAAAATCTCCATTAAAGGCTAGCCCGTATAATACAACAAAATCAGGCCCGTATTGACTTTGCACACCTGAGATAGGGGGATGCTTTCAAAGGGAGGGAACATGCCTGAGATAGGGGGATGCTTTCAAAGGGAGGGAACATGCTGCATACGCGTACCAGTAAATAACGCTAAGTGGGGGGGGGGGGGGGGGGGGGCGTTGATATTATGATATTTTTTTTGTTTATATATATCTATTTATCTAAGTATCTTCTTCCGGTTTGGAGGTTGATTGCAATATCTCTTCATTTCACTCTATCTTCTGCCATTCTGGTGCACTCTTGCAATTTTAGTCCACTCCAGTTCTTGACATTCTCTTCCTTCCAATACCCTGGTCCAATAATAATAATAATAATATTGGATTCTTATATAGCGCACGTATCGACCCTGCAAGGTCCTCAAGGCGCTCCAAAATTACCCGGCTATGCTAGGCTGCCGATTTCGACGCTCACAGCATTTTAAGGAATTCCTTCCCACCGGTACCCATTTAACACCTGGGTGGAGAGTGGCAAGTATAGATCAATGTCTTGCCAAAGGACATTAGTGCCGCGGCGGGACTCGAATGCATCCTGGTGCCTTATAACATGACCAAAGTATTTGATTTTTCTCTCCTTAACTAATTCTACTAGTGCAATTTGTTTAGGCCCTGCCATGTGCAATATCTCTTTGTTTGTTTTCATTCGTTTCCAGGAAATTTTCATCATTCTTATATGTAGATCCACATTTCAAAAGATGTTATTCTATTTTCCATGGCCTCGTTTATTGTCCATGTTTTTGTAATAGGACAGACCATACACAAATAGTCTCAACCTAAGCGCAAATTTCACCTTTCTATTTGTGAATAATCCTTTCATTGCCAGAAATGTATTCCGAGCAATTCCTATTCTTCTTTTTATTTCTGCTTCGCATCTGGCATCTTCTGTGATATTTTGTCCTAAGAAGATGTAATTACTGACTTGCTCAATGATAATGTCCATCGAGTTTCAAACATATTCTAGGCTTATTCTTTCTTCTACTCAAAATCAGTGACTTAATTTTCTTGACATTCATGCTTAGACCAAACTCATCATTTTACAATATCCAATACATGTTGTAAATTTGATTCATTCTCTGCGCAAAGTAGGCCTACAGTGTCATCAGCAAAACGTAAATGTAATAAACATAATTATTGCTGAAATCATTAAAGGGAACCAAAACCTTCAAGTTACTTTTATTGTAAAGTTTAGGATATTTGAAAATATCAGTGAAAATTTGAACAAAATCGGGCAAGGAATAAGGAAGTTAGAGCTTTTTTTAAAATGACTAGTCACTAGAGGGCGGTATTCAATTTGATGACATCATCTGTGGACAACTCTCCATGCCTTTTGTACATTCAAATTTCATGTTTTTCCTTCCTTCTCGTGATTGAGATAATCTACTCCCCTGAAAGCAAGATATAGAATGCTAAATTATATTCTACTTTACATGTTATGAAGTCGGATCAAGAACACAAATAAATACGAAGAAAACGAAAAAAATTGTGAAATTTTATGTACAAAAGGCATATGGAGAGTAATTGTCCACAGATGATGTCATCAAATTGAATGCCGCCCTCTAGTGACTAGTCATTTCAAAAAGCTCTAACTTCCTTATTCCTTGCCCGATTTTGTTCAAATTTTCACTGATATTTTTTAAATATCTTAAACTTTACAATAAAAGTAACTTAGTATGAAGGTTTTGGTTCCCTTTAACCCATGGATGATTTGAATGGGGAGAATTAACCTGCATGTGCCTTGGCGTACTTGGACTCTTGTATAGCCTACGTCCTTGTTAACTTTATGTATTGTAAGCCAGTCTTTGGCTAATTCGGCTTCCGATTCGGGCCTTGATCGTACAATCCCCGTCTCGATTAGAACCGATATATATAACCTCGTTATTTACAAAATCAATTGGCACTTCTTCTGTATGACCTGAAGAAATCCTTGAAATCTTAGTGGGTTAATCGAGTCCCGGGGTCGAGTTAATATTGATCGAATGATAGTTTGCCTTTGTGACATTAATATTGACAGTTAATGAGTCATAAAAATATGTTCTTGCTGCAATCTTATTCAGTCTTAACACGCATTGTATATACAAATATATGTAACATTAATTACTATAGTAAGTTTATACTATTATTGTAAAGTTGTGATCGAATAGGCCTTTTTATGTCACAGGGCCTTAATCTCCTCGTAATGATTTCATCCTCACTGTCAAGAAGCATGATTGGAAATCAATTTCTCAGGTGTCGAAGAAGGCTACCGACAAAACCATGAATGCATCTAACACTTTTTGTGCACAATTTCACAGTTATAAGATGTTATCACCATCGAACAATAAAAAGGATATCTGTCTTTCTAAAAATATATATTTTCCAGTGGCGGATCCAGCAATTTCTTACGGGGGGGGGGGGCACAGAATCGCATGGGGGTGAAATACGATGGAGCGAAGCGACAGCGGCGAGGCGTCAGCGCCGAGGGAGCGGAGCTACGACCAAGCGGCTTGGGTATGGGAGGGTGTTCCGTACTCCGAACCCCCTCCCCGAGTAGGAAGCATTTGCAATTTTAGAACTATACATTAGGCGCATTTTCAGGCACTTCCTGGAGTAATATGACGTAAAATTGCTTTCTCCTACCCCCTCCAAGAGTAGGGATCTTTTGCAATTTGAGAACCACATATGGCGCATGTTCACCGGCACTTCCTGGAAAAAACGAGGCCTTCGGATTGGTTAGAAGTTAGAGAAAAGTGATCTGGCACGTCGCGAGACGTTGTAATATGTTTCGTTGCTGCACAATGCACGGAGGCGGTGGTCGGATACTTTATCAGTAGTACTTGCAAAAAAGATCTCGAGTGTATAAACTGTGTTGTTATCCCATTATTCTTTTAAAAGAAATGCAATTCCTCATGCTCTCGCACCTCTCTTTTATCGTTGTTTAATTCTCTTTCATTTTTTTTCTATCTCCTTTAAACTCACAAATATTCTCTCTTTCCCCCTTTTTTTCTATATCTCTTTATATTTGTTCTTCTTGTGCTTTTTTGTTGGGGGGGGGGGGGGGGGCTACACGCCTGGCAAGAGGGACCCCATATTTTGTGTGACGTAATTCTCAAATGAAAGTTGATTTTGAGTTTGCTTCTCGTTTATAGTTTGATGGAAAACTAAAAAGGCCTCCTCTCAAATTGGCCCAAAAGATATTTTTTCTTGTAAATAGCGATTAACTTTTTTTATAAAGAAAACGGGTTATTTTAGGGTAAAACGACAAAGAAGATTGATTTCTTGTCAAAATCAATTGCATGAATAAAAATAGATGCTTTGTGTCAATAAGATGAAAGATCTTTTCAAAATATTATTCTTTATTACAAGCACGTAGACTTATATGTTTTCATTTCAGAGTTATGGTGTGACACATTTAGGGATCTGTTATATATCAATTTCCTTCCAGACATTTTCATCACTCTGAGGGGGAAATGTCTGGTCAGAGGTCTACCAACATATTGATATGATATGATTGATATGATTGCAGCTGAAATCCAACTCTTTCAGAACATATTTCCGTGCAGCCTGCATCATTCATCCCTAATGTCCCAGCTTGCAGAAATGGGATAAATGAAATGAAACCCTACTGCTGTAAACATAGAAATTAAATATGAAAGATGAACAAAAATAATGATTATATATTATGCTTTTTATTTGCACCAGGGTCCACTAAGTGAAGATATCACAACAAACATTATGTCCCACACGTATAATTATGACGGGAGTGAGAGTGTTTGCATGCACGAGTAGAAATCTGTCAACATGGATAATATGCAAATTATATTATATGCCCAAGAGATTCACAATTATGTGAACAAATCACACGAAAAGATGCTCTTATGTGTTCATGGAAATTTCATGAAATTTGATATCCAAACACAATTTCTTTATACTGTTTTTACTAAAAAGATAAAGAATGAAATAGATATCAATATTTTGCATGTGCAGAGGATTTGTTTTTCCAACAGAAGAAAACTGGAAAAAACTTTGAATAAAGCAACTACTCGATCGTGGTATGTACTTGAAATAAAAAAAAGTTAAATCTTGTCCTCCGGCATGTCAGTAATTTTTTTGAGAGAACTCAATTCCTTTCCCCACTAGACATAGAAACAAACAGGCGCGGATCCAGGATTTCTTAGGGGAGGGGGCCCAACTTTTTTTTTTTTTGCTCCCTAAAATTTGAAAATCGCGCCGGCCGAAAAGACGCTCAGTGGGGGGGGGGGGGGGTACAGAGCACATTTTTTTTTTTGATCCTCAAAATTTTTTCAATTTGCACCCCCCCCCCCTTGAGCGCCAGGGGGGGGGGGGGGGGGCCCAACCCCAAAAAAAGGTAAAAATCACGTGATTTTACATGATTTTTTTCTCAAGGGGGGGGGGGGGGCCGGGCCCCCCGGGCCCCCCCCTGGATCCGCCACTGGAAACAAATACATGCCCACGGTATGGCGGCTTACTGCATCTGACATTAATATTTCATGGACCCACAAATAATAATGGTTAATTAGCAGTTTGCATCAAAATACTTTAAAAGTACATTAACCCACAATCAATCACTTCTAGATCGTTTAAATTGAAGAGGAAAAAAACACCTTTTTATATTATTATCCCCCTTTCTTTCTTTTCCCTTCTCATAATTCTCCTTTTCCCCCGTTCTTCCTTTTCCGCCTTTTTTCTCCTCTCTCTTTCCTTTCCCTCCTTTTCTTCCTCTCCCCTTTCTCTCCTTCCTCTTTTCTACTCTTTTCTCTCTTCCCTTTTCTTTCTTTTTCCCCTCCTCTTTCTTTTGGTTATTGCATTGAGACGTAGTTCAGATATATAAGACACGCGCATGCGTGGACTTTATTAAGTCATTCAATCCCGTAGGATACAATGTATATCATAACTTGTTATCGATAAACTTTGAAAACTTTGAATAGGTTTATTTATTTGCTAAATACTGTATTTTGATTTACCAAAGGCAAAGAGCCACTTTAGTCTTTCTAACAGTTGTTGAATTAAATTTATTTGGACGTGGGTCGTTGGTGCTAGTGCTGAGCGCAACGTATTTAGCTTTGTAATATTGTCGATGAACGCCTTGCTAACAGGCTAGTGGTAACTACGCGAAACAATTTATTATTTTGTGAGAAGCTGTTGAAGTTAATTTGTCATGATTATACTCTCATTGCATGCATAGCAATTGTCTTTTTAAAAGGATCGGACAAATCAGAGATAGAAACAGAAAAGAGGGAAATATAAAGTAAGTAAAAAACTTGAAAAGTGTTAGAATTATTGTAATAAAGATAAGCGAAGACGTACGATTAATCATCGCCGCGCCATCGAGGTCCCACTAAATACATGCATGACTGTACCGGTATACTCTGCTCCAGCGCTCCAGCTTTCCACTTTCCAGGGAGCTCCGCCGCCGACGAAGACGGCGGAGGTCCAGATCCTACACCGGTACCGGGCAACGATTCAAACAGCGGTATTACTATTGTTCCTATTTTGGGGTAGACAGAAATAACCGTCTGGTATATTAATAAAACTGACATTTGTACTTGTAGACATTCCCCATATTACACAGGCGGTATGACCGTAGGCCTAGTCTATAGACCTAGGCCAGGCTGTGTGTGAAGAAGATATCACGGCTAGGCCTAAGCAAATATTAACAGACTGCGACTACGAGTACGAGTGCAAATTATGATATTACCTCATTTCTGATGCATCAAATTTTTTGATAAATCAACTGTAAACCCCTGTGCATGAAGTTAGGTCTCGTTGTTTTTATGACTTTTTTAGATTCAGCGCGCTCACACGATCGGACATCGAATTTTTAGATCGCGATATCTCTGAAATCCTTCCACGATAATTTTTTTTAGTTGAACCAATCTGTAGCAAAAACTTTGCCGTCCACTTGGTAATAATTTAAATAAATAAATTTGTGTAGAATATGAAAAATCATATATCGAATAGACCTATCACATTTTGTAATGTGTTCTAAAATGTCCGCAAACTTTGGTCACCCCTTCATACAACTATCATCGCCGAGCTGATCTCGGGGCTACTATCATCCCGAGCCATAAGGCGAGGGATGATGGTAGCCCTGAGATCACAGAGGCGATGATAGTTTGTATCCATTGCCCGAGTAAATGAGGTTAATATTTCTTTTATATCCCACATCAGCAATGTCTATTTAGACCTAAACTGTCTAAAGTGAATTTTACATAATTAAAATCACTCATGATGATCGTTGAAGCCTAAAAAGGCTAAACAAAACGGGATCTAAAGGCAAAGTCAACAAAAATACTTACAATGATGTAAATCCATCATTCTCAGTAGGTCTAGTCTATAGACTAATCCAATATTATCCAAATGACAAATGTTTAGAAGCAAACAGCTAGTCTAGAGCTAGATCTAGTAAGAAACTAAGACGCAAGTGGTTTTAATTTGTTTTGCTTTTGTCACGCATTAATAATATGCATCGATTGCGCTTAATTCAGCGCATTTGTTTCATGTTTACGCGATTTTAGGTTCAAAGCACAACATGCATACATGTAATAAAGTTGATGCGCACGCATTTGACTTTTTAAACGCTTTAAATTAAGCGTCATTGACTTGTACTAGTTTAACACTGGCATTTCGTGTAACCTACTTAGCTAGGCCCATATGGGCAAATGGGGCAGCAGCAACAAATTGCGTTACAAAAGTACTATCTCAGGTAGATGGTACTTTGGCACATAATTAGCTCACGGCCATCAAGTGATGGGAAATTTATCATTGATCATATGACCTCGTTTAGACCAATTAGATTGCAAGATTCTTAGTATGCGGGATATAAAAGAATTTAGTCGTTAGGCCCTAGCTCCCACAAACATGACAAACTTGAGCCGAGGAGAAATGCATCATTTCTCCTCAATTGCAGTAATTTTCTAGATATCATGACTGTTTCGTAAAGTCAGTAAGAGTTCCTTTTGTACCCCCCCCCCCCCCCCCACGAAATTGAAAAATGAAATAAAAATTAAAAGGACTTACCAAGCTTTTGGCTGCTTCTCATGATCCACGGCAAGCATTCTGACCAACAGAAATCAAAATGGTGGCTTATGAATATTCAAATACGATATGAGGATGGATGACCTTAGTGCGTCGCGTCGAGGATAGTGCGCGCACAAACGTGAAGCAGACAACATGAGAACTCAAACGCGCCCGTCTATGAATGAGGTCAATGGGTGGAGACTCAAAAAATTTATCATGAATATTCATTACTTTGATTCAAGATGGCTGACGATAGTCACAGTCTGAGGACAGTCAAGTGGAAGAGATAATAACACTTTTTTAAAGAAGATTTCAAATGCAGAGGTCCAAGACACATGAATGTTATCGTGTTTGTTATCATTTAAAATGCCAATTGTAGTTGTTTGTGCCTGCGATTATGACAAAAAAGGATTAAACTTAGCGTTAGGGCAGTATCATCTTATCATATACCCATAGACTGTATCTTCCACATACGATGGCATAGGCGATCATTCAGTCTCTATATATACGGAGGTCTAGTGGAGCCAGACGTAGTCTTAGTGGAACAACCGACGATATAGAGAGACTGAAGCTTTTGGTCTAATTTTGGGGGAATCTAAAAAAGTAGTAGACTAATAACAATTTAGACTTACAATGTTTTTCAACTCCCCTAGGCATCCAGTCAACCACTTGTTGTAGGCCTAGACTAGGTCTACTTGAAATTATGATTTGAAGATGTCTTCAAATAGAAAGAGGGTGATTCCTTGGGCGCTAGTTCAGAAGCCTATCCAGAATTTGACCCGTATCAATTGAATTGAATGGAGATACCCACTAAAACATACCCAAAATGAAGTAAATATTCATCAAATGTTGAAATAAAGATCATGAGTTAAAAGTCGTTATGCTTATTACCTGTCTTGTGTCCATTTTCTTGTTATTTTTCGGAAAAACATTGATATTAGTATACACTTTTTCACAGGTTTCACAGCAAACCGCTGCACAATACAAGTGCATACCGATTGTGGGTTGCGGGCGGCCGGGCGCGCGCCTGTGTGAATTTATCTACCGTAATGTCTCAGATCCTCATTTGTGTTTATAACTTGCGATCGCGACGTTGCAGAGGTCAGGATTTGGGATTTAAATGGCGTCAGTGAAGTCACGCCCACCACTGGAGATTACAAAGAAGGAAAATGGGAAAAGAGTAAATATAGAATTGAGCAATCATGACATGAAAATTAGGTACAAAATGACAAGTTAATTAACACGCGAAAATGTTTACATTTTTCTGCCGAACATCCGAACCAGGCCTTTTTTTGCGAACTTCTGTTTGGTTTGGCTACAGCACTAATGCCCATTTATTCATGGGTTATTTTCATAATTTAACCAGTCATATTTATTAGATTTCCTTTTTAATTGCAGTTTTTGCATGGAAATGGTATACTTTGTTGAAAATATTACACTTGTTAATTTTAAGTTAATCTCACCCTCTACTCAGATTTTTCCTTACTTTCCTGCTGTTTTAAATTTGGTCTTCATAAATGAATGATCACAACAAGACATTGATCTACATTTGCCTCTCTCTACCCAGGTGTTAAATGGGTACCCGGTAGGATGCGAAAGCTAATGTGCTTAGATTAGCAAGTGTGCGCTTTAAAAAAAAACGACGCCTGGCTGGAATGCTCCCCAGGGAGTGGAGAATGTGCATACATTGTGTGCGGATAAGCCTGAATCTGATGACCGGGGTAATAATATATATATCTGTAAAGCACTTTGAGAGGGCCTTTGGTCCTGAAAAGCCCCATATAAGAACTAGCTATTATTATTATTCTGTAAAATAAAATGCAAAGGAAAGTCTTTTTTTTAATGTCGCTGCAAAAGTGCAGACCTGGTGCGAAAGTGCAGTAGCGCTTATAACTTCTCTTCATATTCATATTCATATATTCAAATTTATTGTCAAATGATTGGAAATTTAGTTCATTTGCATGTCAGTACAAGATTACAGATTATAAACATCAATAAGATATAGATGGATACAGAATAGAACGTTTGACTTGAACATATAGGTAACAAAAAATGCGATAGTTCAACATGCAGACTAAAAATTTGATTCATAATTCAGACTAAGTAGTTAAATTCATTTCATAATTCGAATTAAATTAAATTCACAATTCAGATTAAATACAATTAATGATTCTCATGTGCATTTGATAATGTTGATAATGTTTGAATACAATTTTGAGCAGTTTTAAAATGTGATTTTTTTTTCCTTTCCTATTCAGCAAAGACTTGGTTGGAAATGCATGATTGGATATCTATGTAGCATTCTTCCCAGCTATCAAGATGTCTAAAATGAAGACAATGAACCCACAGCTGAAGCAGTTCTTAAGGAGGAACAAAGTGCCTGATGTATATGAGGTATGAATGAATTTACATACATACTATGAATACCCGGAATTATTCTGCATTCGTTCTTGAATTTCGTATCTTGGACTTTGTATCTTGTAAATAAATAAAGTTGCCAACAAATTTTTTTCAGAACATTTGAACATATGTCATTCCCTCGTATGGTAGCATATCTTGGCAGGGCCAGTTTTCAATTCAATATATATATATATGTATGTCAGAAGTTTTGGCTGAGGTATACAGTTGAATATTGTGGCTGAATAATATCATACCTGAAAAATTAACAAGTAAGCATATAATACCTAAAACGATTACTGCACTGCATTTTGTACCTCTGACATATTCACCAGGCACCAAATATTGTACCCTCAATTTAAGTTCCCTAGCTGACTTTAAGCCAATTAGTTTTTGAGGCCTTGATTAGTAGGCATGTGATGTTCCTAGGCAGTTGATTATATTGCTGCTCACAATTATTAGTTCACATTTAATGTGACATGTTTATTACACATAATTTTGGATTAGCCTAGCCTGACCAGACTTGCTGGCGCTCAAATTATTCATCAGTAAGTATTTTTCCTTAAAGTTTGCTTACTAAAGTAAAACAGTTAGATATCAAGAAGACTGAGTCTATTGACTTAGTATCGTAAGTAAAATACCGACATAATTCACTGGGGTCAACTTGGACTTAGCAAAATATTTAGGCCAAGTTTTGAGTGTTTCTGTGTTCTTCATCTAAATAAGTAAAACAAATCTTTAAAAGGAACAACAACAGATTTAGTGAACAAACACTCATTAAAAGTGTGTACTTTTCCTGCCAAAATGGAATGGTATGGAGCTAGCTGTTAGGAGAAATGAACATACATCAGTCATATAGACTTTTAGCAGACGTGGTGATAGTAAAGCACTGGGCACTTAAAACATTCCTGCATTTGATTGGTTTTAAAAATCCCTTTTTTTATAAAGTTTTTTTTAAATTTCATTATTATTATTATTATCATTTTTTTTTAGGGGGGGGGGGGTACAGAACATCCTCAGTGAATGTCATTTAATTTTATGATTGTATGTAATATAGCACTCATGTTTCAGAATTTTTCTTTTTTATTAACCAGGCTCTTTTGACTGGCCTAGCTGTGGTATGTCCAGATGACCCATTTGAATACCTCATTGGAAATCTCACCGAGCTTCTTAGACAGAGAGAAGAAGATGTTCATGGACTTGAGTCTCTCAAGTGGTATGTACATGTATCAGGTAGTGACCGTAGCATGGACCCTCCCAGCCATTGTGGGGGTACTGGCATCATAGGAGGGGAGGGGAGAGGAGGAGGGGGAGGGATGTTGATGAAGAAGATTATCAACTAGGAGGCGCTTTGGGAATGTCTTATCGTCTCCTTTTCACCTTTCCTTTCTTCTCTTCTTTTCTTTTTCTCTCTTTCTCACTCTGAATTTCCTGCTGATTCAGGGGCATGTGCTCTCTTTACTCCCCTGGTAGCTACGCCAAAGTTGCCACACATCTTGATTGGCAGAAAAGAGGGTTTTAGTTTGCTTTGGTTGTTGTTGTAACACAAAGACTTTGTAAGTATAACATACAAAATTATATTTTATGTTGTGTAAGAATTCTGGATATTCTGTACAATAGCTATTGGGTCCTCAAACTCCACTAAAGTTTATTTTTTGTTGTAGGGATTCCCTGGTGCCAGATGATATGAAACCTAAGAAGAAGATATTTGGAGCAGCATACCTCGATAATATATACCTACTGGACGAAGAGAACTTGCATGTGAGTACCGGTATATTGGTTTTTATTTACCATATCAGGGAAGTTATGTGTATATTGCTATTGTCTGGTGGACTTTTCCAATTTATATTGCTTTTATCATCTTTTTCAATCCTTTGAATGCAGTGCTAACTCAACCCAGTGAATAGTCGGTATTGTACAGCAAATAAAGATGCCACACCAGTCCACCAACTGACGTTAATTGTCATGCTTTTGTAGAATTTTACATATTGAAAATTCTCATCTTTACAGCTTTCATATTTTACACATTCTTATTATAAAACCCTGAAAAATTTCAACAGTTCAAAATTTAATTTATATGCAAAAGTTAACAAATACCTTTACTTATTAATAATTCAAGCTCTCTTGGCTATCAAACTCAGGCTTATTATTTAGACCAATAAGTTTAGACACCCTGCCGAGTTAGCCCAGATCCCAGTGCTATCTTTCCAAACTAGTGTGTACAAAAAATTTCTTAACTTAAGTTTTTAATAAGGTATATGTTATATAGATCTCTCCTTTTACTTGACTGAATCTTTGTGTTGCCTGGACTTGTTTTTCTTTCATGACAATGCTTTATCTCATGTAATGCTGCAAGCCTGTCCATTTCTGTAAATTCTTTCTTTTAATGAAGCTTTCCTTGCAAGCCTTGTCCAAGAAGTCCAAAGGCTCAATAACAGCCTTGTTTTATGTCATGAATTTTCTTATATGTGTATGTATAATGTCAGTCATATCACCAAGAGTTTCGCTGACTATTGAGCTTTGTGATTTATATCTTTAACTTGGTTTATTAAGACTTTCTCTATTGGTATTACATGTAGGTAGGGGTATTGCTCTTAAAATAAACATGATTTTACCTTTTACTAACCATTTTACTTAGGAATGATTTTTTGTGTAGTTTACATCTCATACTCATGCATTTTAGGCATTCATACAGTAATTATGCAATTGTGATATTAATGTATTATTTATTCATTGCATTCTACATTGCTAGCCTTGGGAATGGATGGTGAGTTTGATGAGAGTGTTGTCATGTGTTGAGTGCCACAATTGCTTTGCTTTAGCAACAATTTTTATTTTGCTTTTCTTGTTATGCTTTTAAAGTTGAAAATTTTTGTGTGAATTTGTATATGTGTATTTTTATTTTTTGCATCCCATTTTCCAAAAAGTATTATTATTATTAGTATAATTTTTTTTGGTTTTTTTGTATATAATATTTGTTTGTTGTTGAACACATTTGGTGCATTTTTGGGAGGGATTTGAATCAATATTGTGATTTAAGGGGGGAAATGTTGCTTATGCACTTTTTAAGCTGCGTTTACATACAAACACAATTATATTCATACATGGCTATATAAAGAGTATACAAAGTAGTCACTGAAAGTGCATCAATTATACAGTGGCTACCGGGCTCACAATCAATTGGGCAAAAAGAATTTCCATTTTCGGTTTAATAAAATTTGTAGTGGACTTTAAAAGATTATTATTATTATTATTATTCTACCATTCCTATTTTGGGGGCAAAAAAAATTGTTGTTGTTGTTTTGTTGCCGAAAACCCACGCGGGGAAGGACTTTCATTTAACTGCGAGGTGCAGTCGAAGGCGCCCATTGTGCTTGTGAACTTGTCACAAATAATAGTAACAATATCGTTTTTAGAAGAATGTGTAAGGTTATTAATGTAAATTTAAAAAAGTAGAGTACCTAGGATAGGTAAGGCTTTGGAATGATCACAATGATAATACATTGACTCAGTCTCGTTGCACATAGAAATTGGTAGATGGGTATACATTCTGAGGGATCCTACTGCCAATAAATTTTAAATTGTTTTTGCTTCATTTGCACCCACACGTTGAATAGCACCTTTAACATCTGATGCAGTTTTGATGACCTATTGACTAACCATATCAAATATGTTGTGTTTGAATATAAATTCATGTTGTGGTGTGTCATTGGAGCGTACTACATATATTTGTATGTATGAAATAAGACAGTTCAATTTAATTCTATTTGTTTAAAAAAATTATATTGTCACATTTCAAAATAAAATACACTGAATATAAAACAGGCATAAATTTTCAACTTTTAACAATATTTTTGATTCCATCTGGCATTAGTGAATCAACTTAATATTACCATTGTCTGTATTGTCTTTATACTGGGAGATCTTTATACTGATTATAGATTTTAAAAGGCTCTTAAAAAAATTAATTTGGAGGAATAATATGGTATAGCAATCTGTCAGAATAAGCATGACATTGCAACTTTTAGAAGCTTTATTGGATGGATGTATTCCGATTGCATACAAATAAAAAATGATTCATTAATGCATAAAGTACAACAAAATCAATCAAATAATTGATCATGATGAAGCTGCATAAATAGAGTGAAACCTTCCTATAAAGACCCCCCAAAGAAGACAAGAAATAGTCTTTACAGCTAGAAAGTCTTTGTGTACAGGTTTCTTTAGTAAATGTTTCAATATAAAACACTGTTCAAGGGAAAATAAAATGGTGGTCTTTCAATACAGGTGGTCGTTAAAGCAGGTTTGACTGTATACTGGTAGTTTGAGTTTCCATAGTCCTGCAGAATAAAGCGTGGACAATTTACCTTTCACCATTATCACACCTGTAGAATACTATAAAAACATTTCAATTCAAGTGAATTTAAAGCTATGTTGTAAATCCACATTTGATGCTTTTAGCCACATCCAGAGTTGTACCAGAAGGCGTACCAGTGTTATAACAACAGATTGGTCACCATGACATTCAAGTAAGTACAAGTATCATTTATGTGCAGGATTAGGAATGATTGTCCCGTAGTCTATTACTTCATTTAAATCAGACCTTGGGTCTAAGATCTTCTTTAATAAAGGAAAATTTAGATCTCAGTCTAATTTTATTTCTTAAACCCAATTTTTGTCCCATTTTTTCAATAGTTTAAATTTTAGTAGAATATACGGGCCCTTATGTTTAATAATAATTTCATCATGGGACAAAAAGGTCTACATGTACTTTGAGTAACTAAATTTTTAAAAAAATTAAGTCATAGAATAGTTTTCCTTGTCTAAAAATCATGCGCGGAATATTCAGCAAGATTAATGGGAATTTGTTTAATAATAATAATAATAACATTTAGCTTTTATATGGCGCTTATTAATACAATGTCTCTAAGCGCTTTACAAATATACTATTACCCCGGTCATTGGATTCAGTGCTCACCCGCACACACTGTGTGCACAATCTCTACCCCCTGGGGAGCATTCCAGCCTGGTGTTACTTAATTGTTTGTGGTTCTAAAACTTCTTAACAATTTGTTCTTATACTTCTTACACAATGAACCTGTCAGAATAGCTTCTATACCGGTAGACAGTTTCTTTCTGAATCCACTTCTACTACTGTTAACTCAATACATAGTTATTGGTATCTCAGGAAGTCAAATAAATACACAAGAAAATGAATTGACTTATCTTGTTGTAAACATTTGAATTTGGTGTCAATTAATTGATAGATTTGTTTTCCATATGTTCTTATAGCGCCTGGTTCAGGTATCACCTTCGGAAGAAGGCAAAGCGTGAATGGCTAGCACGCAGGATGAAGGAAGCTGCTGATTATTTCTTCTTGAGAAAGCAGCGTGTCCACTTCAAGATCTGGTCTGACTGGCATAGATTTAGAATGCAGAGGCAAGAGAGTGAGTAGTAATAATATTAATAATAATAATAATGAATTATGATAATGGTGGTTTCTTCTAAATTAGCACACTTGTCCATAAGGCTATGATGCTCCTTGCACTCTAATATTATTACCCTGGTCATAGCTGAGTGGCCAAGTATCGAGTGCTCTATTTCGGGTACCTATTCTCACCCGGGTTGAGAGTGGCAAATGTGGATTAGTGTCTTGTCAAATGATGTTAATTGTGCTGGGCTAACATTGGAACCCTCAACCTTTGGATTGAGAGTGAAGTGAATGAACCACTTTATCACTGTACCAAGTTTGAGAAAATTCTGACAAAAATGACGAATATGAGAAAGTCAGTGTAGTCTATCTTATATTTAACTCTTTCCAATATATTCATGAACATGTTTCTGTACGTTTTCACAAGAAATCAAATGTGTGGAGTTGAATTAATAAAGTGATTTATTGAGGTATTTACATGTATGTCTATTAATTTTAGCTTATTCATTTCAGTAGTGAAAATAATAGAGGAAATATTTGTTCTATGTCATTTTTATTGTAAAGAAGGAAAGCTGATTTTATTCCAAAATCAATGATTTGTCTGTCTTACATTTTGTCTTACAGGGGCCTTTGATATCATCCAGCGTGCATATAATATTTCTTTGTCTCGGCTCGTGTTTGAAGCTTGGCACAATGTCATGCAAGAATCTAGACGTACTAAAGAATACTTTGAGGTATGACTAAATGGTTCACTTGTTTTTTTTAATCTATTCTTTTAGACTATTCCTTGTACTTTTCCATTCCGTTCTCCTTTCTTTCCCTCATATTTTGTTGTTTCTTTCACTTACATACATGTTTGCTATGATTTGCCAGCTCTTCTTCTTCTCTTTTTTTCAGTCTACTTCTTCGTCAATATCTTTCGTTCGAGTCCTTGTAGCTCATATAATAAAATAGTAAAATGATTTGACATATATGTGTTTATGATTGCTATTTCTTATTTTGATAATTTACAACTTTCTATTGCTATATTTCTCTCAAGGATCATCAGGACAATTATCGTCCAGGGGGTAATAGTCCTAGAACCCTCACAAGGTACTATTTATTGTCTGTTGCACTGTAAACGCATATACATTAGTTAGTCATTCAGTGGGATAAAAGAAAAATGTAACTGATATAATTTTTCCAATTCTTTGATGATTATTCCACAGAGGTTAGAGAGGGGTGAATTGGATGGAGAAGAGGATATGTTAGGTCCTAGAGGAGAAGCTAGAGATGACATCTCATTGTTACCAAGAAGAGTAGCCATAAAGGTAAGCAGCATTCACAGTTAGCATGTTTCTACAGGATTTTAAATTAGGGTGACTAAGCGCAATGAGCCTAGTATATAGTATACAATTTTTGGCCATTTATTGCATCCCAAAAGGAAAATATCTTGATATGGCCTTTGACTTTATAGTTAATTCTGATATGTGACTTACTTGATCAAATGGTCATTTAAAGATATTTTCTATCTTTGGGTGAAATAAATGGGTGAAAAAAAGACATGAGACACATTTATGGAATTGCCCAATATCGTTACTTTGAGCTACCTGCTGGGTATAACACATAATTTCCAGGTATATGTACTTCTGTAGAAACAAACCATAATCTGAAACGGAAAGTTTTAGCTTTCTCCATTGGTGGATTTTTCCAGAAATGTTCGCAGTCTCAGCTCTGTAGAAACATCTCAGTGAACATTACCTTTTAAGGTCATGTGACCACAACCTCTTCCCCCCCCCCCAAAAAAAAAGTACTATGTGTTCCATTCTGATGATATCCCATTGACTCAAATGTAGACTAATGTCTTGCTAAAGGATAATATAGTATTGCGACTGAGATAAAAGAAGATTGTTGAATAGATGAAAATGATGGATGAGTAATTATAATATTTGTTTCCATCAGATCTTTGGCTACCTTGATCTTGTGGACATTAGTAGATGCTCGAGGGTGTGTCGTTCATGGAAGATGATCACAAGCAATAGCTCCCTCTGGAGTTGGGTGAGTGTGCAAGGTTTGCTTTTAGGATCTGTGTTGTGTAGATATATTGAAAATAGAACACAATTGTGCCAGTTTCAGGTACTCTAATTATTCACATCTTTGATAATGTTGTCTTCAATATAAAGGGTATTATAACAAAATAATTGAAAATCACGTAGGCTATAGTTTTGTCATGTGTTGGTCTGTTTTGGTCAAGTACCTACAAAATATGTGATTTACACATGGGCGCCATAATGTAAGTCTGGACCCTCACAATGTTGGAGGTTTTTACATAGGTTTGTACATACAGACAGACTGTAAACAGATCACTCTGGACCCCCTTCCAAAAAGTAAGCGTGGAGCCCTGCTTAACTTCTTTGAAAGATAAGTGATTATTTTAAAATTTATTTATATTTCTTTTTCAGGTGGACCTGTCAAAGGCAAAGAATGTGTAAGTTAATTTATTTCATTTTTTATTTTTATTTAATCGAAGGACCCGATTAAGCCAGCGATACCATGAATATAGCAGTGTAAATCATAAGCTTTAAATAGTATGAATATACTGATAACCAGGGGTTATTGCCATTCAATTCTAGGACTGACATATATATTTTTTTCCTTCACAACCATTTTGTGGGAGTACCGTGGTGTTATAAATACATTTTACTTGCCTCTTTTATTCTCTCCATCTCTTGTAATCAACCTGATTGTATTATGTAATTTCATATTGTAATTTTACTGTAAATGCAATATTATATTTATTATTATTATTATTTTTATTGTCATTATTATTATTAATATCTTCATCATCATCATCATCATTGGTAATAATATTATCATCATTGTCAACATTTTTACTATTATTATTCCAATTCAATTTTCATTTTCTCTCTTTATAGTGTGACTGACAATGTACTGACTAGTCTACTGCAGCACTACAGACCCTATGTTCTTCATCTCAATATCAAAGGATGCAGTATGCTCACCAAACCCAGCTTCAAAGCTGTTGGTAAGCTCGTTCATTCATTTATTTTTATTTTCAGATAAACAAAAAATATACAGTGCAATACATACAAAAAAAGAGGTTCACACCAAAAATTGTAGCTATCATAGCTAAACAAATATGCTGGAAATATTAAATGCATCGTTCTCCTTTAAACATCTCTCTCTCTCTTTCTCTCTCTCTCTCTCTCTCTTTCTCTCTCTCTCTCTCTTCTGCTCTGTTTCCCTTCCCCTCTCTTGGTCTGGCCCTCTCATTCTCTTGCTCTGTCTCTGCATCTCTATTCTACTCTTTCACACCTCTCCCTCTCTCTGTCTCCCTCTACCTCTCTTGCTTTGTCTCCCTCTTCTTTTCTCTTGCTCTGTCTCCCTCTGTCTCTGCCTCTCTCTTTTTCTACTCTCAAACCCTCTCCCTTTCCCGCCTCTGGTTCTCCCTCTTTTATGTCTATGGATGGTCCTTAATTTTCTTTAGCTCTTCCCTTTGCCCTTTGTATTCTTATTTCACCCTACCATGTTTCCTTACTGTCCTGCCTCCTTTCAAGTGCCTCCATTCTGATTTCTCTTTTATCCCCCTGTCCAGCTCATGTATTTTTTACATGACTATACCCTGTCTCCCTCTCTCCTTCTCTATATCTATCTACTGTCATATGTCTCTCTCTTTTCGTCTCTCCATACAAGATCCTTAAAAAACCTCCAGACCACCTCATTTTGTCTTCAGTGACGTACGTATTCATATCTTGTTTCTATTTGTTTTTGTAGGCCAGTGTCGTAACTTGCAGGATTTGAACATGTCAGAATGTCCTGGACTGAATGATGATACTATGAAGTATGTTGCTGAAGGTTGCTCAGTCTTACTCTATCTCAATATCTCCTTCACTAACATCACAGATGCCACCCTCAGATTACTAGCCAGGTACGTGTTCTAATCAATAATGTTAGGGGTCTACTTAATACTTGAAATTAAGTTTGCAGTAATCAAACTTGGATGAAGTGTGAATGAGCATACAAAGATGAACTGATTCGATTTTGGACAGAAAAAGTCAAAGGACATCAAGGGTGGAGGCATAATTGTTGACTGTGCACAGTTGAATAACTCTTATTATTGTTATCACTGCTCAGAGATAGACTGAACAAATTGGTGTAATAATGGGATTTGAGCAATTGCATGATGAACTTCTTTACCAGAAAACTGTTAATAAAAGAATCAATTAAATGTACTGTAATCCAAAAGAGGTGTATCACAAGTAAAGGAAATATGTTTTCTTTATATGTGTTTTGAATGCTGTTTTATATGATTGTATGTTTGATGTAAACTTGCATTTTTAGTCTTTAGACTTTTTGACAAGTCTTGAATATAAAACCTCATTTGAATCTTGAATCTTGAAATGTAGTTAGACTGCATTTGTATCAAGTTTAAAACTCTTTGCGATGATGACTTTGTTACTGTTTGTGTAGATGTTGCAGCAACCTTCAGTACCTGAGCCTAGCATACTGCAAGCGTTTCAGTGACAAGGGTCTTCAGTATCTAGGAACGGGGAGAGGAGGAAGGAGATTGGTCCATCTTGACCTTTCAGGGTGTCCTCAGGTAGGTCAACTTCAAGGTTAAAGCAAAGACCAAGATGTCATTGAACTTAATGTTTTGGACATGGAAAGTGAAAGCAGTTTTAGATATGGTAGCTTGTAAAATTTCTTCTCTAAATATGTCACTATTATAAAAACTGCATGCCCTAGTACATAGATCCATATCTATGAAAATTGAAAAAGTGTTAATTTCTGGCAGATTTGTCTGTAGAATGTGCCATGGTACAAAAACCATTCGCCCGATAGGGCTAAAACTTGAAATTTAAGCTGTAAAAGTGTTAATTACCGCATATACCAATAGATCATTTGGAGAGTGATGGTTTTACCTATTGGGTGATACTGTATAACATGGAATGTCCCATAAGTGATATCACCATATACCTAACAATGAATTCAAGTGAACCAATGATTTTCAGGATTGATGACTTACAGGACATTGTGTCATATGATTGATCTTAAAATGAAAATTGTTGCATAATCCATCTTTCATCTATCAGATAACGGTCAATGGCTACAAGAATATATCTGGTGGATGCCCCAAGCTTCAGCATCTCATCATCAATGATTGCTACACACTCAGAGATGACATGATCGTTGCCGTGGCAGCCAACTGTCATAATATCCGATGTATCTCCTTCCTGTACACACCCAACATCACAGATGTTGCTCTCAAAGCACTGGCTGTTCATCGCAAGCTACAGCAGATCAGAATAGAAGGTAGGTCAAAGGTTATAAGGTCACAATCTCACTCTTTTTTTTTTATATGATGTTTTGCAGCTCAGGTGACAAATCAAGGTTGGATAGACAAACAAGGGCGTCATCTGACACAAGATGAAGTTCGTTGATGCCTCCTAAGAACCTTAACAGCGCACACTCATTGATGATGTGCAATATAAGGTCTAGTCGGGGTGACCATTGTTTCATGTCACACTCTCACTGTATTTCTACTTATGAAAGATTGACTGCAATACGTACTTGCTTTGACTGGAATTTTTAAAAGTTGGCGGTGGTGAAAAAATATGACAATTTATGAGAGAGTAAGGCTCGATATTTACATATATTTCAGCTTTTGATTTATGCTAAGACATGCAACTAGTAAGTGCTTATGGTTACACCAACCAGGGGTCTATTGCTGTAAGTCATAACCGAAGGACTTTGTAATTGCATGAGGGCACCAATAAGGCACTGACTTGGTTCCAAATCTAGGACCTCAGTTCTAATTCCTTGGCCACAGAGCTATTGTGTCTCCTCAATATATTCTTAAATTGCTTAATATACATGCACGTGTACCGAAGGTAGTAGAAGAGGATAATGATCGACTTTTCACAATGACTATTGTGCATTACATCAGGACTGCATTACTTTTCAAGAAAAACTTCAAAGGAGTTAAATCCAATGACTTAAACTCATTGTCCTTACAAATCTCAGGGAACTGCTTGATACCAAATACTTCTATGAAGTATTTCTAAATGATGATGATGATAATAAATTATTAGTTGATCAATGTAATTGATTAATATATATATATATATATATATATATATATATATATAGTACTCTCAGAAATAAAAGGAAAAAAAATTGTATATGAAACTATTGATTTCAAGCTCACCTTTTATCACATTTCAGGGAACTGCAAAATAACAGATGCCTCCTTCAAACTACTGGGTAGATACTGCGTTGATCTGAGACATATCTATGTGAGTGATTGCCCAAGGATTACTGATGCAGCTCTCAAATCTCTTGCCACATGCAGAAACATCAACGTACTCAATGTGGCAGACTGTATCAGGTATGCTTCGATCTCCATGTTTTCTTTTTGATGTGCTAAGTATTGTTCATATCTAGTAAACTACCCCTCTCGACCCCCCCCCCCCCCAAAAAAAAAAAAAAAAAAAAAAAAAAATTGGCACTGCAAAATGAAAACCATTTGAATGGCTGGTAGAGTGTGGAAAAATATGCACATCAGAGGCACATGTGAGTGTTAACTCATTTGTTTCTTATAAAATACAGAAGCGCAATTTTATTTTGCCAAGGACATTTTTTGAGACAGAGTACGGTATGTGAATTACAGGCCTTTATTATCATCAAATATATTGGTTTCATAGGATTATCTCATAATATTACAATTGTGGTATGTAATTCAGTTGTTGTAAGAATAGGCATGTACATGCAGCCAGCCTCAAGTACATATAGGTCAAATGTTCAATATTATATTCATGTATGAAGGTATTTAAATCATAGGTAAAGTATATGTATGGGTTCCTTGTGTGAGCTAGTGCTGTGTGCATATAGGAAAAGAACACATCAAAACATCTTAAAAAATTGAAATCAAATATGAAATTTGGAGTAAGGTTAACTCTAGAGGTATTTATATTTATGATTCTTCTCACAGTTCAAGGCTTTCTACGTCAAATAATTGGCATATATTTGTGGGCTTATGGCTGTAGGCTGTAGCACACAATGACTTCTTTGTTGCGAATACTGTTTTGTAGGTTTTTATCAGGAAATAAAAATATGGCTCATAACTTCTTCCTTCATCATTATAACTCCCATTGAGAGAATAAACATAACATTAAATGTCTTGTGTTCTTTTTTCAACTTTTAGGATTAGTGATAATGGTGTGCGGAATCTTGTTGAAGGACCTTCTGGTCCTAAGCTGAGAGAGATGAACCTGACTAACTGTGTCAGAGTCACTGATGTATCTATCATGAAGATCACACAGAAGTAAGTATGCCCTCAGGCTTCAATCTATTGAGATCGAGTAGTCAATTAATTATCACCTACTCTTGCGATGAAACAACTATCATCTCAGAGGTGATCTTGGGGTTTTAGCCCCTGAGATCACCAAAGATATAAAAGTTTGTCCACCTGCCAGTGTAAAGGTTTTTGTGCTGTATGGCACATTGCAAAGGCATGTCTGCCAACTGTGGAATCATGCATGTTCATGCTAATATAAATGTAAAATCAAGTTATTTAAGCAAGAAGATAATAACACATTGAAAACAAAAGCATGTGAAATTTAAAAGATATTTTTGTTATGTTTAGAAAATGGGCAATTTGGATTTGTGTTTAAATATCCAGTGTTTTAAACGTGCCCTCACTGTATAAGCTGACGCATTTTATCTCTTTTTTTCTCTCTGGCATCCCAGATAGGCCATCGCTCTAGCATACAAAGTTGCCTTTAAACGCAAATCCAAAATACACGATCCTGATTGGTTGAAAATCAAGTTGAATTTAATTCTTTTGAGTTATGTTGAAGGTGTTTTAATTTGCTTTAATATTGATTGTAATTTGTACAGGTGCTATAGTCTAGTGTATGGCTCATTCTGCTTCAGTGAGCACATCACTGATGCTGGAGCTGAGATGTTAGGAAACATGCCTGCTCTATCATCACTTGATATCTCAGGATGTAATATCACAGACACAGTAAGTCAACATATCCTTGTGTGGCTGGCTGGCAGAAGGGCTTTATAGTGTGTTAAGCTGAAGGTTGTTAGTATTAAAAAATGCCTATAACTTCAAAAATATGTGCTCATATGACAAAGCTACTCATATTGGGTAGTACGTACCATCTATTTTCACTTCTTTTTTAGTTGGTAGAGTGAAAAATCCTGTCATGTTTTTAAAGATGGTATAACATATAGAGCAGTCCTTAGAAGCAGAAATCTGCTGTATGCCAAACACCTGTCTACCAGCTATACAATAATACCTCTACTTATTACTTTATATCATTCCTTCAAAATGTGGCTGTAATTCTAAAACAAATCCTAAATTTACCCTTGAATGTAAGCATAACTTGCTTGACAGAACAAGTGATTTTCATTTTGTTATTTAATTGTGTTATATAAAGATAAGAGAAATGATATAGAGAAATAATAACCTGTCTGTTTACAATTCAGATGTTTATATGAAATATGGATTATGTGAGTAAAAAAAGTTTGACCATCATGTACATTCATTCACTGTCCCTGTATCTGTTTATCTATTTATATGCTTCTGCTTGGCATGCAACCTATTTCATATCTTTTAAAAAGTATGTACTGTACACTGTATGCAGAGGCCAAAGTAATTTAAGGAACACTCGCATAAAAGTTTAGTTCATAGTAGCAACTGAACATGAATATCTGTAGTTGCCCAGTTTAGAAAAGATGATTCTGAATGATCCCACACTCAAGTTACTTACATTAAGTGACCTGCCCTTAACTTGCCCTTCAAAGGTTGTTAGTAAAGTTCCTTGATGTCTATATGATTGATTGACTCCATAGGGGCTTGGTGCTTTGGGTAACTGCTATCATCTTCGTGATGTGGTCCTGTCGGAGTGTCATCAGATCACTGATCTTGGTATCCAGAAGTTTGCCCAGCAGTGTAGAGATCTTGACCGACTAGACATCTCTCATTGTCTGCAGCTGACCGATCAGGCCATCAAGAATCTAGCCTTCTGCTGTCGCAAGCTCTCCTTCCTCAACATTGCCGGCTGTAGTCAGGTAGGTACAGCTAGGGCAGGCATAGAATGTTAGAATTATTACAAAGAGGGGGGGGGGGGGATTAGAGAGAGAGGGACTATTTAACTGATAAAATCTGGTCATTTACTCCATAGACATTTGCAAAAGGCTTTGTTATGTCAATGATGTAGGGTTACTTTAGGACTTATGTTGCAATTGAGTTTAGGTTAGGTTAAGGGTTTAGATATAGTTTCAGTCAACACTGTAACTTTATCTAACCCTAAACCTCACCTAAACTCAATCGCAACAGAAGGCCATGGGTCCAGAGTTTAGGAATTTTGGTCAGTGTTAGATGTCCATGAAGCAATTTTCACAGGAGCATATTTTTGTTGTTAGTCTTGGTATAATGGCATAGGAGTTGACGCTAATTAATGAATGCCCAGTTTCTAAGATTATTCATTTCAAATGTGTAGAAATACATGTAACTTTAAAAATGATGAAATCTTTTATATCACTGAGCTCTTGTTCTATATGTTATCATGACATAATGAACCCCTCTTACTTTTCCTTTTGACTTCAGTTGAGTGATATGAGTATCCGGTATATATCGGGGGTGTGTCACTACCTCCAGTCATTGAACTTCTCTGGCTGTATCAAGGTCAGTGATGATTCCATGCGCTTCCTACGTAAGGGACTCAAGAGGCTGAGGAACCTTAATATGCTCTACTGTCATCTCATCACAAAGTAAGTTCATTCGTGACAGATATATTGGTCAAGAAAATTAGGTGTGGTAGAGAGAGAGAAAATGGCAAAGTAGAGAAGACCCTCCCATCTGAAAAGCAGGAACCAAAAATAAAAGGAGTAGTACATAAGTCATTGTTTAGGTCTTTAACACTTGAACTTTCACTGACCTGTTCCCCTTATTTTTCTGTTAATTCCGTTTTTATATAGCGCTCAATACATCGATCCAACGATGTGCCTTAACGATATATTAATACCCCAGTCATCGGATTCAGGCTTACCCGTACACAATGTGTGCACATTTTCCACTCCCTGGGGAGCTCCTGGGGAGCATTCCAGCCAGTGGCCATTTTACAAGCGCACACTTGCTCGTCCTATTCTGTTTCTATTATAAGCAACGTAATATTAGGGTGAACTTCCCCTTTATTGTTTGACTTCTAGGAATACTATAAAGAGTTGACATGATGGTCTGCCCTTTCAAGAAGAAAAAAAGTATGGGACTTCAAAGTAGATGCTCGTAATCAAAGAATATTTGACATCTTCAATCATAGTTCTTAACTTCACATAAGTCATCTGTTAGCCAAGACATATTTTTCTGCATAGTATCATACATGTATCTTTTAATTGATATACTAGTGAATAAGAGATATGTTGACACAGAATTATGAGAATACATGAACAAAATGACTTATCCTTACAGTGCAGAAGAACTGTAGTAATGTATTGATGTACTTCACTTTTGACAATGTTATTTACTACATTTTTGTGTTGTGTGTTTCCATCACTCCACCGTTACCACAGGCCAACCATCGTCAAGCTATCAGCCAAGATCGAGAAGGTCGTTTGGAGTGATGACCCCATCCCTAATCACTTTGGACCTGGCTTTGACTACCTCAATGCCCTCTCACTCTGCAAGGCTGCCATGGAGAAGGAGAAAGAGGAGAATGAGGACAAGGCTAAGAGAGAACAAGAGAAGAATGAGGAAAAGAAGGAAGAGAAAGGTGATGGAGAGAGCAAGGGGGAATCTTCGGCAGAGCCCAAGTCAAGCGAGACCCTGGATTTATTGATGACCTCATCATCACAGGAGGAGAGAGAGCCACAAGAGATGAAGAGAGCCACTGTCCTCATGCAACAAAATGATATATCACCTGACAGCTAACTGGGTTTCAGTGCTCTAAACTCTATGACTATCCTCCGTCCTCGTGTCGCAAAATGATGAAACACGGGACTACTAGCTGCGTCTCATTGTTCTGTCAAATATTATCTTCCGTCCTTGCGTTACGAAATGATGTTGCACCTGACAGCTGGCCGAGTGTCGTTGTATACTCTATGACTATCTTCTGTCCTCATGTCTACATGTACCGATATGTACCCATATCAGTGTACATAAATATAAACAAACCTGATTTAGTGTTTCAGAGGAGCAGAATCACTGGCTACCTTAGTAATACAAAAAAGAGAAACCCTGAAAATTGCACATAATGATTGTACAGATCTAATTGAAGCAATTATATTGAACTAAGACATTGGACCATCCAGCATTTGATAAAGAGTTTTTCTTTTTTATATTTGCTGATTATTCATAAGTAAAATAATTGTCCTCTCTTGATATACATGTATATCTTCCAACCAAGTACATGTAGATGCAATATGAAATGGAAGCTGCAAAATCATTAATGATTTACATTTCTACAATGCTGAATACCAGTAACCTTTTAATGATTTGATACTCATACATATATGTACAATTAAAATAATTATGTCTGATGACTTCTGGCACTTTATCTACGGTATATTGATGTTGACACTCTTGTGAAGTTCCAATATACATTAATAGAAGGATTGCATGAAATTGCATGGAATAAATTTCTGGCAATAAAAGACCTATTTACAGCATAAAAGTTGAAATTGCACTTATAATGAGACTTATGAATTGCTATACAGTCTGATCTGTTCTTTTGTATGGAGAAGGACCATGGACGTTCATAAAGAATACAAAAGAAATATTGCATCATTTGAAAATTTGGTGTACAGTAGAATGATGAGCATATCATGGAAAGATGTGAAAAAATACTGCATATGGAAGGGCTTAAACAAAATATCCTAAAATGCAAAATACATTGGCCACAGTAAAATACATCAGAGTCTCTTGAGAGATTTATTGGAAGGAATAGGAGCAGTTACCAGACCAAGAGGGAAACCAAGAACTAACTCGGAGGGGAACATTGAGACATGGAGGGGAATGACACTGTAAGAGTGTACTATAATGGCAGAGAACAGATATGTGGTAAAATGTTGCAATCAGCCTCCGAAATGGGAAAAGATATCTTGATAGATAGACTATTCCATTTGTATACCAATTCATTATTTAATTTGAATTTTGCTGGTCAGTGATGCTACTAGTACATGTATTTGAATGAGTATCTGCAAGTCTATGTATTCATTTGCACATTCATATACATTTATTCAGAAGTGTTCCCACATAGCTGTGTGTGGTGAATATACATGTAGATATTACATTCTATTTTTCATTTTTCATGTATATATTATAATTTGTACCTGTTTGATACTGTAAATAGGTTGACAGTGTATGTATTAATTGATGTAAAAATGTATATACAAATGTATCAGCAATAATGTTTTTATTAAAAACCTATTTGGAAGTTGTAAATGTACAAGAAAGATCATGTGTGACTTGCTGATTCTTTATATTTGTTTTTTATTTTAAAATAGTGATGTGGTACACATGTATGTTCTATGAAATCTGCTTACTATTTTATGTTTTACTGGTCCCAATTTGATGCCAATTATAACGTGTTGGGAAATTGTGTTATAATTACACCTCTTTACAGAGAGGCGAAGTTTGATGTTTATTGTTATCAAACAGAAGGTGATCTTCTCCTAAGTATCATATTTTGGAGATCCTCCATGTTCCCCTTGAAAAACCCTATACACACCTTGAACATATCACCTAAAAACATCATTTCACAATATTTGCATATGAATGTTTTTCTTCTGAAATTATGGGAAATTTTAGGATTTAAAAGCTTATTTCCAATTTTAAAAATCCTGGCATCAAATACCATACCATTAGTCACATAACAAAATTGGATGCAGTGTGTGTAGATCTTTTTGGGGTCTTTGCTGCTCAAGCATCTAGGTCTCTGAATCAATAGCTATTAAGCCAAACCACATAATATAGAATGATTATCACGAAAGAATTAAAGCACGATGACAAACAGACATGAATGTAGATTGGAAATTATCCATTTTATTGAGAAAAAACATTTCCTTTTCCTTTTTTACACAAGTGCGTGTTTGCTTTTATATTTTGGATACTATTGTTGCGTAGAACTGGAGAAAAGAAGAAATACATTGAAAGATACTGTATTGATACTTATTAGTTATTACTTAATACTTAAATATGATTAGGAATAGCCAGTGTTATATTCCTAGACATGTACATGCATCAATAGCAACTTTCATTTTCATCCAGACAATATTGGATCAAAGGATTTGTTCTTATAACAAAAAACTCATAGACATGGGGTACGAAGGTCCATGTATTTTATCCTGAATTAAAAAAATTAAAGAAATTTTGTCAATGGAGTAATAAAATCTTATATTAGATAGCTTTTACAGATGAAAGGTTGTGATTGGTCCACAGCTTGTCACCTGATATCGATTGCAAGGATTGTAATTAGCATATCTCACTCCCAGTCATTTTTCAATGTTATATTGACCACCAATCAATTAATTCAGTCCCTCCTTCATATTCCTGTTCTAACTGGCAAGTAATATCAATAATTCTATGAATTGCAACTTATTTTGTTTTGCTATTTGAAGATATTATTTGTATTTCGTGCTGAGCAGATACATTTCAAAGAAATGTGTCTGCAGTATCCAGCTTGACAAAAAATGTGATCAACATAGACACAATACATACTATTTAAATCTTTAAATGTGGCTTTTAAAGTGTAATTAATATTTACAATACATATACATATTATACATTTTTTTAAATCAAACAACAATATATACAAATTTCAGCTTATTCCTTTAATTAAAGTAAAACTTGATTATGTAGAACACATTGACGAATTTGTAACTATGCAAGATATCAATGACACATAATCCAACAAATACATATGCCAATTGCAGACTGCTTGCAAAATAATGCTTATATATAAAATGCCAACTCCTAACAAAATTTGCAGAGAAAAATAAAAATGAATTGCTCACCAAAACCATAAATATGCACATACAACTTTAATTTCTACAGGTACTTTGATCTAGTAAGGCAAACACAGATAAGACCATTCATAAAAATGTGCATCAATTAATATGGGAGTGATCTCTATAACATGAATACAATAGCCCTCATACATGCTAATGTATCAACATTTATTCTCTCCCTCCACATAACTTTGCTGCTTCCAATGTCTCACACACAAACACATTGTAAACTTATTCAACACTTGGAATCCGCTTTAGAGGGCGAATAGTAAAATGTTGATCTAATTTTTGTAGAGAACAGCATTCATTAATTTAAATGAAAACAATTAAGTGAAAGCTTTAAATCTATAAAGATATATATATATATATATATCAGTCCTTAGCTTTAATATAAAACCAAGATATTCGTTTTTATGGTTGAAACGCACAGAAGAGAAAAAGCATAACAAATCATATAACAAGGGAAACGCTCTCGGCGGTCTCGCCTGCAAAACCCGATTCAATATGATAAACCAGAACGTAGCACTCGTCCGCATCTCGCAACAACAAATATCGTAAATTTTATGTGGTACACTATTGAACTGGTCAAAAAATAAAAATTTGATGCCCTGGAAGGGACATAATTTAATTTCATTTGCATAAAGTACCATAAATAATCAATGGAGAAAAATCTCAAAATTCTGTGTAGAAGTTTAGTGTTCCAAATTTAGCTCTACCAGATAAGGCAAACCAAATCAAAATCGGTCAAGAAATGAGGGAGAAGAAGCAATTTTTGTTATTTTTGGAATAAATTTGCATAAATTACCATAATTAATCAATGGAGAACAATTTCAAAATTCTGTGTCGAGGTTCAGTGAACCAAAGTAAGCTCTACGATATAAAGCAAACCAAATCAAAATCGGTCAAGAAATGAGGGAGAAGAAGCAATTTTTGTTATTTTTGGAATAAATTTGCATAAATTACCATAATTAATTAATGGAGAACAATTTCAAAATTCGGTCTAGAAGTCTAGTGTACCAAAGTTAGCATTACCAGATAAAGCAAACCAAATCAAAATCGGTCAAGAAATGAAGGAGAAGAAGCATTTTTTGTGATTTCGATTAAATTTGCATAAATTAGCATAGATAATGAATTTCACGATTCTGTTTAGAAGTTTTAAATCCCCCTCCTAGCCCTATCATATGAAACAATCAGAATCAAAATCAGTTGAAAAATAATGAAGAAGAAGCATTTTGAAAATCTTGATGTTGATGCAACAAAGTCTAAGTCTTGTTGACCTTAAATGACCTTTGACCTTAACTTAGTCTTTCAACCCTTATTTTTCAAATTTCGCAAAAAAATTCACTATGTAACTTTAGGTTAATAAGGACCATTCATTCATAGTAATCACAGATTATACCGTGTGAGTTAAAAAAAAGTTTACACCTAAAAAATTGCTAATTATTTTAAAAATCATCTATGAACAGTAAATTATTATACATCTTACAAAAGAGTGTTTTATCCCAAATCATTTGGTATCAATTTTGTGTGGTATGTGTTCATGCTTAGATGAACAGGAGGCATTGTTTGCGAGAGTGCAAAAATCGACTTGCGCCAAAGTGATGCCTACAGTATGCATTATGCTGGGATTAGCGAATGAGAGAATGAATTGATTGTATCAAATGAAATGCATTGCATATGCTTTTTGCAGAAGGAAAGTCACACACACACGCAAAAATGTTGTTGATACGTGTGGCTTGATTAATTTTGTTAGGGATGTTATTTGGCTCTGCAAAGACCGAATTAATACCCAAATCCCAATTGTTTTATTCAAACATCACATAAGCAACTTTGGCGCAAGTCGATTTTTGCACTCTCGGCGCAAACAATGCCTCCTGTTCATCCAAGCGTGAACACATACCACACAAAAATGATACCAAATGAATTGGGATAAAATACTCTTTCATAAGTTGTATAATAATTTACTGTTTATAAATAATTTTTTTAATAATTAGCAATTTTCTAGGTGTAAACTTTTTTTGGACTCAAACTGTATAACCTTCAAAACCTTTCATAAATATGATACTTGTTACAATACATGTATTATGGATAACAGAGTCAGAGTTTATTAATTCCCAATGCTAATTTTTTCTTTGTAGTTGATTGTTTAAAACAATCTCTCTTATCTCGAGGTATAGAATGTATAATTCCTTTTGCAAAGAATATGGAAGACATATTCATCACATCTGAAATTCTTAAAGTCAGTAGTAGACAACCAATTTCTCTCCCAAATTACTCCACATATTTTTATCGGGAAAAGTCAATTTATTGATATATTCCCCCCCCCCCTTATCATTCGATAGGTACAGCTTATTCCATTTCTTTCCATTCTCTGTATATACACACACATAACAGATGCACTAGATTGTATTCTTTTCATTCCAATCCATTTTCACTGCTTAATATATTGCACACTGACAAAAGCCATCGCACTTGATACCAGTGCCAGAGATCACAGTTATTGCAGACTCTTGTATACAAAGTACAATTTCTCCCCCAACTTAATATTATAGTTTTCCCTAAACATATTGTAGTTTTTTATTAAACCTGGTGCGAAAAAAAGACAAAATAAATAAATAAATGGATTTAGACTATTTCATGTGCTAAAGCTCTCTTAAGTTTGATGTATCTCCTAAATGAATACATAATTGACATAACTGCTACCATTGAGACAGAAATATTTGCAGATAACAACAATAACAATAGCCTGTATATCAAATTTCTGATTACGTACAGGTGAAGTGATGCACAGTGCAATGCATAGCAAGTAGAGAACACACAATGAATGTCACAGAAGTCGCATTCTTTCACACATACAGGTCAAGTTCATGGAGCAGCGACGGTTCTCTCCCATAGAATTGCATGTGGAGGCAATTATTTGGAGCTCCATTAATTGACCCTTGAGCGAGCTCATGTGTTTCAACTATTGCTATCAATGTGCTATGGTGTAGTTGACTCCTCTTTTCATAGACCAATTATCTATATCAGGCAAGTCATCCTACGATGCAAATCTAATACCATCGCAACACAAAGACCACTTGGCTATACACAGGATGAACTCAAGATACTTAAAATGTTTTTCACTCCTAAAAATGCATGGCTGGCAAACAAATACAGAGGGAAAATTATTAAGCAATAATCAAACCCTACTTCCCTAAGAAAATTCTCTCCTTGCTAATTTCTTGTGTTGTCTCACACGATTGAAACAATACAAAAAAGTTAAATGTAAACATAAACTCTGGGTGCATTCCAAATATGTTCTCATATTCATGATCATAGGTTCAATTTGTTCTCGTAACTTAATATAAATAAATACATTAAAAATTCACATTTTATAAAAATACATAATTTAGGTGTTTTACCATTTTTCCTACATCGTTTTCTTTTTTAACAAAATGATTATCTGAGCTGTGATTTTAGTAAATTTTATTGCACTGTCTATCAAAGACTACATAATTACACAACAAATGTATCCTTTTTCCACAAGAAATGCACATGGAATGTAATAAACGTTAAAGAATTTGTATTAAGTAAGTAAATGTTCATTCGTCTATATGCCTCACATCCTCATAAAAAGGAAATTAAATGGTAAGTTAATTATCACCAACCATGAGGGCAATATTAGCAGCTGGAGGGCACCGGGCCCCACCAGGCAGAGCTGACGATTGAAATGGGTTATAACAAAATATCGCAAAAAATATTGCAAAATTATTTACTTTACTTGTATCAAAGAGAACTGTTGCTGAGCTAGCGCCATGAGCGTCCCTGGACGGTGTGTGCGCTCTATAAGTTTACACTATTATTATTATTATTATTATTACAAACCATCTTCACTGAGATAATCTAATCTCTGGCTATCATCTTCATAACCCTTTATTACAGTAAAACCTATCGCAGACTATACAATCCGACTGCAATCAAATTTTTAAGAAATCACATTTGCAATAAGAGTAAAGGCCAAACTGGCTTCAAATCATTGACATATGATGTCACTACCATTAGGAGCCAATTTAGCTTTCCTCATTTCCACAGTTTTCATTTCTAATTAAAAATAGGCTAACAAGTAAAGAAAAAGACAAACTTGAGAATTAATATTATTTTAGGTCTACCGTATTAAAAAAAGTTCTGAAAACAAGTTGTAATCATGTGGTATTATCTAAAGCAAATTTCCTACATGTAAAAACAAAAATATCTATCCTTCTCTGGCAAGAATTATACTAAAAGGCACTCAACTATAAAAGTATATAAATGTTCTCACACAATTTCTTTGGGGTTTGCAAGCAACGACCAGTGAGTTTAATTTCAGCAAAGAAAATGTAAAGAGCATGTTCTCCGAGAAAACCATTGTATAGATTATTTTCAAGTATTTTCCCCAAGAGAATAGTAGCTTATCAAAGGTACAGTTTAAAATAATGATCATTTGAAAATTTCCTGGAATTTTGTATCACTCATATGGGGGAAGAAAAATCATTCATAAGATTCAAAGATCAATATATTTTTGTAGATTAATAGATACATTGAACTCTTTTCTCACAAACACATCAAAGGATGTCATAATTACATGTACATGTGCCTAAAATCAGATCTTTTGTGAGAAATTTTTAACTTTAAATGTTTTTATTTTGATGCAAGTGATACGTTAATGTACATGTATCTTTATACATAAAACATTAAATTTCAGAAAGGAAAAAATTATAGCTGATCCCATATATCAAGCAATTAGAAACTGATTCTATGATTAATAGAAAAAATAGGTTTATTCAGCTCTTTAGTAATAAATTAAAGAAAAAAGTATTGGTTTGTACAAAAATGAGCTAACATACACACAAAAGCTTCACTGTGATCACTCTACAAAATATATCTATTTTTGTGGAAAACTAGCATCACGCAGAGCAAAATAAAAAGTTTATTTTGTTCTTAATGATTTTTTAAAAATATTGTCATATTTCATTTGAACTGCACTCTGTCAATTGGGAATATTAATTTCAGTATCACAACAGTTGGCACAAATAACCCTTAATTCACACATTACTATACAGGATCCTTTAGATTAAATCTAATCCAATATTATACAAATATTGACTGCTTTGAGGGGCATGGTTAACATTTTTGCCCAAGGTGATCTGAAACTATGTCCCAAGAAAAAAATTGAGGGCCATAGCGCTGTCTCAAGATCACCGCAAGATGTACCGGTATACACACACTTTTAACTGTGACATGAAAAATCAGCAGTCAATATTTGTTTTATAAACTACATATTGTGTGTACAAGAGAATTCTCTCATCATATCATGCATTATGCATGAGAGGGAAATCGCATGATAAATAGCAAATATATTTTTATGCAACCATACATGGCTAAGATCATGGTCACTCAGTACTAAACAAAAAATAAAGTACACGATTGCAGTATTGATAAGTTTTTATAGGTCTTCTGAACCCCAACTTCATGACAGGTAAGTGCAATTTTTACTTAATAAGTTAATGTGGACCGTGCATAGCGAGGAAAGCTAATGAATGACTGGTATTGAAGGAAACAGACCATAATGCACAGATAAAATGCACTCGATCTAAATACATATTTGAAAACATTGCATTGCTACGCAAGGATTTCATCCACTCTTTATCACTAATTTTTCAAAAAGTACATAATTATTTCTGCATGGACAGGATACAATACAACCAACATTGACATATACCTGATAATACTGATTCACAGTGCACAATTGTACTGTCGTGATCAATGCAATGGCCATGTGCATTGACTTGATTCTGCTTATCAAGAAGAAAAAAGGAAATAAAAATATCAAAACAGAAATATAAAACATGACATAAGCCTTTTTAAATCTTAACATGATAGTCCACCTTGTCTTGAATTTTCTTTGTTTTTATTTTTCATGTTGAATACATCACAATAAATTCTTGCAGATTTGTCAATGCAATAATCTTTTATCTGCTTAATTATTAATAAAACTTACTCTTGAAATTGGCAGCATGATATAATATGTAAGGTTCTTTTCATACATTATTTACATCAATTTTCAATTTTATTGTTTAAAGGATGAAATGCATTGTACATCTGCTTTCGCCTCTTGAAGCTTGACCAAACACCGCCTTATTGAAAAAAATAGTGATTAATTTAGTTCAATTATAATGAAAGAAGTAATGTTATCTTTTCAAGCATAAAAACTGTAGCTCGAATATTTAATGGGGTTGCCTGTTTTTTATATGGTAGCAACGATTTATAATTTACAAATTACGAACCGATTCAAAATTTGATCTTGGGAGCATTGGTTCAATGCTGCATAATTTTGACAATCAACAGTGGACTATCTCTTTAAGTTTAAGTTATTTAAAAGTGAAGTGACTAAGACTATACTCCTTGTCTACATGTGATAACAACATGATAACAATATTGGATACTTGTATAGTGTTTATATCTACCATACAAGGTGCTCAAAGTGCTCCAATATTATGTACATGTATGATATCATCTGAATGATATCATCATATGAATGTATCATCTACATGTACAAAACATGTATGGTGAAAGGGCTCAATGATTCATATACTGAACTCTAGCTTTCAGTATGGAAAATGATACTATAAAAAAATGAATTCTACAAAGGTCATACCCCATGACTTTGAAGCAGAACTTGACCCTGACTCAACGGAGGCAATAGAGGGACCCTCGAGGGCTCCTATATGGAAAGCGAGTGATTGATCACTGGTGGTAACGGATGAGACTTTGTCATAGCGTCCTCCAATCAGCCATAGCAGATAGGATATCCTTGGTGTACTTGTCTTGTGTTGTGTCGACACCTTGATCACCGACCTTGCCATCTTCATACCTATGGAAGCAAGGATCAATCAACCAAATTGGCAACTATCTTGATACAAAAACAATAACATTATTACAAACATCTGAAGCCAGTATATTACATTGGAGTTAAGCATTGCTTCTAACACATTATAATCCCTTCTCTAATTTGGTGTTGCTGATTTTCCTATTGCTCTGAGTAGTGATCAGAAGGAAGAAGGAAACAAAACGATATTCTTTTCTGTTACTGACACGTAATCTTTAATTTTCAATTATACAAAGTTGTCCTACATGTAGCTACACAACCTAGGAAGAAAAAAAAGAGTGTCTCCATGCATGTATATACATACACAATTCTTATTTATAAAGGGATATAAGGGGGAAAAAAATGGTTGTTTGCTGCTGCAAAATTTGCCCCATTTCCTATTTTGACAAACTATAACTCTCCCCCCCCCCCCACCCCACCCCCCCCCCCCACACACACACACAATGCATAAAACTGCAATACTTTATGTGTGTATTAAAGCTTGAGAATATATAAGAAATACTTACACAAAGAAGAATCTGGTACACACATGGTCTGGATTACAGCAAACCCATACATGGCCATGTCTATTCAACTCCTTCGAACTTATCACTGAAATAAAACAGAGAGTTATTTTCATGAAGTGCAAATTTAATTGAATAGCTTTGTTGCATAATTGGGATTTTTTCCCTCCACAATTATTAGACACAACACATGTTTACATATCATATACATGAAGATGCTACAAAGCCTATTAAAAAGAAATTACATCATACTTTATATAAAAGTACACTCATGGAACCTTGCACTGTTTAGATCAGTTTAGTTCAGTTGCAGTCTATATTTTCATTCTCAATAAAAACAACATACATAAAATATACAAACAACAGAGCATCATCAATAGAAAATAATACAAAGCAATAAGACAAACAAATTATGAGAATAATAACGTTTGTCTTCTACTACAACTGTGTGAATTAGATATGGAGCACAACTGATGCCTCTCTTGGAAATGAAATCAATTCATTGAATTTCTTGAGTGAACAGTGACAGAAGACTCTTCTTCATGTAGTTTTTCAAGATGTAGACAACCATTTAACTCACCCTCACATAAGGCAATACATCTCAGGTTTTTACTTTGTAAAAATCTGCAAGCACTCTTCTTTGGTTCCTGCTAAAAAAAGAAGGAGGATAAGATGACAATTCACATCAAAAATATGTTCTGATGATATTGTACATTGTATCATTAAAGGTTGTATAACATTATCTTGCAGTAAACTGATCCTGAATATTGAAAATAAGTACTACATATGCAGTCAAACCTGTCTATATTGCAAAAAAACAGTCTTTATAGACCGGTGGTCTTGAAATGAATTCTTTTTACATTAACGAACAAGGATCTAGGAGTTCTGATGTATAAAACAAATGACGCATGTTTCATTCTTTTGCTAAAGGATCTATCCGCTCTTGCTGGGGCTATTTTTGCACCTATCATAAACAACCTGACGGTTCTGTACGATAGATGCATACAGCCTCAACTCAAGTGCAGATAGCTTGTATAATGAACTCCTTTGTATTGCTGAGCCACCAGGACGTCCTCCCCGGAGGTGGAAAGACCAAATCCGCCAAGACTCTGGATTAAGCCTGGAGGCTGCCCAACACCAAGCCCAGGACATAAGTGAATGGAGGCAGACCATCCGTAGGAGCACAAGGGGACACTCTGTCCTGTGCACTTAAGTCAGTACGTCAGTTTGTATATATATATAATATAACTTACAACAGGAGGTAGTTTCTTGACTGGTTGATGTATTCCATGTCCCATGCCTGAGTAGCCGAATGACACACTAGAATGGGGACTCAGATAGATACCTTTCCCATAGGCAGCTCCATGCATCTGTAAGAAACCATAATCAAGACATTCAATTTGAAGCTGCATTCAGTTTAGATTAATAGCCCCTTACTCACCCAAGCAAAAGACAAGTATACCTGTAATCTTATGTCTTTTACATTTGTCAAAAGGAAGTTTTACAATCAAAGTTATTAGAACAAATGTTGACAGAAAAATCATAACATCATTGATGTTAAAATATGATAATATGATAATATCACTGATGTTCAGACTTGTAACTATGCTGTTCATGCATTAATTCTATCTAGGTTAGATTATTGTAATAGTCTTTATACTCTTTTGTCTGCAAAAGATAGAAGGAGAATTGAAACTTTCCAGAATTGAGCCGCAAGATAAATTTTTTGGTCTTCGATGTTCGCCTTTGATTAAAGACTAGGTAGGACCAATGACTCTATCATCATCTTGATTTCTTTTAATGTAATGTACCATACCTGATGTTTAGTGCCTGATGCATTGATGAGTCCATGCCTAAGGATGGAGTGCCAGTTCTCAATGTTAGAACCGCTGTGAAATGGGAGGAAAAGATAGATTAAGGTTATTCATGTAATCAACAATGCTGGCAATAAATTAAACTGACATGCTCTAGTCAAATTACAACAACAACACTGACACAACATCAACAATAATATAAATAATAACAAAAATATTGAAAATTTATCATTATTATTAATATGCATCATCATTATTGTTAATTAATTAGCAAATTGACATATCAAATAAAACAGTTTGAATGAAGGTTAAATTACAAACGTTAACAAGAAACACTTCATCACTGCAATGGGTTATGGTCTGATCATTATGTTTAAATTTAACCCATGGTTTAAATCTTCATTTACATGACCCATGGTCTAAAATTAGCACAAAATAAGTGCGACACAGTCAGAGGTCCAATATTAGACGTACGCAAGGCAAGATACGCTTATTTTGCGCTAAATTTTAAACAATAGGTTATGTAAATGAGGGTTTAAACCATGGGTGAAGTTAAACATCCTTTGTGAATTCGGGCATATCGGTTGGAACGATTATGAAGGTACTTACTGGAAAGCAAATATACTGCCATGCTCTTGCTTAGCTTTCCTGAAGGCTATCTCTTTGGATGGAGTACTGCTGAGAAGGAGGAACTGGTGTGGTGTGTGCATGAACCGAATTTGCTGTAAAACATGATCAGAAAGAGAGGCAAAATTACACATAATGTGTTTAATACAGGAGAAAATATGAACTTATGGTTTGTGTGTGAGGACTGGTTTTGTGGTAACATATTAAAAGAACTAGTAGAGGAATGCGATTGATTGTCCAATATGCCCCTGACTTTGTCCAATGAATCAATAAGTCTATGACCTTTAACCCTCTTGACCCCAACCTCAGGTCACTGAATGTGTTCATGCTTTGCCATGGCAGCGAAGAAGAATGAATATCAAGGATAAACTCTTACTTGCAGAACATACTGATATTCCAATATCAATGCACAGGTGCCTGGAACACTATGCAATATCCTCACCATACATACCACTGTATGCAACATCTAAAAAATGTGTTAAAATACCAAGTGAACTATCATCTACATAACTAGATGCTTCTCAGGTTCACTCTCTAAAGGCTCATTCAGGTACGACACGGTAAACCGCCCGCAAAATTCTAACGCCGCAGTTTTGTAACAAGTTAATGAAGGGCAACTGCGTGAAACAAAGGTCCTGCCATGTATTCACTGAGCTCTGTGTTATATACAGAAATGTAACACGTACTACACTCAACATCATCATTGAAAAAAACAATGTGGTTTTGCATGTGATATCTGAATGAGGCCTAAATGGTAAGATAATCTCCAAGAACTAAATCATCATAGCAGATAGCACTCATTAAAATGAGTAGGAGCTGATAGACATATACTGTACCTTGTTAGTAGGTAGCTTCACTATATGTGATCTGTTGCTTGAGATGATCCTGCAAAGAGAATAGTTGAAATTGACTTTAATGACATAAATAAAGGATTAAGAATTCTTTACATCACATAGATTATCACTAAAAGAAGAGGAGTATCTAAAAGAAGTATTCATACATGTATTTTATATATATCAGATACAAAATCCTTGTCAGATACAAATAATGCAGTTGAGCATCTACAATGTTATACACAAGAGTAGCTTTAACTATTGAAGTTTAGTGTCTTATAAATGTATCATCATGCTATATGACAATAAATTAGTCTGATCTTATGTTGTGTCGTATGATTCAAGGTTTTAATTCTACCACATATACCACTGCAATAAGTGTTGAGCCCACACATCCATTCTATCCTTGTGTATGTCTTTCTGTTGTGTGATAACACTTACCATACATAGAGTTACATGTATGGGTTCTACAAGGCTTACAACTACAATACAGAATAAGCCATGACGTCCATTTAATCCTGTTCATCTTCATATTGCGTGATAATGGATAACAAACAGTTTCATATTTGTTTACTACTAGGTTTACTATTGCATAGAGCATGTGCCAAAACAACCATTGTATCCTTTTAGACCACTTCTATTGTGTGATAAGAGTTACCGTAACACACATTATGTTTCATGTTAGTTTCTCTCACTGCAAATTAGGATATGCCTTGATTCCACCTTGGGCACATGTTTTGTGTTAGTGTTCTACCACTGCAGCAGAGGATATGCCTTGATTCCACACAGGTCATCTGTATCTCTTTTCATTGTATGATAATGGTTACCACACATGTTTTGTGTTAGTGTTCTAGCATGCTTACCATTGTAACAGAGGATATGCCATGAAATCCATTCTATCCATCTGTTTCTTCATATCTGTCACACTGCCTGCAGCCAACATGTCCGTCATGGAACTAAACTTATCTAGCGTAGACTCCAACCGATCAAAATTCTTCTTCTGCACAACAAAGTTGGGAAAACTGCATTAGAGTATCAAGTATCAAGGGCTATATATCTAGCTTTGTATAGAAAACATTGCCTTCTGGAAGTAATGTTATCATTGATACTAGTAGTCTTAAGAGAATATTACACTGTGAACCGTAGGAAAGGGCACGGATGAACCCAAGGAAAATTTAGAATTTTAAATTTGATCCAAAGAGATGATTGGTGCTACCAAATTGAAGAATATTGACAAATACAGACGTATCATCATCATACATTATGCAACTTTGATTGTTTCTTTTTATAAACATGTATGTATTTATCAATGTTTTGCGTTTAAAAGTGATTTTTTGTATTACTGAATCAGTTATTGTTATTGTTGTTTTTTTTCCTCATGAAATCATAATTCATAATAATTACTTTTATAGGGGGGCTTACACCCTACAAGCTCTGCTTTTTAGTCGGCCCTCCTTCCCTTTCAATTTCATGTTTATTTTGTTGATGTATTGTATTGTGCAAATTGAGCTGTATGTATATAAATATGTGAATATGTTAAAAATGTACCATCATTGTAAATATGAACGATTGAAAGAGGAAAAATAAATGAATTGAATTGATTTGAATACATGCATACTAAAGCTTTTCATCTTGCACTCATTGGAGTAAATCACAATAAATCACAGACAATATGAGGAGAAGCTAAAGGAACAAGATGCACAGAAAATATGGGCTAAGATTGGCTGCAAGATAGTAGACATAATGTCAGCAATTTAACAAAAAAAAAAGGCTGTAGCAAACAAAGCGCACCCCCCCCAAAAAAAAACAAAAAAAGGAGTTGTGATTGGCTGCCAGTAATGCCAGCCTTTTTTTTCCTTTAGTTTCCGTTTATATTGTCTGATTTCAGCTTTCGGTTCATTCTTGCAATTCACTCTGATGAGTATAAGATGAAAAGCTTAAATATGTCTATATTCTTTGCTATTCTTATACTTTATTCTTCATTTTCTTCATACTCCCTAACCATCAATCACTAAAGTGCAGGGTAATTTTATTTTCATTCATTTTTGATTGACTATACACAAATAATGTTATTAAAAGTGATTTGTTCCCTCAAAATCCAAGTACTACATTACCTTAGGAGAGAAAGCCAGCTCTTTGCTACTCTTTGGGTCAACCACACTAGGGAATGGATCCAGTATAAGTTGCCTCCGCCTTGATTTGACGGCGGCCAGCACCATCGAGACGAGGAGGTCAACGACCTCTGCTCCTGTCGCTATATTCTCTGCTGCATCCTGCATTACCCCCAGCATTTGGAATGAGAATACACACAGCTCTCGCTCACACACAGCAGGCTGACAACAAAGAGAAAAATAAAGTTAGCTCTCACTATCATCATTAATTACTATTATTATAATTTGCTGTTGATGTTTTTTTTTAAAATAATTTTTATAATTAACACCACTATTATCACCATCACCATCATCATTACTATATTGTTGCTCTATAGATCTATAAAGACATCAGCAAGATTAAAAAGACAAGTTCATTAAATTTTCATTGTACTGTTCTGAGAACTTAAAAACAAACATTATCATAGATACAAATAATAATATTTTACATTTTGAAATATAAAACTAGAACATTCAATATAAATCATCATAGAGTATAATAGTGATTAGACATTACATATATAAATATATATAATTATTATTATTATTATTATTAACATCATTATTATTATTATTATTAACATTATTATTATCATATACAATACCTTATATCTTATACATAATATGATGTACATTATCATACACGCTTCAGATTATCCTGCAAGACACAGAATGATTATTTTCTAAATCCTTCCCTGGGAAAAAAATTTCTTATCTTACCTTGAGCATTGCACCATTTTGAAATATATGTGGTTCATCACAGACTACACAGAATTCACTGAGATTGGGTATCCTGTTCTTCAGATAGCCATACATCTGCCATAGGAAACCATGCTCTAAGCTTGGAATTTGCTTGGCTTGCTTCTGGTCCTGAAAGGTTAAAGCAAAAGTGAATGCTATCATCATCATCATCATTGCCAATAAATAATATGATGGCAGGGCTCTCAGAGAGAACAGTGTTGATAATAATGAGGCTTTCCTGGGTAAACAAGATGCAATATTGTTATTATCATTATTCTTGATAGAAACATCCCCTGAAAAAATCTTGCTCTTTAAGTGATCTCATGTTCAAAATATGACATGTCTGTGTGCTCTGCATATGACCTTTGGCAAGAATTAATGAAATTCTTATCATATTTGCCATTGAAAAATCAACAAATTGTATAAACCGATTCATATATACTACAATATCTACTATTCCAAATTGCTTTCACAATGCAATCACTTGACCAGAAATAAACTTCATATTTAAGCATTTGTAGATGTATAAATTGGTGAATGGACTGACTCTGATTCCATACCTGAGTTGCTGCTGGAATAAGATGCAGCTCTTCCTTGCCAGGAGATGGAGGTGAATGACCGGTGGAAGAGGAACGTTGCCATGGTTGCCATGGAAACATCTTCTTCCCAAACTTCTTGGAAGAGGAGTCAGGAGAAACAGGTGAGGGAGACCTAAATACATACAATGAATAATAAACAATCACCACCACATTGTTAATGCAAAGACACATAGGTATATAATTTTTTTCCATCCGTCAATTATGGTATATTCTCCCAGCTTGGAGGTTGATTAAACATTTCTCCACACATCTCTGTTCTCTGCCATTCTAGTACACTCTAGAAGTGTCATTCCACTCAAGGTCTTCATGTTTTTTCCTCTCAGTTGGTTCTCAGCTTCCCTCTTGGTTTAGTACCTTTTACTTTGCCTTGAATTTATTTGAATACATTCCTTCTCTGATATAATGGAAGGTCTAATAGTGTACTGTATATCAGAAATAAATATATATATATATATATATATATATATATATCACATAAAACAATTAGCTTTATGTTTCATTGAGCTATTAACTTAGAAACAATTTGACTTTAAAGAGATATCTGATGTAATAAAACTGCAGTTTACTTAGATAAATTTTATAGGAAAAGTTACATCATCTTTGTAACATCTGACATTTTTTAAAATTATGACAGCTTCTTGTATAGCGTCAGTATCTGCTTCTGCTGGGCCTTTATGCCGTAATGCTTCTTGTAATTTGTATCACATACATGTAGTTGATTGGATCTGTATATTCATTCTGGCTACATGTACATATTCTCTCAAACAGCTCAATTCAGCTCACTTGGTTCATCTGAAAGCTTCTCTGTAGGTTATTTCTTTGTTTTGTTCAGGGATGGCTGTTCGACAGGTCAACTGGTCTTTGTTAAACCCCTACATTTTGATTTGTAAGAGTTCTTTGCATTTTTTCCTAATTTTTTTTTATACATTTGTTAATATTGTTGATTGATTATTTGTGATTTCATGCAAAATGTGGAAAAATAAATTGGTTTTGACTTGAAATCAAACAGGCTTCAAATAAGTTCTTGAAATACAATATGATTTCACCTGCAGTGAGGAACTGGTATAAAAAATTTGTCCCTTTCAATTCTTCAAAAAAACTCACTCAGAACTTGGTGACTGGCTCATAGAGCTGGAACTTCTTGAGAAAGATATAGGAATCGTAAGAGTACGACCCCTTGATGTGTTGCTATGGTTACGATGACCGTCTCGCTGACATGTCCTGCAGTAAAAATAGGTCAGACAAACATTACAAGGGCTAATAACAGAAATAGTTGTCCATGCTAAACACTAAGGGGCATATCTACCATTTAAATGTAACCCCACACTGGATTTATTTCATTTTATAGACAAAAGAAAATGTCCTCAATTTAAATTCCATTGTTAAACTCCACCTTTGATGGAGCATAATCAACATTGTGTATAAATGTTAGTAGGATAATGGCCTATGGAACCAAATGCCACAATCTAATTTAAAGTTATAATTTTCTAGAGAAACACCACTACAGAAAACTGACAACATACCAATGCATTTTCAATAAGCAACATTATTTTCTTTAAAGAAAAATGGTATATTCTAAGATTATTGGTAATTCACAAATAATCTTCTGAGTATCATATCTACACAACAATAGGAAAATAACAGCCTATGTATGACCTATCAAAGATTTCCTAGCCCAAACATTCATGGCAGGAATGCTGCTATTATATCAATAGGAGCACATTAGCTAATTTCTTAAAATGGTATCAAAGTGCGCAAATGGTCAGATTTTGCCAGAAATATCATGTTACAAATATGTGCACTAAATGTAAATGTTTGATCCAAGGGGTGGTTCTACGGGTGGGGTGGGGTGGGGGTGGGGGGGGGGGGTGGGGTGGGGTGGGGGGGGGTGGGGTGGGGTGGTGGTGGTGGTGGTGGTGGTGGTGGTGGTGGGGTGGTGGTGGTGGTGGTGGTGGTGGTGGTGGTGGTGGTGGTGGTGGTGGTGGTGGTGTGTGTGCAGGAGGGGAGGATTTGACTCACTTGCTGGGTGATTTCTCTCTGCTCTTCAGATGGGCAAGTACTGCTTTGTTGGTCAGAGATTTCCAATGGCCAAGGAGGAAGCTCTCTGTGATTCTAAACATCAAGGGCAGAAAAGAAAAACAAATCAAGTAGTAAGTTCTCCTCTCTATGTGTATATACAAAAATTCCTTGTACCAACACGAACCATTGTCATGCACAAGTGTTCTGTTATAGAATCATGGCAAGAGAATGAGATTCACTCTCCAGCATGATGTTTGAAAATGGCATACTGCGGGTTGACGTAGGAGGGGGCACGAGACACCGAGGTATTATTCTACTAGGGTAAAACTGCAATTGAGAAGGGCATGCTTGAAATGATCCTTTCATATTTTAGATGTTCTCTATTCTTTTTTTTTGTCTTTAACCATGAAATTTTCAGCATTTTTTTAAACAGAGGTGTATGGTGGAAAGACAAATTAAACCTCAGTCTAAATTTCTTTTTTCAAAAGAGAATTTAGACCTGGCCTCAGGTTTAATTGAATTAGTAGTCTACTAGCCATTGAATCTTTGAGGAAATGATGGAACAGCTTTTAATAACAATGGTTGTATTTGCATATAAAGGGTAAAGGCGCATAGGGTGGGCTAACAAAAAAATTGTGAGCAGTCCCCTACGGATACATCGTGATCTGTGTGCCAATCCATACACGTTTATGATGCCTACTAATATTTGATGGCAGCTTTTTTTTAGGGCGGTTGTCCGAATCAGGCTCAAGAATGCCTGCAACTGGATTCATCCAAGGACTTACTTTTTCATTTGACTGCAGACCCCTGGTTGATTACTCTTTGAACTTTGGAATACTGACACTTGAGGGCTATCTGAAAGCACATAGATGAGAAATAAAATCTGATAAAAAGCAGCAATAATAGTGTTAAAATATGATTATTCTATTCCCCTAACATACATGTAGGAGCATGTATATACTTTTAATTAAATATCAATAGAAGTTTCCTTTCAATTACTTTTATATATTTCACCTTGATTTTTAGAATAAATAAACAACACATAGCAATTTCATTTAGATGAATTATTTCAAGATCTATATCAAGATTGAAATCAAGTTCGAGGTTGGGATTGAGAGAGGAGAGAGAAAGAGGGAGAGAGAATGAGAGAGGGGAAGAGAGGGGAAGAGAGGGGAGAGCGGGAGAGGGAGAGGGAGAGGGAGAGAGAGAGAGAGAGAGAGAGAGAGAGAGAGAGAGAGAGAGGGGAAGGGAGGAGAGGGGGAGGAGAGAGAGAATTGGAATAAAAATTTGGAAAGATGAGAAGGAATACACTTACTTTCATCCAGGTATTTACTGAGTGAGCAGTGAAGACGTACAACTAAAGGCTGTTCTCTGTTCAGACACCAAGCCTTAGCTATCAAATCCTAGAGAGAACAAAAAACAAAAAAACAAGAAACAGGGAATTACACCTTCATCATGCAGAGTTAGTCAGTGAAACTCTGAAAGCATAAAATCACAGATGCAATGATAAAGCGAAAAATATGAAAAATCAAACATTTTGTTGTTGTTGAAAGTTGAGATTATTGGTGATTAGGGAACCTCTCATTGAAAATCCTTTCATGATGTTTATCATCAATGTCAGGCAGCTTCTTCATTTGTTAAATGTCTTAGATAATACTCAACTCTTTATCAATTTTTATTATCAACAGACACTTCAAAATATGTCTCCTAAAATTTATCAGGAAAAATGAGTCTGTTCCATTATCAAAAAAATTCTGAAAACCATTCAATCTTACGACTTGGAAAAGCATGATTTTGACATATTCCTCATCTACAGTGTATTATCATATTTAGGTATTTGCACCCTACTAAGGGGGAAAGTATAGCCCATCATTATACATGGTATACAAGCAAAATTTAATTTCATGCAATTCTCATTATTTCTTATTAAAGAAAAGGTTGTAAATAAATTTCGATCTCAATTTTCATTCTTTAATTTCAATTTCAAATTCAAATTTTAAATACATGTCACAACAGTTACCTGCAGAAAAGATACATCTAGTTGAAGGTCAATGTCAATGTCACCAAGCGCATCAAACATTCTGCATGACAAGAAAAATAAAGGTATTCAGACATCTAATTCGTAAAGTGATCAATCTTTGTTCCCCCCCCCCCATCGTTTCAATATTACCAACTAAAAATAAACTTGCAGTTCACAAGGAACATACAACTTACATCATAAAGCATCCTTTCTTGTGGCAAATTCTTACCCAATTTCCAAATCTGTGAAATCACTTCATTGATTGAAATGAATGCATTTTCAGACTTAATTGAGACTCAATACTGATAATCTGTGTATACGTGTACTGTAAATCATAATCCCAGCAAAAACATCTACTCCAATTTAAGTACATGTACCTACAAAAATAATCTGATTCTTGAGTTCACTTTAACTTGCACATTTCTGCCATTGCAATTCTATTAACCAGATAGACAAAGTCAGAATTTTAACAGTTTACAAAAAAATATTTCTATTTCCCACTCAGTATGTAATGTAGTAAGTAAATAAAAGAGTTTGCATATACCTGTATGATATGGCCTGGTTACCAGCTAATTGTTTGACTTGCTCTATATCATGAGCTAGAAGTGGATGCATCTTAACTTGCTCATCCTCATCAGAGAAATATTCCTAAAACAAAGATGGAAACAGTCATTGTTAGATATGGAAACCTATAGATCACTCACTCAAGCAAGAAAGGCATGTTGTCTTTAACTACAGCTTCCTTTCATACAGGTTTCAAAGAGAAAATTATTCCAGGGAATAAAGAAAATGTAGTCTTTATAGACAGGTGGTTCTTCTATACAGGTAATTGCTGTTGCAGTTATGACTGTAGTGTATATATATATAGTGGTTAAATTCAATACTTCTCAATGGTTCTTCTTAATAGTTCTTAAATCTAAAAATGCTTTAAGGTTTGCGGATACATCTACATGTACTACCAAACTTTTCCTGAACACTTTGGTTGCTTTTTCGCCTCTCTGCACCATCACTCGTTTGCCACATGTGTAATTTTGCACAAAACAATAGACACCAATTGATGGAAGGATTTCAATAACACATTCATTAGAAATTCTTGCTGTGACTCATTATCTATGGGATATCATCTTGGACTTAATCCAGTAACTTGAGTAATAACCAAAGTCTACAGCTGTACCACCCTTACCGGTATATCTTCTCCATCGGTATTATAGTAGTCCTCATCGACATCATTGTCATCTTCACCATCATCATCATAGTCACTGTCATTTGTATCATCACCATCTTCATTTGCAGGTATATTCTGCAGGGTAAAACAAAAATTATTGCTGACTTCATGTCAATACAAAACAAAGCAAGTATCTTAAAAACTGAACAATAAAGAAATTAAAAAAAGTTACAGAATTAATCATCACTAGAAATTAAGCACACACAAAATTGTAGCGTTAGATGGTGAGAAATAGTTAGGGAAAGATAGAGAGCAAGACAGAGAGATAGACAGACAGACAGACTCAAAGTGAGGGAGAGGAGGTGCGAGAAAGACAGAGATAGAGGGACAGAGGGAGAGACAGAGACAGAGACAAAGAGAGAGCGAGACAGAGACAGGGAGACACAGAGAGACAAGAGACAGAGACAGACACACCAAACAAGATCATCACTTTAAAAGTGTTACCCTTCTTTCACTATAGAAATTGTATCTAAATATTTTTATGAAATTGACATATGAGAAGATTTGGCTGTAATATGGAATATGGAAAACGACTGCTTTGAGTAGTATTGTACCATTTCTATTTTCACCCATTTGTAGTTTACATACCACATCCATGTCACTTGACGGACTATCTTCATTCAGCCAGAAGTCGGTCGTTTCGTCTGGTTCTTGGATTCCAACTCTTGGCAATGGATTCACACACTTGGGGTTCTTCCAGTATTCTGAAGTAAAAGAACAATCATTAAAATTGAAAATTATTTATGCACATGTGATGTTGCTTTTCAAACAGACATCTAAAGTATTTTAAAGGATGTTTTGATGTCCTGTGAAGTAATGCCATGTCCCTCTTGTTTCGAGTCAAGTGTCCAAGATGAAAAATGGCTGCATCTACAGCAAACCTACTGTTCAGAGCTAGGAGGGTGTTAACTCTGTGCTAAAGTATATTAGTTACTACACAACTGGCTCCAAACAAACAACACATCCACTGTTACACTTAAATTTTCTTGATATCACTCTGAGAGTATGTGTATATACTGTATGTTCCTGCACTCATGACCCTTGCAGTATATCATTATATTGAGCCAAGCGATTCTTAGAATGCATTCCCCCTTAGACATGTGAGCCGAAGAACAACCCTCAAAGGAGTTCAGGGAAGTTCCCTAAATGACTCTAAATTAAATAGTCCACATCCTTGCATTGTGCTACTCCAATAGGCAGGTGGGAATATAAAAGGCCGAATGGTTTTGATTGCAGCTCTCTGTTCTCTTTCCTGCATGTCTTAGGCCTGGCATTATGTAGGTCGGATGAAATATAAGAACTATGAAGAAAAGGGAAGTTGAGATAAGCTATACCCTACTCATCTTTTGTACACACTATACAAAGAAGGAGTCCAGTATCATCTATTTCCTTTCAGGTTACAAAGCCCTTCTTTGTAGAGTAGGCCAAGGTCTTAGCTGTCTAGAATTACATGAACAACATCTTTATATATAGTCCTTTATACACATGAAGTATTGACATTAGCTAGAAGCAGCCCATAGGTAAACACATTTGGTCTGTAGGTTTCGGACACTGGCATATATTATCAGTGAGGTTCTCACAACAGTCCGCTATTACTTGAAGTTAAGGTTGTGGTTATAACTTGGAAGTTATCTTTCAGTTAGGGACAGGACACATTAACTTGTAAGTTACAAAGCACGTCAGATCTTAAGGTTAGCATGATAACTACGAGCAGCCAGAGGTCCTCCCACAATGTTGTGTGAAGTGAGGATATGGCTACGCCATGCAGCTTGTAGTTTAAGTGAAATGCTTTCCCCAGCTTTTAGTTAACTTTAAATATTTGTCTTTTTGGTCCTGTATGAACCCTTGCCATAGTTTGTGCATCGTTGTTTATAAATTTTAAACTTGAAGTTCATAACTAAGACAGTACAACCGTGTGAATGTAAATGTAGGTAATAGGAGTCATGTATGAGCAAGGGCATGCGATGACCACTCAATAGATAGAAGGTGCTACCATGTATTGTGGCCTTGCACATTGTACAGTATTATCTTTCTATTCTGAAAGCTAATTAACACACAGGAGCATGCAAATAGAAGGAAACTCACTGCCTAGTTTAGTTTGTGTATGTCTCAAAAATGATAAATTGATTGCATAAAAACCTTCAAATTGGCAATAAAGATGTGTAGAATGTTAATAAAATGATAATTTGCCATCCATAAATCAGCATTGCTCTTACTGCAACTTTATAAAAATATAATAAAATAAAGTAAAAATCAGTCACTCCACAGGGAGTGATAATGAACATTTATTTATTCATTTTATTTGAACACTAGCATGCATAAGTAATGGGCAATTGATCTTTGATCTTTGATATTGATCCTTAGAATCACTCATTTTAATGATTTTGGTCTCATTTCAAAGATGATATTTTGACATTTTTCTTTTGCCAATGCGTAAAAATCATGTCATGTCAGATAAATTGTCTGATGCTGAGTTAGAAAGTTGTCATCATCTCGAGATACGCCTGTATACAAAAGCCTCTAGCAGTTGTAATTTTTGTTGTAAATACTGTGGAAGATAAGATAAAACCAAAGATATCGAAATTTCCAGAAAACCAATTCTCTCATCTCCCAGTGCGCATTGAGATTTAAATTAGGTTACCCACAGTACACACCCTACTTTTGACTGTGCGCTGGATAAGGATATAATGAGAGGAAAGCGAGAGTGGCAACAAAATGTACTCAAAATATGAATATTTTTGTAATGGTTAGGATCCGGTGAGGATACATCAATATTACAGATGTAATGGTTATTAGAATACCGCCCCTGGCATCTAAGGAGAACCAGACCAATCCTGTCATAAACAAACCTTCAGGTAAGAGGCACAATTTCCCAACAGCTTAAAAACAGTTTTTAATGTTTAATTCAGGTTTAAACCTAAACCTAAATACTTTGTATTTTTAAGCTAAATTTAACAAATTTCACATTACACAATATAAGCTTCAAAACAGCTTCACACCATAACAATTTGTGGCATCTTGCAATTCAAATTTAAAGCAAGGATGTTTTTTCCCCTTTTCTATCCTCTTGTGGTGTCAATGCCCATCTGCAGGGTCATTTACACTGCACGCAAAAACCATCAGTTCTGGAGTTTAATCATTGCCAGGCAACCACCTATAAACATGACAAAAAATACCAAAATCGAAAAAGCTCATCTCTGGAGTGTTTTAATTTCCAACTGATTGAAACTCAACCAGTTTTTGCAGTTTAAATATTCTTTCTAAAATCACTGGTGAGATATTCCAGTTTTTGCTTAAGTGACTCTCCTCATTTCCATGCTATTGCTTGCAGCATGTGGCGCATGCTTACAACCCACACACACACCAAAAAAAAAGTTAGCAAACACTGATGATTTTTTATGGAGTTTTCCAGTAGTGTAAACGGTAGTATTTTTAAAAAGATGATGGTTTTTCATATTATTTTCTGCAGTGTAAATGAGCCCAATGCGGTCATATATTCTACCTTCTCACCTCAGGCGCTGTTTATCATAATCACAAATTCACCAAGAGTCTCTGATCAGTAATGACGTAGCAAGTATCTCTGGGATTTAGAACCCGTTCTCATTATCCCCAAGATGGAAATATTATAATTTCACTACGAGTTGTCGGAATAACTGTCAGATAGTGGTCATACACTTGAGGGATTGTTTATTGGAAAGTGTATTTCATGTCATACAAGAGGAAAAGATTTATTTCAATCCCCTTTTTCTGCCATTTTAAAAAACACAGTGATTTCTTTTTCTTCTTCTGTGAATTTCCAAGAATAACAACATCCTGCAATTACTTGATGTTAATCGGAACATTGGGGCAACGTCTGGGACTTTTCTTCTATGGTTTTATGTGACAATTCATAGTAAAATAATAATAATAACAATAATAATTATAATGACTGCTGACAAACATTTTAAATTCGAGGAGGTGGTGTTACAAGCACATCTCTCTGATTGTCTTCATGTCTACATGTAAGGGTAATACAATATTCATGCCTTAGCCAAAATAAGCATTACAAATGTATTATAAACCTCAAACTATCTGTATTGTAGGAATTCTTTTTGTTCTCTATCTACTTGTACATGTATATCAGACGAAAAATATTTATGAATACTGGAGCAATGCATTCAAATATATTTTTTCCAATCATTCTTGTAATTGCATTACATTTCAATAAGGACTTTGGCACAATGCCCAAGGGGGACAAAATATCCTACGCACTTGACAAAAACATACATGTACATCATCTGCCAAGACATATATATTGTATGGAACAATTCTATTGAGAGGTGGTAATCTTGTCACATAAAATGATGAAAATCATGCATATTTAATAGAGCAATATAATGCCTGTATAAGTACTATTATACATCAGCGTATTATTTATTTATAATGCTATACATGATCAATGAGCCACTAACTGTCTTGGAATGAGGCAGAGAATATATATCTTCTGTTGAGAGTTAGAAGGGTGTTAACTCAGTGACAGGGCGTAAGTTAACAAATTAATGCTATTCTAGCTTTCTACCTCCAAACAGACAATGTTCCAAAGTTTTGTGGTAGGATCAAACAAAAACATTGAATGTTGATCCATCAGTATCAAAGAGGGGGGGGGGGGGGGGGGGTTAAGGGGGCAAACACAAAATCTAAAATACATTCAGTATACAGGATACCTCTGAAATTAAATGGGGGGGTCTATCATTTCTTTCTTTCTTAATATATCGTTAATAGGGCACAACTGAGTAACGAGAAGAAAACATAAAAAGTCATAAAAGTGAGGCAATCTTCAACGTGTAAGTAACGTAATAAACAGACAGCTTTAATGTAGACTCAAAGTCATCGTTTTTCTTTCAAACATCATACAGGTAACTACATGTATATATGAAAATCATAAACAAATGATAACTATTAATAAAATAACAATTTCATATTCACAAAATATATGGTCAACCTTGTTTAAGTTGGCCATGACGGGACTGAGTAAAATGTGTTGTCCTAGGCAATCTTCGACTTGTGAGTAAGTCATAGAAATAAGACTTTGTATATATCTGTATCTACTACATGTACATGTATCTTGTCCCTACATAGGCCTAGCATAATGTTGTGCCGCAGTACAGCTGGTACATGTAGCTTCATTGGGATTCGTTTAACATACATAAATCTATGATGGAAAATTCTGACTTTTTATTATCATCGACTTAAAGGTTATTTGACACATGCAATGTCGCTTTGTGCAAGGTTAATGTACATTGATTTCTCATACATGTAGTTCCCCTTTACTTTGCCAATATTTGACATGTAAATCACCCCTAGCTACCTATACAAATATTATAGCGCCTCTATGTCTTGATCAACAAAATTATATTATAAATCATTGGGTTACAATGTACTTACAATGTTTTCAACTTGAGATGTTGATAACAATTCACATTATACATGTAAATATTTAAAAATATCAAAATGACTAAAGGTCAATTCATGTACATCCTACATGTAGCTACATGAGTTACATTACTAGTGTATACTTACTCGGTGATATCGTATTGAAGAAAGTTGGTATGCGTTCATGAATAAGTAGAGGTTGATCAGGACAGTGGGAATACGTCAGAACTGTATTATCTAATTAGAAACAACAGCAAAAAGAGAAGAAATCAAACACAACATCATCTTTTCCCCTTGTCCCATCTTCATACATTTTGACTACCGGGTAGTAATAAAGATACTTGTTTTAACAAACTCTTGTATATAACAAGGTAATGATGTCCTTTTCCACTCCTTTGAATTCCTTCTTTTCCTTTATTTTGGCCATGATATAAACAAGGTGTTGGTTTAACAAGGGAATTTCCTTGGTCTCAAGGAGATTGTTATAATAAGGTTCCTCTTAAAAACTGATAAGTCATTATTGGAAAGAAGCATACAGGTGACACAGATGGTAAATATACCGGGGGTACATTTTAATGACATATAGTGTACCTACATGTATAGAAGAACTAGTTGTACAAAATGAAGTTTGGCCTTTGGGACAGCATGATGTAAATAGTGACTAAAAACACATGTATCAACAAGGTACATGTAAATAGGCCCAAACATTGGCAGTTTGAAACACACCCCAAAAAATCAAAGATATACTGAGAAAAACTATTTCTACTTGAAAACCAGAAGCACTTTCACTTTCATTTTTTCTTTCACTGTATCATTAATACAAAGAAAGAGTAAATATACCACTTTTTGAAACATATTATATACCAAAGCGAAATTGTATGGGTGACGAATATCACATTTCTTTGAAATTACTCCTTTAATGTAGAATTCTCATTCATAATCAATTTTACTTTTTCCCCTTTTTCCTCTCAAATTTCCAAACTAAATGTTGTTCATCATTCTTCAAACTCTCAGTGTTTCAGACATGTCATTTTTTATTATATTCAAAGACAATGAAACTCGAATTTAATTTCACAGCTACATGAATATATCGAAATAATTGAAATTTTGAAATACATGTTTGCCTCCATGGACATACATGTATTTCCCCCAAATAGACCTCACAAATGAAACTAAATAAATATGGAAATGTTGAATTAATAACATGGGTTTTCTGTTAATCCCAGTCACGATATTCATTCAACTTTTGACACAGTCATACACAAATCCGCCCCCCCCCCCCCATCCCTCTTCAACATTGCAAGTTCCCAAGATAATTGAGTCAAAGACTTTCAATTTCAGCAATTCTCCCATCAAAAATTGGTTGAAATTTACTGGTGAATTGATGAATGATAACATATGCTAAATTTTATGAAAAATCTGCCCATCTGGCACAGATTTCACATAGAATGTCCAGAGAATGGCGACATAGTTAAAATAACAATAATTGACTGAACTATGATTTGACTTTGTCCAGCTATTTTTCCAATTTTCAACTGACAGAAACAAAATCTGAAAAAAGAACATTGGCCATTTAATATTTTGAATACCTAATACATATCATCTGTTCAGAGAAGGAAGGGTTAAAGTATATGAGTTAACACCCTTCTGGCTCCAAACAGACAATATATGTACTTACTTTATTACACAGACATTTCTGAGCAGCAAATACTGTATGATCACAGAATTATAAGAGCCTTGGTAAGATTGCTTCCAAGTACAAGTACATGTAGCTCATAGTGAATACTGTCATGCTGGACAGTGGTGACACTGCAAGACACTGTAATACTAATCTAGCAGTGCAGTTTGTAAAGAATATCACTTTCGCTTCAACTTGAAGCCTTCCAGATCAGAGAATCAGTTTAACATGTCATGTTTACACTCCTCAATACACTTTCACAATTTCTACAGTTTAGTTACTTTTTATCATATGATGGTAATCCAACATTGGCTCTGGGCTTTATTTCACCATACTAGGGCTTGGACTGTGACTGGGTGTTAGGTTAGTTTAGGTTAGAGTTAGATTTAGGGATAGGGTTAATTCTAGAGTATAACAAATTGATCACCACCACACAATTATCACCAGCGCATACATGTGTATGGTGTAACTGTAAGTCATAAAATCTTATTCCAGAAACTGAACTTTCTATCATTGTACTGATATATCATTTTCGAGACGTACAGTATGCAACACGTTTTACTCACTTTAGGTTTACCCTAGTATTTGCAAAGTCTTTATCAAAGAAGACCTGTTTACAAAGAAATTGTAATCATTTTTAAATTGAATGTTCAGGGGCATAACTAAATCATTTTAAAGAGGAGGGGGTGTGAGGTGATGTGGAACCACATCTGTTTAATAGCAAGTTAAGTAAAACTTTCCAACCAAACCCGCACCCTCACCAGATCATATATTATTTGCCTTTTTAACAAGGCTAAACAATTCAGATAGACAATTATGGTGAGGTTGTCGCACCCTTACACCACTCCTCTTGTGACAACTGTCATCCCTGTACAGAATTATATTTTGCAATATTAAAGAAACCATTTTCATGAATGTGTCTAAACAAGTTAAAATTGTAAAATATCATGCTAGAAACTTTTGGAAAGAAGATAAACAGAAGTGGGAACACTGTATCAGACTCCCCTTCTTAGAGCAAAACTGAAACAACAATTAAACAATTTTCTTTATAAATCCTCATCCTCTCAAATATAAGTACAAATAGATCTGGGTGGGTGGTTGCTAGAACTTTACGTACTATCCCCCCTTCCGAAACAAGGAAGTATCTGAGGTACTTGTTTGACACACAGGGACAATAGGAACAACGTTCAATGTGACTATAATTATTATTTCTAAATTCAATTCAATTGATTTTCAGTTTACACAGAGTGCGTCATCACCTTCCATGCCAAACATTAAACAAATACTTTTTCAAACAAGCCTTGAATTCTATTTATCTTATTGCAAAACAAACTCAACACTCCAGGGACAAAATTGCTTGATCTCAAGTTTTCTTTTTGTTGGTGGTCTTTGTATTGAAGCACAAGCATAGAGTGAATTCATATAATAAATTGATGAACTGAAACCACTCTATTGGTCATAAAGTTCATTTAACCACTACGACCATTAAATGTTATTTGTTGTTGTTGATTTTGTGGTCACTTTATTGTTTGGGGGAGCAGGTTACCCCTAACAATAGCTGCATTTACACTGCAACCAAAAATAGTTGGCAAACACAACGAAAATTTGAAAACATATGATGGACTCTGAAGTGTAGTCTTTTTAAATGCCTGCCGAAGTTTCACTGATTTTTACAGTGTAAATGCAATCTTTGGGAAGATACCAATTTTTGCTCACGTGACTCTCCTCACTTCCATGCTAATGCATGCAGAGCACTGACAAGTAGCGCACTTCTCGCCCAAAAAATCAGTATGAGCAAACTTTGACGTATTTTTTAATGGTTTTTTTCCAGTAGTGTTTTTTTTTTTTGGGGGGGGGGGGTGTGGTTGACCCCAAAATCGATGATTTTTCAAAATGGTATTTGGGATGTGTAAATGGGCCTTGTGATACAATACAAGAAAAAATGTCATCAAATCTTTTGAGAGAGACAAAGAAAGTGAGAATGGATAGAGACAGAGAGAGAGAGAGAGAGAGAGAGAGAGAGAGAGAGAGAGAAATGGAGAATCAAGCTTGGGAAGGGTAATATTTCATTAAGAGACAGGAGATCTCACAAGGTTTACTATAAAGAAGTGAGATCATATACTCATCAGCAACGACACTTTCTTTTGTCTGACCACAACTCCATCTTACTCTACAGGATCTCATTTATAAGCTGTCCAGAGCTTCAAATCAGCATGTCTTTTTTTCTTCATTGCTCTACACTGGAAACACTAACTCACTTTCAATGTCGAAAAATATCTGAAACTCCATTTTCAAGTAAACTAATTTAAACCAATTATGAAGTCCTTTCCTGCTTCTCCAAATTGGTTACACAGTTCATGCTGTGATTCACATGGAAGCATTTAACTGTAATAAAGACAGTTCGTCATGCTGTGATGGAATGGGATGCTTTCAGGCTCATTCCGATCTTTCTTCTCTTGGGGCAACACGCAGCAAACTCTATTACATAGACTGTTAATTATTACAAAAGAAGTCTCTCTGTATTATATACCATTCTACTCCACTCTCACACACAGACCCGTTATTTGTTAATGGCAGACTATTAAAAACAAATGACCTGTATCTACCTCACTTAGGACAATTTATGTATAAGTATTCAAAAAAGACCCTTCCACATATATTTGATGCCATGTTCCCCCTAAATCGGTCATTTCATGATTACCCAACTAGACGGTCAAACGAGTTTCACCTACCACTCTTTAGAACTTTATTAGCGAAGAAGTCTTTTATGTATGATGGTCCTAGATTTTGGAATTCTCTAAGTGAAAGTATTAAAAATAGTCCATCCCTAAATTCTTTCAAGAAAAATCTAAAAACATTTTTGCTCAAATCTTATAGTAATATACAAGAAAAATCTGATAACAGTTGGTAATCATCTTAATTTTTCATTTAGGTCTTCATCATCTGCTCGATTAATTTAATATTTATTTGGTCTTATGATCTTACCTTCCCAAAATTAACATTATAACTTACTTTTTTCCGGTCATGATTTGTCCTGCTTCTTCTTCCTTCCCCCTTTTCCCCTTTCCTTCTTATCTGTTTTACTTCTCCTTGTTCGTTTCGTGTTTGTAAATTGTATGTTGTTTTGAAATACTGTCTTGTGTTTTCTAAGTCTTCGCAGGCAAAATTTGAAACATTTATATATTTTTTTTTTCCGGGGGATCCACAAATGACAAGCACTGCTTTTTAGTGGATCCCCCCATTTCCTCAGAAATTAAGAAATTCTTGTAATAATTTTATTATGTGCAAAGTTTATTTGTATAGTTTCTTGAAAAATGAATTATGTATGAAATCAAATGTAATATCTTTGTTAACCTTTCTGTTGGAAATGAAATAAATATGAATATAATATAATATAAGAATCTGTATGCTACATCAGTATGTATATTGTATGTACTTGAATTGCAGAGATAGAAATATATGTATAAGTACTGATATTGATCCTTTTCTTTCTATCATATATATTGTATGATTTATGTTATATTTATAATAATTACATATATCTGAAGTCCTTTCCTTTGTCTCAAAATTGGTAATGAATACAATTCTTGCTGTGTGATTCACATGGAAGCATTTAGCTTCAGTAAAGATAGTTAGCCATGCCGACTGTGATGGGAACTGGTAAGGGATACTTTCCCTCCGATCCTATGCTATTTCCCCAAGCTCTCAAATTGAGTTTTGCAATAAAATAATTAACATTCATTTAGATCATATTTTATTTTTTGTATCATAAGAGATTTCATCCAAATCTTACCTGGATAATCGTCACCCATGCTAAAAGTATAGATGACCACCTCTCCATTGGCTGCTAGCGTGAAGCCGAATGTGTTCTTGCTCTTCTCAAAAGCTGAAGATGAAAAACAATTAATAAAATCATTGTTAAAATGTATCATGCTGCATCATATGCATGCATGTATATGCAGATCATACAGGGATGCCTACTTAAACAAAATCAGATGGAAAGCAAATATATTTGAACTGTTATGTTGACTTATTAAAGAATGCAATAAGATTATAATTAGGCTAAAGGATATTTCATATACACTGTATATAACATGAAAAATAAATGTAGAATGTATACTGAACCACACTGTAAAATGAAAACCTCTTTTACTTAGTCTATCAAATTATGGAACAATCTGGAGTCATTCGTTTAAAATGAAAATCCATCTTCTGCTTTCACAAGAAGCCTACGAATCCTCCATTTTCAATGTACAGACCTGACAAAGAATACTAACTAAAACCTGTACATGTATACATGCAGGCTAGTCCTACACTTGGTATTATGTGGGAAACACTCCAGCGGCCCTCGCTCATAAATTTGGAATCAGCTTTGTTGTTATTAAGGAACACTGCAGTCTCCATGCAGACAGACTAGCTACTGGCTGGGTCTATTCTGGGAATATTCTAGGGAACACATAATAACAAAGTCAGGACTTTGGAGCATGGGCAAGGTCAAAGGGTCGTTCAAATATGCAGACATTATTATCCTATTGTCCTGTTCACACAAGAAGCACTGAACTCTGGTGGTAGCATAATAAAACCATGTTTCATCAATAAAATGGTGGTGTACAGCATCATGTTTGAATGAGGCTTAAACAGAGATATCTACTCTAGCATGAGGTGAGATTTATAAAAGCAGCAACAAATTAGAAAAACCTGTCTGTGAAGGTTCAACAAAACTCTGATACAAGATAAAGTTATGATTTTATTATTTTCGTTAATTTTGCTATAAATGCAGATTTAGCAACTCTGTGATTTACGCTGCCATATAATGGAGCATCTAGACTTCTCAACTAGTTTATTAGAAGCGCCAAAACGAAAAGAATTTGTAGTTGAAGTGCCACTCTAAATGGTTGACTGTGCTGCGAGGGAGCGTAGCAACCGAGCCGAAAATGAGTGGGGTCCAGGAGCGAAGCCCTAACGGAGGGGGGGGGGGGGGGGGGTAGCAGGGGTCAGTTCCCCTGAAGCTGGTGGATTTAGGGCTTTCCTAAGGCCCAAATGGGGCATTTTTAACACCATTTCATTCCCCAATATAATCAATCATAATTTCATATTGGTGTAAAAAATTTAGTAGAATTCCTGGGTAAAATTACACTGGAGGTATACTTATATGTAGTTTTTTGTATGCAATAAACACAGGAAATGTCAAAATAAAGTGAAAATCAAACAAACAAAAACAAGATGTTTTCAGAGATTGGCAATGTTAAAATCGGTATCCCATCGTAAGCTAATTGTTGTTCTGACCCTAGGTTTAGATTCGTTTAAAATGGTAAAATACAATAAATTCCCCTTTCTTCCTGTTTGTTAAGCAGGCTGTTTGTTAAGCACGGGCTCGAATTCGACTGCAGCTTCTGGCTTTAGCTGAGTATTTAATTCTCAAATATGTATTTTCTTTCATCTTTCTGTTTTTTGTTTTTCTTGTTGCAACAGTCGCGCGCCACTCCGACTGACCGCAAGCACCACAAGTGGCGCGCCGCCAGTTGAGAAGGCCAGGACCCCGTCTTAGAGTTGATATCAAAGAGTTAATATCAATCGCAACTAATTTGCAATTGATATCAATCACAACTATGTACATAAGAGATAGGAGACTGCAAACTTGCGATTGATTTGAGGACTTGCGATTGATTTGGATCAATTGTACATGTAAGTCTTTGTAAGACGGAGCCCTGATCTAGACAAAGTATCAATCAGTACACAACACACATCCCAAATTACCTACATATATGTGTGTATAGTCCCTTGGATAGGATGTAAATATTTTAATGTTCATTTTTCATACCTACTTTTATTTTCATTATTGTTTTTTCAATATCTTTTTCTACCACAAACAGATAGATTTGTGTAATTCTTAATAATACATTTTAAAGGGAGAGAAACGGCAATTTTAAAGCCTGAGCCTGACCAAGTATCGTATGGCAAATTCATTAATTAGTAATCAGAGCAGTGTGAAAAGCCACTACCGGTATTCTTTAAAAGAAAATAGAGCATCTCTGCATCAGCATTATCTTTGTTTCCAGATTCATATAAAAATAGAACTTTCCCTATATATATGAAACTTGATTTGAATTGATTATTCACCCAAAGTTATTGATCCACTGTAAGGCTCCTTCTATATTGAGGGGTAGCTCAATGGGGAGTCGAAATCAAAGGGAGAACAAAATCAAAGGTGATATTTCATTTTTGTTTGATCAAAACTCCAAGAAAAATGATTGAGAACATTTCCAATTCCGGCTGCTAATAGACCCATCTCTCATGACTCTCCCACACTGAAAATATAAGTTATGCACCTTGTCTAGATGATACACAAGAACATGACTGGGGCATACTCATATCATCTGATGCATACAAGGAAGAAGTAAAATATATGTTTTGCATTGATAATTATATAATCAATGAAAATCCTTCTCCGAGAGAACATTATATAAAAAATTTAAAAAAATTGTCCTTCTAAATGTTAATATGTTTTGAAGGAAAATAAGGTAAATAAAGTATTATAATGAACAAGTATTCTTATTGGCTTACCATACACAACCCAAGCTAAATCCGTTGTAGGGCTACATACATGTACACGTGTACATGTATTCTAGTTTTGAATCTTTCTCTTCACTCTTGTCCAATAAATGTAATTTTTCTAGATGCTATAAAGAATTTTTTTCTTCTAATTGGAACAATGTACATGTACAGTATATCCCATGTTACAAAAGACTCGTACAGATCTCAATACAATGTACATGTACAGTGTATATGTTTAGGTGATCTAGAGTACACCTACAGCTGTAAAAGATTTTTCTTACATGTACTTTCTAAATCAAATTATTAAGCTACATGTACATGTACAGTATAAAACATTACAAAGGCATTTATAAATTCTTGCAAAGAAGTTTGCATGGTAATCTAACAATCTACAGGTTTTCATATCTTGTTTGTGAGGGTGTGATGTGTGAAAATATTTTGGAAAACAAAATTCTTTGCAAATAGCTGACACGATGTTCAACTCCATTTTAAAGGTACTCAGTAACATTGTGATGGTTGATTTCACAAATCTGTTGAATCAGGATGCAAAACACATAAAATTATGAGACCAAATTTACTCATACATGTAGATTTTGCTCTACTCTATACTGTATAGGAATTGTATGCTGTCAAAATTCTGTTTTGTAGAATAGAGGTACACTGTACATATCATTAATGTCTCACTCTGTTCCAAACAAGAAGTAAATTACTGGGAACCATGTATCAAGAAAAATTCATACCTGAACACACACACAACCACAGTGCATACCGTATATTACCCAGACAATAACTAGCAAAACGATCACTACCGGTAATCCCCTGCGACAATTATCCCTCAGACTAATAAACCCCTTGAGAAATTACCATCAGACAACCACATGTAGCTTCATGTACAAAAAAGTGATGATTAAAGTCAATTAAAGTCAGTTAAAGGGCAACTCAGCGCATTAGGGTATATACTAGCTGTGCTATATTGATCTAATTATTATTATTATTATTTGGCGCAGAAAAATAAGAATAGCAAAAAATGTTGAAACAAGAAAGTCACGAATGTTTGAAATATGAGATCACCAAGTCTTTGAGAATCTCAAATTGGCAGTTTTGTCAGTGGATTGTGACGAAGGTAGGCCTGTAACAGATCATCGGATCGGGGTCCAATCTTGAGCTGATCAGGGGTGATCGGATAATAATTTCTGATCGCCGATCAATAAAAATGATCAGAAAAATATCGGCAGAATTTTTTTTTTTTTTTTTTTTTTGTTTGTTAATGCCGAAAATTTTAGTTTTTGGCTATCAAATGCTTTAAAAAAAAATCATAGCTGGGATTATTTTGTCATGTGGAGTTGTTGTAGACAATGTTTTTTATATTTAGTTCCTTTTCATGACTTTGAAATCAATAATATTGGTCTAAGAGAGGAGGCAAAACATGCGGGCCACCATCTTGGATTATAATGCATGCCTACGTTTTTTGAGCATTTGATAGCCCAAAACTTGAAAATTTTGGTCATTAAATTTTTTTAAATAATTTACGAAGGTGTGGGTAACTCTCCCATTTGTCGTGAACACAAATATCATTAATTTCTGTTTTTCTCTTAAGTACTTTCTCCCTTGGGGGGACTACTCAAATTATATTATGGATAGCATAAAGAGAATAGACCCTCCTGAATCATAATATTTTGAAGAATTTACATTTTAGTCATTTTGTGTGTTGGAATAAATGGGAAAGTTGTCTGCCACTACATGTACATCAGAGAGACATTACTGATTCAGCCAAGTTGAAGACCCATAATATCTGTAGTGATTACAACTATCAAAACTTCTTTCATAACCTTCTCAATTTTTGTCTGATTTCTTTCTAAATTTCACCAGTCTATACATCTATTATTTTTTCTGCTTTCCTCTAGAGTAGTTTGCTTTCAAGGTTGAATTTCCCTTGAAGGCAAGCTAGGGGTGGGCCCAGTGGGGTGGGCCCAGTGGGGTGGGCCCAGTGGGGTACAGTAAAAGGAAAAGAAGCTTTAGTAATCCATACATGTCTAAGACCCAATCTTCTGTTTTTATTTGCTTCCTAAACTTTGCTTTTTGAATAATATTTGCTTAGTGAACATAGCAAAAGAAAATATATTTTCATAGTCAAAATGCCTACAGACAAGGACTGTTTCTATCAACCTAACCCTGTAGTAAAGTAAGAGCTATGATAATATGATTGGATCGGATGATTGAATCGGCGGTTTTGGCTCGTGATATCGGTATCAGAAAATTGGGAGGGTAATCTGACATTTTTTTTAAATCTGCCTCCAAAAATTTGATAATTTTGAGCACTATAAGACCTAAAATCACTCATACCTTCGATAATTCTCTTATTTTTAGTTGTTGTAGTCCATGTTTTAAGCTATTTATGTGGCCATAAATGTCAAAAATCAAAAAAATAATTGTAAGAAGAAGAAGAAAAGAAGGAACAAAAAAAGGGCTGAAAATGTTCAAGTTTTGGTACTTAAAAAACATGCATAACTGGGATTACTTTGTCAATTGGAGTTGTTGTAGACCATGTTCGTTGATATCATATAAGTGCCTTTTCATGACTTTGAAATGAATAAAGATTAAATTAAAAGAAGAGGCAAAACATGCGAGCTGCCATTTTTTTTTAGGCACGCATATTTTTGTCTCCATTGGCATTGTTATTCAAAATGGCAAATTTTATCTGTTTAGAGAGAGGGCATTGGGTTCATGAAATGATCTGTTTATATCCTTCTGTCTCTCAAGAGACAATACCCTATAACTCAAATCTGAATCTATGTAGGCCTACCGGTAATGTTATCATTCATTATTATTATCAATTTCATTTAGATAAACTGCTCATTTTATAGATGTATATACCTACCCTAATTAATGTATAATGTTAAACACAATCATTATGTAATACTGTACTCATGAGCTTAAATTAATCAATTTGATGGTTAATACCTTAATAGCAACCAAATTGTTATTCATACATACAGTGACTTTGTGTGAACTATTATTTCTACCATTGTTATGCATCTACTTGATTTTTATTTAAATTTAAAATCCAACCATAACCTTTGATTACAATAAAGAAATATATTTAATTTCAATATACATAATTAAATATATACAATTTAGTGCTTCATATATTATCCATTCAGTGCTCTAAATAGCCATTTCTTTTCGACTGATTTTGATTCTTGCATTTTCAATTTGGGGGTTATTCACCTACAATTGGGAAAAAGTATAAAACCATACCTTATAATTTGTTATTCTTAATCTTTACTATACCGGTAGTATTGTTGTAAACAATTAATCTTGCAAATTTTTTAATTCATAATATCAACAATCCCCCATATAGCGACCACTCTCTGGTTACTGAATCTTCAGACCCAACGACTAACAAAATGAGTAACACTTCATTCATCTACATATTGTAACCAGTAAAAGTTACACAATGAGCTAGTGACCTCAGATCTGGCAAGAGTTCCATATGTACCCCCCCCCCCCCCACTAAAATTGAGAAGAAAAAAATATATAGTCTAGATATGTTTCAGGGTGATATACCTAATAATAATATAATATATAAAACATGGGAAACTATAGGGTTAGGGTTAGACAATGAGAGATAGAAAGAAAGTGTAATAATAAGACAATACAAGAAATTTTGTTTTCGTTTTTATTTAGCGGGTGGGGGGCATTTTGCAATGGGAAACCATTCATTCAGTATTCACTTTGCAGAGTAGCTAGTGTATTTTTTCAAATTAATTGCCTGTATTTCAATCCATAGCCATGCATCCATGGACGCATTAATAGACGGCAAAAATCAATTTTCATTTCATGTTCCGCTGAGACTACATCTGACTTGCATGAAATCCTGTCTCGGCGAACAGCATCAAATTAAAAATGGCGCTAGTGTAGTTCCGTATCCATTTTTTTAGCAGTTTAATAATCCATTCTTAGGCTTAGCAAAGGAATTTTAGCCCAATTTTTTACTAATTTGAATCATAATCATATAGAGGTCTAGGGCCTATTGCATTTTCCACCTGAATTTGGATCACATCCGAGTATCCGACATCGGGAAACCTCCGTTTAGGGCTTCGATGTCGACGTCGTTGCTCAGTACCATCTCTACGCTATAGCTCTGCACCTCAAACTGAAGCTATCAGTCCAAAATTATGCACATTTCTCGCATGCACGATACCATAAACCATACGAGAAGTTTGCATAATTTTGGACTGATAGCTTCAGTTTGAGTTACTTACTTACTTATAGCGTAGAGACGGTACTGAGCGACAACATCGACATCGAAGCCTTAAACGGAGGTTTCCCGATGTTAGATGTGATCCAAATTCAGGTGGAAAATGTGATATAGGTCTAGATCTATGTCTAGATCTAGACCTATAAATTAAAATTAGTAAAAAAATTGGCTAAATTTCCTTTGCTAAGAATGGATATGAAACTGCTGAAAAAATGGATACGGAACTAGGCCTACACTAGCGCCTTAAAAATTTAAAAACGTTTAAAACTCCTATCCTACGAGCTGACATAATTTTTTTTGTCTAGCTGATTTTGTGTTTGTTTTCTTATTTCACAAGTTTGGCAAGTACCAACACAGCAAATCAAATTACACTTCACTACTATATTACTAAGATGGTTCAACTTCATTCTTCCTCCCACAAGAATGTCGTAGTCATGCATAGTCGACCCTATGATAAGCAGCTGGTGTGCGTCATATGTGCATGCACAGAGCAGCATCATTGACACAATCACACTCACATTCACAATACAGTCACATAGTCTAGATCCAATTCTAAATACTCACCGACAAATGGACAAGCCGGGTCAGTTTTGCAAGTGTTTTCCACTGACTGAACGTCTGCGAGCATGAGCATCTGCCTTTTAGACATCTTCCCTCGTTTACTAAGTTTTGTGTATCATAAAAGAAGTACCATAGCGTTAATTTATTCTCATACTAAATGCTCAGAACTTCCTCTGTTATGATCTTCACCTTTGTTAGCGCAGCAATTCACTCTTCCTGTGCACTGTGTGCTTATCTTCTCTCTGTCCTTCATTCATTCTCCGATCCGGTCAATCATAAACAAAGTATATGTTAACGTCGCCTTGCGTTTTTCAAGCCAATATTAGGCCAACTATAAGCCTAGTGGCGCGGTAGCGTACTAAGGTGCCAAGATACCGGTATTGCGGCCTCATGAATAAACATGAGTATATGACGTCACGAACTCGCTACGAACTCGCCACGCCTACTCTACCCCTTACCAATAGCGGGTATCTATGTTAACGTTGTCGCCTCTATAATCTATTTTCGTTGTACGTACGGCCGTACCTACACCCCGACTATATATATATATACCTACCTATATACCTACATATACTTACCTACCTACCTACCTACCTTCCTATATATATGTCTCATTTTGAAGAACTTCAGTCATTAATTGTTCTCGCTCATATAGTAGTAACTCCATATATATAATATATCCTAGCTTGATAGCACCCCCTCCATTAATTACATTGAGCAATAGAAATATTAACTCCATCACTATCCATCATTTAAACTTGCTCGAACTTCATCCAACCTAGCACCTCCTCTATACAGCCTAGCACCTCCTCCATATTAAGCCTTAGAAATATTAACTCCATCCATCTCCATCATTTAAACTTGTTCGAACTTCATCCAACCTAGCACCTCCTCTATACAGCTTAGCACCCCCTCCATTGAGCCTTGGAAAAATAACTATATCTCCATCATTTAAACTTAATTGCACTAACTTCATCCAGCCTAGCACCCTCTCTATACAGCCTAGCACCCCCTCCATAATAGGCCTTAGAAATATTAACTCCATCTATCTCCATCATTTGAACTTGTTCGAACTTCATCCAACCTAGCACCTCCTCTATACAGCTTAGCACCCCCTCCATATTAAGCCTTAGAAATATTAACTCCATCTATCTCCATCATTTAAACTTGCTCGAACTTCATCCAACCTAGCACCCCCTCTATACAGCCTAGCACCCCCTCCATATTAAGCCTTAGAAATATTAACTCCATCTATCTCCATCATTTAAACTTGTTCGAACTTCATCCAACCTAGCACCCCCTCTATACAGCCTAGCACCCCCTCCATATTAAGCCTTAGAAATATTAACTCCATCTATCTCCATCATTTAAACTTGCTCGAACTTCATCCAACCTAGCACCCCCTCCATATTAAGCCTTAGAAATATTAACTCCATCTATCTCCATCATTTAAACTTGCTCGAACTTCATCCAACCTAGCACCCCCTCTATACAGCCTAGCACCCCCTCCATATTAAGCCTTAGAAATATTAACTCCATCTATCTCCATCATTTAAACTTGTTCGAACTTCATCCAACCTAGCACCTCCTCTATACAGCCTAGCACCCCCTCCATTGAGCCTTGGAAAAATAACTATATCTCCATCATTTAAACTTAATTACACTAACTTCATCCAACCTAGCACCTCCTCTATACAGCCTAGTATGTTGAGCATATCTTAAATTTCTCTTATGTTAATCTATCCACCTTTCCTTCTTACCCTTTCCTACAGCGCATAGAGACATATTGTGATATGCGCTATATAAGTACCGTATGCTATTATTATTATTATTTGATAATATTGTTAGATCGTATTTATGCTGATTGTGCCATGATTACTAGGAAATTGATTTCAATACATTTACATACGTTTTTCGCCCAGATGTCATGGGCAAATTATTATTCCAAATTTGACAAAATGGAACATGCCTAAACAAACAAAAGTGAATCTTTGATAGGCCCCCCCCCACACATAATAAGGAAGATATTTTAAGAATTAGTGGCAAAGTTCTTTTGCAACTTCAAAATACTAGTACGAATATTTATCAAAACATATATTTAGACAAAATACTTGATACTTGGAAATAGGCGCCGCTTTTCCGTTAGTGACTTAGTGTAAGTTCTTATTCACTGAAACATTGATTAAAGAGTTATCTAGAATCTCCAATGATGTGAGTACAATTTCAGGTCACAAAGTGAAGGTGAAAGGTCATTTCAGATTTAAACAATTAGACTGTTGTGGCATCATGATCAAAAACTTAACCCGGGGTTAGGTTTTTGAATTTTTAACATAATTTTAAAAGTGTATAATCTTCTTCCATGAAACTTGAACATAGGGGTTGTAAAGTATCCCCAATCATGTGAGTAGAATTTAAGGTTGCAAAGTCAAAGGTCATTTCAGGTGAACAAACTTTGACTCAAGTATGTTGTAGCATCAACATCAAAACTTGACCAAAGGTTAAGATTTTGAATTTTTATCATAATTTTGTATACATTCCTATTCCATGAAACTTGAACATAAGGGTTAATAAGTATCACCAATCATAGCTCATTAAATATGCAAAACACCTAATTATATATGTGAAATTGTGGTTTCTTGCCTATTAATATATAGTCCAATGTTCTGATGTATATAGGCCATTTGTACCCTGCGAGGGGATGCTACGCTTTGCGTTGACCTGTTTAATGTTATCATGATTTCAAAAGTGTTTGTTTAAATTCCATGAAACTTGTACCCAAGGGTTATCAAGTATCACAAATCATATGACACAAATTCCAGGTCACAAAGTCAAGGATATTTTAGGTCAGTAGACTTGGATTATGTTTTCACAACTTAATATGAGACTTAATAAATCAATTTTTGGTTTTTGTTCCTATTTCATTAAAGATATCAATCTTGGTAAAAATTAGAGTAAATAATTCCTTTGGTGATTCTAAGTCAATATTCACTTCAAATGCCGATTGTATTCAGAGGATTTCAATTTGGGGGGCCTGCTAACGGGCCACCCTGCCTATAAATAATGTCCTAACCTCAATTTTTAATCATATTGAATTGTGTAATGCAGGTGACACCGCCGAGAGCGTTTCCCCTGTTTTATATTTTTGCCCAGTTTTGGAACACTCCAATAATGCAACCAAAAAAAAGGACTCTGAAATTAATATGAAATATAACCTCAAATATTTATGTAAGATATTTTTCTGAATAGTAAAAGAATTGCAAGAAATATTTATGAAATAACTTTAAAAAATAGGGTTTTTCTCAGCATATTTTTGGAACCAAAAGCATAACAATTTTATGCATTTTGCAGGCATGCTGATTAGTGATGCAGTGCTTGCAAGAACCTTATACACATACATAACAAAAGTAAAGGCAAGGCACACACAAAAAGAATAAAATGATGTCTTTATCATAGAAACACATATTATGATGCACGTAAAACAGGTGCAATCACTTCAGATGTATTGTGAGAATTGGGTGCAGGATAATAATCAATGAAATCTGCAGGTTTTTGAGGAATATGAATGGTTTTAAAATTACACTAACTAATAAAAGGGGGACAATATACCTTCAAATATGCTTGTAGCTAGTTCAACTCCGAACACCACAAAAATGTTACTATTTGATTTTTTGTGTACTCCTTTTATTGAATTTTATTCATGCAAATCAGTCACCTAATACATGTACTGTATCTTTAAAATTAGACAATTATGCAGTCATGTTTTTTTTTTCTGTACATTGTTTTTTAAATAAAACAATACTTATAATCCAATTATTTGAAATTGATTTAATCCTTATATTATACTTTATATTTATTGTGCGTGGCTGGATGGTGTAGAAGGTGGTGTGAAGTGAAGATCTTTCTATCAATTGCATAATTGCTAGATCAATAATAATGATAATAATAATTGTTCTCCATTCACTTTAAACAAATTAGTGACATGTACACTTCACTCTGTCATAGTCGAATCCGTTGGGACTATAGAAAAAATATAGATTTCACCTAGACAAAATCTGACTTGGGTAAAAAAAAAGCAATGGAAAATGAAGAGCAGGACTTTAAAAACCTTTGACTTACGATTACTTGACTGAGCAGAGTTAACTGTATGACAAAGTAAGATTCAACAAAATTTGAAGGGAAAGAAAACATACATGTAGTTGGCAGTCACAGGTTCGTTACAATAAATTACATATTTGAAAACTGGAAAGTGATTATGAGCAGTCTTGAACATTATATTTTTGTAATTTCGGTTGACCAAGAGTGCCAGAGTACAGGGTCATGGATGATGAGAATGTTCTGTTGCCATATGTGAAATAACATGTTGGACTTAATTAACGTAGGGTGTGTGCTGGAGTGTGTTCGTTTGCAAAATCTGTGTACTTTTGTGCGAGGTATTATTCAAAGCTTTGAAAGTATTATGAGTATATCTTAATGAATACATACTCCAGTTAAAAATAACTTATTTGCTATGAAAATGGAAAAATGAAACACATCAGTTCGAGAAAACTCGACAACAAAATAAAAACAGTTACCGGTATGATCCATTCAAGGTCTTTCAAAACCATTCAAAATTATCCATGCTGAACATGAATATGTATATTTGGAATAGGTATGTAGAAAATGTGGAAGCCAGGCAGTGTCATCACTTTGCAAATTTGTAATATTTAGAAATTCATAATTAGTTAATAATTTTCAGATATGTCTCTAATTTCACTTATTCAGTTACTGATTTTCTGACTTTTTAGAACGCAAATTACTTTGTTACCGGGATGACCCGTTTCTCAACTGATAACCAGTGAGGTGTATGGTAATGTAAGTCTTGAGAGGGAAAAGAAAAGTGCATGTATGATCCTGCATTACTGATTATGAAAGAATATCTTTAAAATCACATTTCAAATCCTTCACCTAGCTAGATATAATTGATGAAAGATATATGAAATTGGTTCTGTTAAATTACCCGTATACCAATAGCTACATATGGAGTTGTTGCAATATAGGGGCAAGGATATTGTTGGTGCAAGCTAGGTTGGACAGATACACATTATCGTAATAGCTAGGTCTGAAAACATGCAAGCTTAATGGTCGCTCTAGGCTGTATAGAGAAGGTGCTAGCATGGATGTAGTTCAAGTTTAAATGATGGAGATAGATGGATAGGCTCATTGGAGGGGGTGCAAGGCTGTATAGAGGGGGTGCTAGGCTAGCTAGCTGGATGAAGTTCGAACAAGTTTAGATGATGGAGATAGATGGAGTTAATATTTCTAAGGCTTAATATGGAGGGGGTGCTAGGCTGTATAGAGGGGGTGCTAGGTTGGATGAAGTTCGAACAAGTTTAAATGATGGAGATAGATGGAGTTAATATTTCTAAGGCTTAATATGGAGGGGGTGCTAGGCTGTATAGAGGAGGTGCTAGGTTGGATGAAGTTCGAGCAAGTTTAAATGATGGATAGTGATGGAGTTAATATTTTTATTGCTCAATATAATTAATGGAGGGGTGCTATCAAGCTAGGATATATTATATATATGGAGTTACTAATATATGAGCGAGAACAATTAATGACTGAAGTTCTTCAAAATGAGACATTATATAGGTAGGTAGGTAGGTAGGTAGGTAAGTATATGTAGGTATATAGGTAGGTATATATATATATATAGTCGGGGTGTAGGTACGGCCGTACGTACAACAAAAATAGATTATAGAGGCGACAACGTTAACAGAGATACCCGCTAAATGGTAAGGGGTAGAGTAGGCGTGGCGAGTTAGTAGCGAGTTCGTGACGTCATATACTCATGTTTATTCATGAGGCCGCAATACCGGTACCTTGGCACCTTAGTACGCTACCTAGTGGCGCGTGCATAGTCTCAGTTAAAAGGAAATCCTAAAGTGGGGTTCAATCGTGTTTCTTTTCTGTTTTTAAGAATCTTGACATTAAGGCCTGGGTCCCATTTTCAAGATTAAGGAAACTAAGATGTAAAACTGTTCAAATAAGACCATTATATGCGGGTCTTTTAATTAAAAAAATGTTCAAAAACAAAAACAGTAATCTGCAAAATGCATTGTATAGTGTATGCATGCAGCAGCAGCATCAACTTACTGATATACAATTACAATAACGAGATATAGAAATGGGTTTGAACAAGAGAGGTAAACTTTAACTTACATGTATATATATATATATGGTTGTTGAATTAACATCAGGCAAGTCCTCTTTCAAATATTCAATATGTATAAAATGGACTGTTAAAGGCAAATCCAACCCTAAATTGTATTAGAAAAAACAATCTCGAATTTCCCAAAAGCTCACTCGCTACAATCGCTTGCAATTTTATTTTTTCATTGAGTAATAATGAAGGTCTTATTCGTTTTTTCATTCATTTTGCTTAAATTAAATCCTAACATTTTTCATCAGTAAATAATAAGATGTAATTAGTTGTGGTCAGATGGTCAGAATGCGACGTATTATACACAAATCCTAAAAATTCTGTTCGCTCGAGATCCTGCAGACAACCACACACACACGCGCACACACACACACACACACACACACACATGCCTGAAAGTATTGTGCTGGAGCAGTATCTTGGACCACATAAAGAGACAAAGTTGAAGATTATCCCTGGTAATGTATAAATACAATGTATATGGGACCAATGTCTCAACTCTTTTTTTTTCGCCGTGAGGTTACCCTTTGTATATGAGCCCCCTCATTCCCCCAGAAAGTACCTTTTTGTTGGTGCATCCACACTTTTAACAACGCTCCGTCGCCCCTGATTAAAACATTGGATGTTTCAAATGGGAGGGGGGGGGGCATGCGTTTTTCCACATGTTCGTATTTTCGTATAGTTCCGGAACACAAATTTCCCATGTCTAGGGGTTTATAATTCCGAAAATGAAAAAGGGTTCATACTAGCTGTTCCGAACATTTTTTTTTTGCATTATTCCGAAGGTTCATTTATCCAAGGATCGTTTATCCGAAGGTTATAATTCCGAAAATGAAAAAGGGTTCATACTGTTCCAAACATTTTTTTGCATTATTCCGAAGGTTTGTTATTCTGAAGGTTCGTTTATCCAAATATTCGTTTATCCGAAGGTTATAATTCCGAAAATGAAAAAGGGTTCATACTGTTCCAAACATTTTTTTGCATTATTCCGAAGGTTCGTTATTCTGAAGGTTCGTTTATCCGAAGGTTATAATACCGAAAATGAATTAGGGTTCATATTTCCCAAAATGAAAAACGTATCAGAATTCCGAAAATGAAATAGGGTTTGCAATTCCGAAAATGGAAAAAGGTACCTAATCAACAAATGACGTTAATAGGAAGTTAGGAGGCTGAAACAGCCCATCCCCCTCTCCCCGTAAGAGATTCAAAAGGACTGGAGACTGGAGATAGAGAGAGAGAGAGAGACAGAGAGAGACAGAGAGACAGAGAGACAGAGACAGAGACAGGGAGAAATAGTAGAAGACAACAAAAACAATAGGAAAATATAAGGAGAAATGAAAAAGAAAAGGAAAGAAAGGAAGGAAGGAAGAGAGGAAAATGAGAAAGAGGGAATAAGATTGAAATCGGTGTAGAGAGTAAAAGATAGAAGGGATATCATGATTGATTAATAAGGTGATAAGCGAAGGTCATCTCACCGATTTCACTTTATGTTTTGATTTATTTATTTATGTATTTGTTCGTTTGTTTGCTTGTTGCTTTTTGTTTATCATTTGTTATTGGCTCCCCCTTTCTTTTTCTTCCTCTTCTTTTTCCCGTTTCTCTCTTCTTTCCCTTTCCCTTCTTTTCCTTCTCTCTCTATCTGTTAATTGTATACAAACACATTAAGTTTCCGTATGAGTATTTCCTTCATGTGCTTAAATGTAAATTGTGAATTTCTGAAAATGTATTTATATATCTTTCTGTAATATTAAATTACTTTGTTTAACAACATTGAACGAGAAATGAATTATAATCAAACAAACAAACTTTCTTCCATAACTGCTTTTCAAAAAGCCATTTGTAGAGCACCTTCTGTCAAAAGCATAATAATATTTCTGTCTTTTAAAATATTTTTTTATAATTTGCCATAACATCGGACATGATGAAGGGTAAGATGTAAGAGCACACCAAGCGAAAAAAAACCGGCCCAAGAGAAAACATATTGAAGCGGGAGAGACGTTTCTGACTTCGTTAGAAATGAGGGCACTTATTATACAGGAGGGTCGTTTTGGGGGCATGGATCCAAAGGGTATACGAGTTTCAGGGGGTCGCCTATAAGGAACTCTCCTTAAAAGCTGTATTGAATATTAACAGCATCATTAATTGAGGGAAGTCGCAGCACGGGGTCGCAGCATATATGTTTACATCATCTCCCCATTTAACGTTTCACCTCTCATTTTTCTTTTATAGGGGGCACCTTTATGGCAGGTGCTGCCGTGTAGCCTAGCTATATACGTAAATGAAGAGCCCCCCTCCCCCCCCACACACACACACACTCCCCCCCCCCTTTTTTTCAATTTTGTTTTATTTCTCCAAATGTGTAATACAAGCAAAAACATACGATTGAATATAATAAATAAACGTTTTCGATATTTATATAAATTGCTTATACATATTAAGCATAATTAAGCAAAAACCCATTTGCAGTATATAACTTGGCAACAAAGTAAACTTAAAGTACATAAACATAATTTATAAGTTTGAATTGCACGTTATTAACTTATTTTTATTTTTTTTAAAACAAATCTGGAGGTTATTTCACTGGTGGAATGCACTGCCCCCTCCCTCCCACAAACACACACACACATACACGCATACACCCTGTTTCCCCGCCGGAGAAGCTCTGAGAGGAAGGATAACACCATCTCATATTCTCAACCATGATATTTCTTCTCCAGGGAGGTGATCGAGACTCAGCTGCTTTCTCTAATAATTGGTCATTGGCATTTATTGACGCCGGGAAACATTTTTTTTTCTTTAACTACTGGAAACTAGACTAACTGAAAACGTCATTTTCCTTTGGTCTTGCGCGTTGAATAGAATTTTGGCTTGTTTTGATGATAATTGGGCGGTAAAATTTGACCTGACCTCTAGTTGACGACATTTCTAAATCTGCGAGATAATGCTGGAGCTGTGAAGAAGGAAACATGGCATTGGAACAGTTTATAGGTCTACAGGATAAAACATGACGCAGATGAATATATTAATGTGATGTTTGACCTCATTGATTGTGGTATGACTTTCCTCTATTTCTTGTAATGTATCTGACTCATTTATTTTAAGAATTAAGTCAAGTTGGATCTTCAGCTCAGGAATGATTGATGAATTGTTGATGATGTCTGATCGTCATCGATCTAACTTTTTAATTGATTGATAATCTGTGTTTTTTACTTTTTTGCCGGTGTACATGTAAGTTAGTCTAGACTAATATGTATCATAATGCCGCATTCATATTATATTATTGGATTCTAGGGCTAGGTAATAATATGGAATATGGTAATTATAACCTACCCAAGGCCATACCGCTGCTACAGAACAGTGCTTGATCTAGACAGAAATAACCATCTGATATGGGTCATTTCTTTAACAAAACTGACATTTGTTAACATTCCCCATAATTATGTATAGATCTAGAGCCAGATGCAATCTCAGCGGAACAACCATCGATATCAGAGACTGAAGCTTTCGGTCTATATCCCTGCATGCATATGCATGAAAAGGCGGGTAAACAAAACCTAAAATGCGTTCAAGTTCACCCCTTCCCACATGCGACGAACATTGTAGTAGGGTCTACTTGTAGTAATCTAGATGTACTGGTGATTGCACGCTGGCTTCGGCATTTGCTCATGGTTTCTTCTTTATTTTTTATTTTTTCTTTCTTCAGTGCAGTCTGCTTCCTTCAATCTTTAACTAGGGTGTCTGAACGATTTTTCATTTTGGGATCTTTTTTCACCATTTTCGTTGGATATTTCGTCGTAAACAGATCAATACCTTTCAAATTTCAAGACTCACCGATGTTTCTATCAAAAGATACAGCCCCTCAAAAACTGTGCAATATTCATAGCATTTTGGTCAGAATGGACAGAAAAGTGGTTCACGCAGAGTTATAATTTCTGCTCAAAAGCTGCACAGCTAATGCACAGCACGATATGCAAAGCGTGGAGCAAGGGTATTTTCAAACTATTGGGCCAAATGATCCCTTGGGACTAGAGAAAAAATAAGTGCATGGATATATTCATTACAGCTGGCCCAACTTATCCCTCGGGGGGGGGGGGGGGGGGGGCAGCAGTTTGTTAATTGGTGAATCTCAGAGTTACCATGGAAACGATGTTTAAATCGCTGTTTTGAGCAAGACATTTTTAGAATTTTGGGGGTGGCCCCCTATGGGGAATATGAAGAAAAACCTGCTCTTTCATATGACACCTCACTCATTGAGTATCACCTTCAGGATCACGAGTAATATTGGTTTTAATCTCATTTTGGTAATAAAAACATTGACCAATTTAGCATGAGCACGCAATGCACATGGACTGCATAGAGATGTGTGCAATCTCTATGGGATGGATTTTAGCACACAAAACTGAGTGCGCGATCAGACACCCTACTTTAACTTAAGGTTCTTGCAGATACACTGTAGGTCTAGGGTGCATGTGCGGATGCACAATGTAGATCAGCTAAGTAAAAAACAGCATTGGATCTATAAGTAGCTGCTTCATGCTGCAGCCTCTCGTCAATTTGAGACAAAAGGCTTTGACAATGGGGCTGTCAGCCTGTCATGACATTGACTTCTTTCTTCTCAAACAAAGCACTTTGAAATTGGTCATTTTACATTTTGCTATTGGAGTGATAGCAATTTGCTTATACAAACTGTAGTTATACCTTCCGCATATTTCTAGATGATAATTACTAAATTAGTAAAGGTGTGATTAACATTACAAAAATGCTGATCAACTACTAGAACAGAAAATTAAAAAATCTGGAAACACAAAACCCCCTGGGGCTTTGCCTTTAGGGGGCACTGCCCCCAACCCTGGCAGGCCTTTGCCCCTCGACCCCAGGCCATTGTCCGCTACTCTTACTCCGCTATAAATTTTCTTTAATTTTTAGGACTCTCAGTGGCATCTCTGCTATCAGTAGCTACAGTACATGTGAAGATACACACAAGATTCTGTAATCTGTGGGTTAAACCCTGTTTGTGGTTTTAAACTTTGAATTCATCTTGTATTTATAGGACCATGTGGAATCCTAACTGTGGACACACTTGTGGGTTCAGAACTTTAAGTCTACTTGAAGTTATAAACCATGAGTGGTTAATGTGATACATGTAACTACACTACAAGCAATGGAGTCCTTATTATTATTAGTTATGCGCCGTTTGGAGTCTACTTGAAGTTATAAACCATGCGTAGTTAATGTGATACATGTAACTACACTACAAGCAATGGAGTCCATATTATTAGTTATGCGCCGTTTGGAGTCTACTTGAAGTTATAAACCATGAGTAGTTAATGTGATACATGTAACTACACTACATGTTTAAATGATCAGTTTGAATGTTATATTGCTTGAGACATTCATGTTACATTTATTACACCAAGTGTGTTGCCAGTTTCCAGTTATACACTGTTAATTTATATAATATGTTTTCTTTGGATTTTCTTATCCTGACCAGGATGGAGTTGAAGGGGTGTGGGAAGGAAGACCTGTGGGTCATGGTAATTTAGTTAACCTTTTCCAAACGCAGGCAGCCCCATCATCTCTGATTCAGGTCATTTCTTTATCATGTATATATATATGTTCCTGTAATTGCTGTAATTTGCATATTACTCTGTATTGTTCTTGTATTTTGAAATGCCGAATAAATAATAATAATAATAATAATAATAACTTCAAGCAATGGAGTCCTTATTATTAGTTATGCGCCGTTTGGAGTCTACTTGAAGTTATAAACCATGAGTGGTTAATGTGATACATGTAACTACACTACAAGCAATGGAGTCCTTATTATTAGTTATGCGCCGTTTGGAGTCTACTTGAAGTTATAAACCATGAGTGGTTAATGTGATACATGTAACTACACTACAAGCAATGGAGTCCTTATTATTAGTTATGCGCCGTTTGGAGTCTACTTGAAGTTATAAACCATGAGTGGTTAATGTGATACATGTACATTGTACAAGCAATGGGGTCGTTATTGTAAGTAATGCGCCGTTTGGATGCATTTGATTTAGAAGATTCACAAGCTTTCATAATTACAATGACTGCTTACCCATCTTGTATTTTGATTCTTTGAACACTTTTTTTATTTTTGTCCCACGTTAACCCTTGTCGTTGTTAGAGGATAATTGTTTAAAACTTTCAGGTTTTGCAAATTGGTCCTGTGTGAACACGGCCAGTCAGTGATGCTTCAGGATAACATGTAACTTTGAAATCCTTGTCAACCTTGCTTTCATTTGTTTCTTCTTCTTCAAACAGGCTACATGTGTCTTGCTGTTGATCGTTTGGTCACTTCACAAGTGAGAAGTATGCACTATGGCTGGTGCTGCAGCACAGAGGAACTTACAGCTAGAACGAGAGCCAACACTACCACCACCTCCTGCTCCTGTTCCTGTCTCCACAGTGATGAGGAGTCGTAGTGAACCTGTAGTTTACAATTGGCAATCTACCAAGACAAGTGTCAAAGAACGTATGGCGTTTATGTTTAACAATGAAACCTTGAGTGATGTGCACTTCATCGTTGGGAAAGGAGACAACATGCAGCGGATACCTGCTCACAAGTTCGTCTTGTCGGTGGGAAGTGCTGTCTTTGATGCCATGTTTAACGGTGGCATGGCTACGACATCAAGTGAGGTAGAACTACCTGATGTGGAGCCTGCAGCCTTTCTTGCTTTGCTGCGCTTCCTGTACTCTGATGAAGTACAGATCGGACCAGAGAGCGTCATGACAACACTTTATACAGCTAAGAAATATGCTGTACCTGCGCTTGAATCCGCTTGTGTGGAATTCCTCAAGAAGAACCTTAGTGCAGATAATGCTTTCATGCTGCTTACACAAGCCAGACTGTTTGATGAACCACAACTTGCCAATCTCTGTTTGGAAACAATTGACAAAAACACTGTAGAGGCGCTGAGTGCAGAAGGTTTCACGGACATCGACCTTGACACACTTATCGTTGTGCTAGAACGAGACACACTTGGTATCAAGGAGAGCATGCTCTTCAATGCTGTCATTCGCTGGGCCGAACACGAAGCAGTGAGGCAGCAGGCTAGACCAACACCAGAGAACAAAAGAAGGGTTCTTGGACGTGCACTTAAACTGATCCGCTTTCCCCTCATGACAGTAGAAGAGTTTGCCAACAAAGCTGCCCAGTCTGGGATTTTGACTGACAGGGAAGTGGTGAATCTTTTTCTTCACTTCACAGTGAACCCTAAGCCAGCTACAGAGTTCCCTTCTAATCCTAGATGCTGTCTAACAGGCAAAGAACAGACCTTGACGCGCTTTTTGCAAGTTGAGAGTAGGTGGGGCTATAGTGGCACTAGTGATCGGATAAGGTAGGTAGTTTTCTGTGGAGAAATGATGTCAGAACATATGAGAAGAGGAGCATACAATGAAGTCTTGAAATGTTATTCCAATTTTTACATACTTAAATTTGTTGGGGGGAGAAAAAAAGCTGTAATGCTGTACACTTTGGTACATTTTGTAATATCTATTCCTATAAAATTCATTTTTAAGAACAACATCTTATAAAGTGGGAAAACTTGATAAGTTTTTGTAAGCTCTAAAAATAGAATTGAGAAAATGTTTACAATTCTAGGTTTCTATACATGTACCCTTTTTATCACCCTGTTTATCATTATGGAGTAATAGCTCATGTGAGGTGCAGAATTAATTACGTTATTTACTGTACTTTTCATTTGCCGTTGGTTTTGTACTATGATACTCATATTTTGTCTTCTTTACAAGCTGCCAGCAGGGACTTCTAATTCTTGCTATGCAAACTAGTTATTTGATCATTGTGACAATAGTTCTAATAATCAAATAATAATAATAATCTCACTCGTTTTGTTTCTTTGCTGCATAGATTCCAAGTGAACCGGAGAATATTTGTTGTTGGGTTTGGGCTGTATGGCTCCATCCATGGCCCTGCAGACTACACCGTTAATATACAGGTAAGTGTGTACATCCTAGACAAGCAAAGAAAGGATTCACTAGCTGGATGATTGCTGGTGTTGTTGAGGGTGTGAGTATGTATAAAGAAACCAACTTTGAAATCGTGACATGATTTCTTCCTTTGACCATGTTTATATGAGGGCCCCATAATTATTTTTCAAGGAGATTCTGTGTAAGCATTGGGAGGTAGGATGACCAAGAAGTCAACAAAGTGTGTACAGAAATTGAGTACTGGTCAGGAAAAAAAAGAAAGATTGGTGAAGAGCATTCCTTAGAATTTGGTTGCAAACAAAAGAACCTCCCATTTTGAACAAAGATTTTCAACCTGACTAATTCTGTATAGAACCTTATCATGATGAGATGAAATTATAGTGAAAATTTATTAACGTAAATATGTACACAACTATCTTTGTTCATTTTCCACCATTCTTAATGTATACAGTGCAATAAATATTTAAAGTTTTCTCAAAATTTGTGCTTTTTTTATTTGCTTGGAAATTGCTTTATAGATTTAGTGGCAACCTGAAACCATTATAGATACAACAGTTTTGTTATACCAGGCTTGAGATGACTGAAACCTGCATATAATAGTGCACTACAGGGCAATCCAACCTTTGTAATAAGTTCATTTAAATGAAAGCAGAAATATCAGAGAAACAGAATGGCGAAAGTTTGAAATACATCAGACAAATAATAAGAAAGTTATGAATGTTTGAAACACGAGATCACTACAGCTATGCAAATCTTAAATTGGCAATTTTATCAGTGGATTGTGACATAGTGACAGATAACTCTTCTGTTGTAACTAGCGTTAACAAATATCCCTAATTTCTGTTTTTCCTCGAAGTGCCTTCACCCTTGAAGCTCTACTCAAAATATATTAGGATAGTATATAATTACAAGTCCCCAAAAAGAAAAGACCATCCTGAATCATACATTTTGGGGGAAAGAAAATGAAATTTTAGTCATTTTGTGTTGGAACAAATGGGAAAGTTGTCCGCCACAAAATCTGAGAGACTTAACTGATTCAGCCAATTTTAAGAGCCCATACCTATAGTGATTGCAACTTTCAAAAATTCATAATGTTCTCATTTTTTGGTCTGATTTCATTTAACTTTCATCAGTATGCTTCTCTGATTGTTCTGCTTTCTTCTAGAGTAGTTTGCTATCAAGGTTGGATTCCACTTTAATGTGCCTCTCCTCTGCTCCTCAGACTACAGTGTAGGTTACAATGGAAACCCCTCCATCCCTTGGATAGGACTGTCAATGTGTAGGAGAGTCACCACCTACTCATGTATGCATGTTAAGAACCTACTTCAGAGTTGGGGGAATCCCAGGTGTAGTGGTCCAACTGCACGTCCCAATCACTTGTATGGGGTAGTGACCTGAGGGATACAATGATAGAGTTTGTACAGGCACAGGTGACGCTTAAAAAATGTAATATCTATGTTGTATTTCTTCAGATAATTCATGCTGATACAGAGGAGATGATGGGGCAGAATGATACGAGTTTCAGCTGTGATGGTACTGATTCTACATTCCGTGTCATGTTCAAAGACCCAATTGAAATCCAACCATGTGAAAACTATGTTGCTAGTGCAACTCTAAAGGTGAGTCGTTGAATGAAGTATTTTTAGTATCATGTTTGTTCTGATCGTCTCAGCTTTATGATGTGCTGAATTGGAGGGGGAAAAAAGGGGGAAAAGTGGATTATCAAATATAATGTGAATGGCTTTCAATATTTCCTTCACAGATTTTTTCAATTTTACAATTTCAATGTTCTTCAAAATCAGTAAAGGTTAACACACAATATGCAGGGAGATTTACATGTTTTTAGGACATGATAGAAACAGATAGGCACTTAGAAACAGTGTTTACGGTACTCTTCCTTTGTTTGAATCTTCTATTGTTGTAAAAGTATATTTATTCATACATGTAGATGCATGATGTTGAACCATTTCATTGCATGGTACAAGTATACATAGACCAAAGGTCATGAGTTATCAATAAGCTTTAGGCCTAACCATTATTTGCTTGCTTGCTTGCTAGGTAGGTACCCTTTTGTGTCAGACATAAAAGCTCAAGGGTTTTCAAATACTTTGATTTCCATTTTTGTATGTTCTGGTACTCATGTTACCAGCCAGCTTGATTAATATATCCATATATCGTCCTTGTTTTCACGAAGTGATGGTAGTGAGGAAAATCGTAACGCAAAGTGAATGCAATTTTTTTTCACTACCGTCACTTCGTGAAAAAAGCGACGATATTTTATATGCTGTCTTCCTCAAGTTTTCTTTTAAAATTCCTTCTTTTTGTTAACTATTTTAATTTATCCATTTTTAAAATTCATTTTTAAAACTTCATATCCTATTTTCTCTGCATCCTCCTCACATTACATGACCTACAAACTGGAGTAGTATTTCCCCAGCCATATTGAAAGCATAGTCATGTGTAGAGGTGTTTTAGTCTAAGAGAAATCGCAGTACTGTTGATCCAATCGTTCATGATTAATTAGAGAACCAGCCTCAGGATTTTGTCCTTTTGCAGAACATTTATCTACATTTGCCACTCTCCACCCAGGTGTAGTAATTAGGTATTTGGTAGGGAATTATTCCTTTAACAATACCCTTCAACACCTTTGGGCAGCTGGACTTAAAGCCAGTGTAATAATTATACCCTGTAGGCACCCATAACAGACCCTAGGATGGATGTATGTCTGCGCAATATAATATAAATGTAGCTATCATTCAACATTAATAAGTTTCTTATATAGAGCATAATACTTATACAAAGTCCAAACCGGTATGTGCTTAATATAGAATTGCATATTAAAGGTTGATAAAAAGTTATAACAATAATAACTAATATAATAATAAGTAATATGATTAGAAAGTGCACATACAAAAGTGATTAATGAAAGGATAAATAGGAATTCACAGAGTATTCAGAAAAATATAAGCATATAATTGAGCAAACTTGAATTCAATTAATGTCAGTAATTTGTTGTCTATTAAAAAATGAGAGGCAATCATATTCCTTTTTGGTGCTGTTTCTGTTTCAGGGTCCTGATTCCCACTATGGCACCAAGGGCCTTCGGAAGGTTGTTCATGAATCTGCTTCTAACGGCAAAGTAATGTTCCAGTTTGCCTACGTCGCTGGCAACAACAATGGAACATCGGTCGACGATGGCCAAATACCAGAGTTGATATTCTACACGTGATCCTCTTCTAATCAACACAAAGAAATCCTAGGGGTTGGTGATGAATCAGGATGCCAATTTAGGTGAAAGCATATGGCACCCAACCACCTCTTTATACAATATGATGGTACATTGATGTACTGTATATTTCAGTAATATTGTGTATAAGATTGTTATAGTGTAATTTCCAGTGCATTGACAAGCAATATGAAAGGAAGCGCTGTGTCTATGCATATTAAAATGGTACTTGTTATGAGATCAAAAGTATTACATAAATTCTGCAGAATATCTTGCAAAAAAGGGGGGGGGAATCTTTTATTTTGAGTTAAATGAAGTGTATTAGCAAAATTAAAGAATAAGTGACATTTTAGATAACATTTATATAGTGTTATCCTGTATTATATCATAATCATGCCTCTAGATTGATAAATGCTATTGTACTTTAACATCAACTTTTTAATGCATCTCAGAAATTCACCTGAATTTTTCTGAATCCAAGCCATCTTCAGGCTTCGAAATACCCAGCACTTCAGGCATTTACAGATTATTTGGTTTGCTAATACTTGGCTGCTATGAACTTGAATCATCCCCCTCTTAAGGTTGTCTATGTATATATTTTTGTTGCTGGTACATATGAAAGTCATTTGTAGCTTGTCTCTTTTATAATGCTTCCTGGTAGTATCTGCATAACATGCAACTGTACCCATTGATAACTGAAGTCCCACATTCCCATACCTTTGTCCTCCATGTTAAGGTAGCTCAGTGAAATGAAGTAGCATCAAAAGACGCGTCCACAACGCATACTGGATAATACTGCTGTCTGGTGATTAAATAGATGGTACATTTACCAGCTCCATATCCGAACGATGTGGTTCTACAATGAATCTCTGTCTGATAAAATTATGCATTTTGCATTCAGGAGACGTGTCTTTTTGTGCAGCTACATTTTGCTTACCAGTAGTTAACTGAAGATTTGTTGTTGTCTGAGTCTTGCAAACATGTAAAAGATGCATGGTGTAATCAATGACATTGAAATAACTAGTGTTTCTTCTGAAATAAGAGGGTTGATCATGATCAAATCATGTTTTTATTTGAATTTGAAGGTTTCTATTGGATTTGTATTTCGCTGTGTGAATATATAAAAAGTTGCTCACACAAGATCTATTTAACAATTTACAGATAATGCAATGAAATGGGACATCAAAGAAGTTGATTTTCAGAGTGGGAAAGCTACATGTATGATGCATTAAACTATTATCAGACACTTAAAGCTATTTCTTCGTACTACTAGACAGAAAAACCTTCAATGAAATGTCTTGAAACGTTAGTGACATACAAATAAAATACCCATGAATGCAGTACACTAACTGTGAAGCGGTGAAACTGCAGCATATCGCGAGGATTGTCAAAACATTGGAACCATTCAATTTTGTATAAGCTGAACAGTATGCTCTTAATACCGGACACTTATTTGTCAATGAACTTCAATCGAACACTGAGATAAATGTAAATTATTTTTTATATTAATTACAATTCTAGATGATCGACAAGGTCATAATTATACAAACATCAAAAATGCTGTTTTTTCAGTGTAAATTTCTCCAGTACATATTTGAGATCTCCTGTTTTTCCCTGTAAAAACTGCACAATTGTGATCTCACCTATGGTGTTTGCATAGTTAAAACATTACGCCGATCTGAAGTTTGACCCAAAAGTGCACTTTACATCTTGGTACAAAATCCATGTTTTTATCATAAATACTGGTAAGAAGTTTCTGGACACCAAATTTTGAGAGCAGAATCCCTTGTATATTCCCATTGCATTCACACTGTTAGAATGAAATACGTTACAGTAGTTCTTGTATACCGGTAACAAAAATTATTTGTGTAAACAACTGCAATTTGCTTTGTGGGCGCATTAACATTAGTCGAAACGCGTGCTGCTGTACGCTTGTTGTGCTGGGTATAAACAAGTGCATGTGAGTCAACTAATTTAAATGTGTTGACCTTTCGATGCTTATTAGTTTAAATATGAAGATATACAGCCATTTACGGGGTGTCTGGTATTAAGAGGCGTCCAGTATTAGGTTAAGTGACAATATACAGCAACAAGTTTCTATCAGTGATTTTAGTCATTGCAATGTTGATGATAGGGATGTTCACGATAATCATTGTCATGTGCATGTATTTGCAAGGATTATTGAGCCATTATTGCAGGCTAAAGTGTTTTACACAATGTATACTGCATAAATGCTGTAGTTTCATTATGAAAATATGCAAATATATGCAGTAAAACATTGCATTTTGTTAGGTGTAATTTGGTGCCATTTACCAACACAGTATGATATTTGAAGATCCATACTAATATACTCAAACTAGTAGGAGATTTACCAGTATGTATACCTCCTTTTTATATACGTCAGTCAAAGTACTTTGGATCAAATCTAAAGTATTATGATTGATGATGGTTGTCGTAGATTCTATAATATTTCCAATGTTTTTTTTTATGGGGAAGCACAAATTTGTGAATGCTACTCACACAGATACTGACAGATATTTTTTGCATGTCAGTCTTTCGCTATCATAGATACAAAGTATGTATCTTGTTCAACACAATACATACTGTATTGTGTTTGAAATGGACTTATCTTGTTTATTATAAAGTAGCTCAAATGCATATATATTTGAGGCAAATTGCTTCAAGCCCATCACACACTATACTATCTTACTATCTGATTTCAATGAGTTGACAATTTCATTTAGTATTGAAATCTAAACCTAAATCATCTTCCTGATTTAGGTTCTACATCATAAGAATACTAAAATCCAGCCCTTTAGTGCATTTAAGCTTTCTGATCACAAGAAATGCTGAATCAATTTCAAATCAATTTCAAATCGTAGATAATCACATTACTGGTATAATGGTGTATCGATTATTAGGAGCTGATTTAGCTTTTCTTCTCCTGAGAAAGTTTGGAATACCTTAACATTTATATTCATATGACTATCCAGCTCCTTGATCATTAAGATTTTACATGTTTGAATGTCCTTCTCAAATCATAGTCATTCCGTGAAGTGTGTGATGGGCTTTGTGTTACTAAACAAATACTTGTAATATATTATATCAAATACTTTGTGGATTGGGTAGAAAAAGGTTTTGCCAAAGGATTTGCTAGGTTTCTCAAAAAAATGCAGCAAGGGTAAACTTTATGCTTTTGTAAAAAAAAAACACTTTAATTCTATTGCAGATTTTGTTCTCAGTCTAATATTGATATAAAGAAGTGTGATTTCATATGAGATGCCTTTGTTTAAATATAATGCCCCTATGAAAGTTAACTTTTTGTTTGGAAATTTTGATTTATATCATGTTATATATCAATAACAGGCAACACTCTGCATGAATTGTGTTGTTTTTAGTTTTGAAGGGAGATACTATCTTCGTGTTGAAGTATGATAACAAATAATGATGAATTGATGTTTAACTATTCCATATTTACAATGTGGAAACTAGCAATATTTAACGTACATGTACCTGAATGATATTGTGCTAGTCCATTTTCCTATAGAGTATTCTATATATTGTTCCAAACAATCGCTCATGCACTCGTGCAAACATTGTGATAGTAATGTACTTTGGCACCATGTTTGCGACTGTATGAGTATGTTTGCCAACTATTGTTCTCCTTTTATTTATTTTGTACCATTCAATCTGTAATGTAGCATTATATCAATATGGCCTTGATAATCTTTAAAAGTTCTCACTCTTCTGATGATATGGTGGAGGCGCGATAGCTCACTCGGTAGAGCAGTGGTCTCGGTGGTCTCGGAGAGGACCTAAAGCCGTCGACCGTCTGGTTGCTTACTAACAAGCATTTATGCTTTCTTAGCAGTGGGGTAAAATAACCACCACCACCAAATGAAGTGTATCTATGTATGGATGGTCCATTACGCACCTCTCGTTTTTCCCTAGTTAGTATACAGGTACGGTACATTAGAATGACAAAGTTTTGATGGTTGTGAAATAATCTAGATAGCAGAATTTTAACCCGTGGAATATTGTTGGAACTCTATGTACATGCATGACTCATTTTTTTCATAGACTCCAACGCAAGATATACAGGGTGTCCCAATAAAAACAGGCAAGCATACTACTAATAATGTGGGGTAAATATTCACAGGTACCAGTGGAAGGACAATTTTGTTCTTCTTAAAATATTCCCCATCACCAGGTGACAGTGAAATTTGCCCCACATTTTTTGGAAGCATGCTAGTCCAATTTTGTTATGGGACACATTGTATAGGGCACAATCATCAACGTATGAAAGCCATATTGAGAAGTTTAAGATAGCAGAATGTTATGTTACCTTGGTTAGATATGGCAAAAACCATGTTATTCATCTTTATAGTTGATGTTCTGCTTTGGGTCAAGACATAGATCAATGGTCTTTAAATCATCGATTTTCCAACAAGCCTTTACCCGGAGTGTACAGACTTCATGATGTAAAGTCTACAGTGTGATTGCCGTCTATGTTTTTACCCATCATTTACAATTGCTATGAAAAGGGGAGGCGTGTTATTTTCTTACATCTTTGGTTTGCATTGTAATTGGTTTGCATTGTGTACCCAGTGTGATTAGAAATTTATATCACTTTCATAATTGTTTTTTCTTTTTCTGTTTTGATAACTGACTTTTTCATTTATAATTAATCTGCATGCTTTTTTCAAACTGGTTGAGTGTTTATGTTTTACAAAAGGTTACATGCAAATCTTTTAAAATACTGTGCATCCAAAATAAATTCCTGTTTGATCTCAAACATTACTGTATATTTTCATCAGTATAGAATACTGGCCAAATGTATTATAATTCAGATTTTAGAAATTTGTTTAGGGGACAACATAACATGTTCTGTTTAGAAAATGATGACAAAGTTTAAAATATGATATGATTTCTCTGGTATGAATATACCAATGTGTGTACTGCAAATTGTGGCACTGCACGAGCTAAGAATTTCATCATTTTCATTGATAGCTTTCCAATTATTTCTGCATATCAGGTGATCTGTGTATTTATTCAGCTCTGCTATTGTACATTAAAGGTACCATGTCCCATTTGCAGGCCAAAAAAATGGAAAGGTTAAATTCCAACTGCATTTGAAAGAGAATAATACCGGTAATTTAGAACTTCCCTAGAAAAAAGGGGGCTTGAAAATGTCTACAAGTGGGAAAATAACGACTACTAGTTTTCAAATTGACTTAATAGCTATAGAGCCAGTAAGTAATAGTCTGATTTTCAGACCATTGTACCAGATTCAATCAGTTTAATTTTGGCCATTACAAGAAGTGGGTTATTGATGTAGACAAATGCTCATGTACCCTTTAAAGCTCATTTTATGTATTTTATTACCAAAGAAGATAAACAAATCAGTTAGTCACTCAATAGTGTCTGACAGTAAAGTCTAGCAAGTAAACAGGTTTCCTTGCATAATTTGAATATTAGGACACTGCTAACGTTTAAATTTCACAGATAGGACATACATGACATATTGATAATTCCTGCAAAGTTCTAGAGATTTTGATGTTGGCTGCAAAAGGGACATAGTATCTTTAAGCCATTTGGGTGAAATGCTACCATGTATATCCTATTCATATAGAGCCATAAATGCATGGAAAATAATGTTTGCTTGGAAAATATGACATTTTTGCTTAAATATGTCAATTTGACATCCTTTCCTTGAGGTGTAGAAGATTAGAGGAAAATCCTTTATATGATCCAATACATTATTTGTTTTGATTGGATCCTAGTGATTATATGTACCTATGACTTTAATATGAAAAGCAATATTGCTCCTATCATGTCTCCTCGTATGTCTGGAATAAAGTTTGGACATACTTGCTCTTGAAATGTCCAATTTGTCTAATTGGTTGCCCTTTTTAATTCTGTGGATCTAGTCAGGATTTAATCATGAAAATATATTAACCAAATTTAATGGATCCTCAAGTATGTGAGTGAGTGAAAGAGGGGTGAGAGAGGGGAGAAAGAAAGAAAGAGATGGGGAGAGATGGGGAGACAAAGAGAACAACCAGAGAGAAAGAATTAGCAAGTATACTGGATATTGCATTGGGTACAGAAACAAAGAAATTCAACACAGCATACAGAGAATTTCTCATCAATACTACATGTACCGTATATGTTTTGGGAGCACACCACAGGATATGCCAAGGACATCTAAAAGTATTTGATGAAGGGCCTTTTTCAACCAGTCCATCTTTTATTCTTATGCAAGGGTCACTCTGTGGCCTGGACCCACCCTCCTCAGGTCATCACCTTTCTTCACCTGAGCCAATTATTTGTAACCTCAGGGTTTCACCATCACTTCATGTGCTTTACAAAAAACAAAGGCAAAGCATCACTCTTATCAGCAAATGTGTTAGTCCAGGCTTCACCCTTTGAATTATTTGCATAGGTGATGCTTCACTTTTGTCAGTTTTACATAGGTGAGGCTTCACTTGTGTCAGTTTTCCATAGGTGAGGCTTCACTTTTGTAAGTTTTCGGCCGGTCTGAAGCTTCACCACTGTTTCACCATACTGGCCATTTGCATAGTTCAAGCTTCACCACTGTTTCACCTAAGCCTGAGTCATTACGGTTTTTGTGCTAAACGGTTAACCGTTAAAAGTATACGGGCGGTTTCGTTTAACCGTTTAATAATAATCTGAAAAAGTGAAAATACAGTATTTTTAATAGTGCTGTAGCTCGGAACCCTGCTGGTCTTCAGACTGTCGGGCTGAGCATTCCCAGCCCCGGACTATGGCACAAATTGGGTCATCCTGATAAACAGAGACCAGTAATAAACAACATAAAACATGTCTTATTATTCCTCATCTGAATTTGATATCATGATTAACCTTGCAAAGTTACTCTGTGAAGATAGCTGATCTGTGACGTGTTTATATATGCCTTTGCAATGCAATGTTTGCACATGGTCAGGGAGAGAGCTCCCTGCATGTATCATTGCCATATGAAATTATGTGGAAGTGTGTATCACACACACCCAAGACACACCCTGCAATGAGCTGATCCAAGTTAGTGACCAATCAGGAAGGTTCTCTAGCTATGTGGGTGGAGTTTGATACCAGCATAAATTACATGGTGACCGCGCGTGCTTTCACCGTACCCAGTTCAGTGGGAGGTCAAGAAGCCACGCCCACATGTGTGCATGTGACAAGCATGAGCTCTCCATCTGTGTGTATGTACAGTGTATTTGGGCGCCGGAGGTTTGTGTGTACATGTGTGTGTGTGACTGAGAGAGCATGCATATGGGCTAGCATGTCCCTGCATGTCCCTAGCATGGACGAGGCAGGGACATGAGTGAAGATCGAAGTAAGAAAGGGTGGCTGTGTTAATCGGCTGAATTGAAGAATGATCAAAAACTTAAATTACTCACAAATAATATCCAAGACTTTGTTGATTGATATTTCTAAAACTTCAATTATTATTGTTATCAATATTTTTGTATTTTATTTATATATGAACATTATTTTAGGGGGCGAGTCGGCAAGGGATGGATATTAATATTGAAAGAGAGAGAGAGAGACTCGGGGGAGAAGGGATGTGAGAGGAACTGACCATCGAATGTGTAAACATTTAGAAAGTTGTGAGCCGAGAGTGCAGTAATAAGAAAAGGTACATGAGCGATGAACACATTGCAGAGAGAAGGGAATAAAGAGGGTGAGAAAAGAGAGAAGGGGGCTGGTTGTTTTATTGTTTACAAATTCATTCATGGGGATAACTGCTGCCAGAAAGCTAGCGCGCAGCGGCCAGGGTGTAATATTACACTGCGGTTTCTTTGATTATCTTTATCATCGGCTATTAGCACATTCCAAAATGTATGCAAATAACGGTTAACCGGAGCGAGAAATGCTAAACGGTTTTGATGAATCATGCGAGTGCATGAGTGACCGGAATAAAAATTAAATAGTTGTTTTGAAACGCACGATTTCGACATGATTTCGACATATTTTCGACGCGACCGGTAGTGGCTTCGATGTCACATCACCTGAACAAACAAGGCGACCGATTGGATTCGATGTCACATCACCAGAAAAAACAAATTACTCGTCAAAGCTTCACACATTTCATCAATTTGTATAGTAAAGCTTCACCCAATGAAGAAAAACGAACGTTAGGACTTCACTACAACAACAAATAGGTCAGGGTCAGGCTTAGGCGTCGAGTCGACGTCGATATTTGGCGACCTCTGAGGAGGGTGGGTCCAGGCCACAGAGTGACCCTTGCATTAATGAATAACGAAAAGCACCAACAACAAAAAAACAAAATCAAATTTTCAAGGGGTATGAATAATTTAGTTGTTAATTGCATATGTTCTGAAAACACACCACAGAATGATGCAAGATACAGATGAGCTGAATAATTAATATACATGCACCAATAACATGATGTAGTCCTATTATGTTGAGGCACTCCTGCAAAGTATCGATCGGCAATTCCCGGTTGTTGGTCATGTCATTACTTCTTTTGTTTTCTTTTTATACAGTGCTGTAGCAGCTTAGTTTCAGTTTTATTGACATCATAATTCCTGTCCCCTCTGCTGATCATTAAGGTTTCCAATCCACCGTAAGCTGGGACTGCATATGTGTGTGTGTGTGTGTGGGGGGGGGGGGTTGAGACTAGCTCTAGGGAGGGGATGCCTTCTCAGCATGTTTAGATGGAAGGAAACAATGTCAAATATCCCTTACCCAATATGTTGAAAACAAACAATTTTATCTTTATTTATCTATTTTCCAGGAACACGGCATCAAACAAAATCAACTATCTAAACAATGACTAACTTTTACTTTAAGCCAAGTCCTTCCTGTTTGTCATGATATGATGGACCAGGTCTTTCTATTTCCTAGTTCTTCAACTTCCAGTCCATGCACTGTCTTCTCTATGAGGCTGTTCACACCGCAATGAGATAGCGCGGTCTATCGTAGCACCCCCTTTTTTCTAGCGCGCGCTAGACCGCGCTATCTCTCGTGGACCACCCCCAAGAGGTGCTCCAGTGGCACGCCGTTTTGGCTCGCCGTGGCTCGCTGTTGGGCGGACCGAAACGACGTTGTACCTTCCAAACCGCAGAGATAGCGCGGTCTAGCGCGCGCTATCTCTGCCGGTGTGAACAGCCTCTACGATCACATCTATTATTAGGCTGGTCTTTCTCTGCCTCTTTGCCAATGTGATGGAGTCCATAACAGAAGTTGGGAGAAAATGTCATCTTCTCCTGAAGCAGGTGCCAACAAGCTCCAGTCTTCCCTGTTCTAGTTTTTCAGAGTTTTGGTAGATCCACATAGGTCTGCATTAATTATGTGGTGTTCTGCATCTACTTTGACATTCAGGGCTGCTCTGAGCAGCCAGGTGTAGCATCATCTAATTGCCTTGCCTTTTTGCAGCCAATTGTCCATGATCGTAAGGCAGTAAACTAATTCTACAGAACTGCTTGGAAGAGACTGATCTTCCACTCTTTGCTCATTTTGGACTTCCATACTTTTATCTTGTCCAAAGCTCTCTAAGCCTCTTTTCTGATTGAGTTGTCCTTTTGAAAGCTGTCCAGGTGGCTGCCAAGGTACTTGAAATCACCGTCACCTAGCTTCTCTACTTATGTGCTCATTGTGTATAGGTGAGATTCCTCTTTTGTTTTGAATGTGACATATGTCCTTCTTTTTTTAAGGTTAAAATGTAGACCCACTTCAGCTGCTTCTTTCTCCACTTTCAGAAGAAGGGAAGTGCTTGTTGGATTTCATTGGAGACTAGGGCAATATCATCTGCAAAGGCGAAGACAGCCAGTGATTGTTGTTAGATCGTGTCTTCTGCTCCTTTGTCTTTTTTTCATCTTCTTTACCTCCTATTGCTCTCCCGATAGCGTAGCCCGAGATAATCACAAACAGATAAGGTGCCAGAGCAACTCTTTGTCTTTTTTCAAGGCAGGTCAGTCATGCAGAACCCTACCACTTGCAGTTGTTGCTTTTCTTAGGCTGAGGTTAATCTTTGCCGATACAATTCGGGGGTCTGATCCAGTGCTTGTGAAGCTTGTGTATGCTTCTACATTAATGAGGCTGTTCATCATCCAGATCTTCCTCACAAGGATGTAGTCCAGCTGTGGGTGTGTTCCAAGAGGATGTAAGTCCACAGCTTTCCCTTCCCTCAATCCTACCCTTTGATCTGTCTGGCTCGGTTGAACCTGCCAGGATTGAGACTCCTGCTAGCATAGCTCTTGGTCTACTCAAGCTGCTTCAAGCTGGTATTATCAGAAGCAGAAATCCAAATAAACATTTTATATTCAAATGTAAAGCTATCCTTTCTACTCTAATAAAAATGTGGACTAATTGCACTTTAAGAGTCTTAGATCTATTCAAATAATCTTAGAGTAATTGTAGATTCAAATAATCTTGCAAACAGACAGACAAAATTTCCATGTAGATTTTTCTCATCCAAACCTTTCAATTTATTGCTAAAAAGTTACAAGTGGTATAAAAAAAAGTACCCATCACAATACATGTACAGAATTATGAAAGAATTAAAAAACCTGCACATATATTAAATGGGAATTGCAATTCCTTCTTTTGGCAGATTATAATAAAATGTTATCCAGGAAATGCTAGACAATACATATGTGGAAATCAATACAGAACGGCCATAATGTGGTAGTATAAAGAAATACATGTACCCATAACTACTGTTTGATGCAACTTTCTTTCTGAATTTTTTGTTTTAATGTCACAATATGTCCACTTTGGAATAATGGTGTTTTTTAAACAAAAAATATCAGTAATTTCTTTTTTTCTGCCCTTCAGAATATTACAATAATTATTTTTTTTTAAATATGAATTTTATCCCTTTCCCGGTAGCCTGGGGGTATACAAAACATAAAATAACTGGTGATAAGTGTTTGGTATCAAAAAGTGCTTGTGAATGATCAATGATCAGGGTCTCTAGAGGACACAGTCAATCACTGATCCCCACATACCGTACGTATGAATGATTTGGTTTCTTATTTCCAAAGCCTACTGACTTACCAACTAACATCATTTTCACAACATAAGAAAAAGCAAATGAAAGTGCTAATACCTACAATAAAACTGTTACCAGAAATAATACCCCTAACTCACATTTTTTTTTAAACAGAACTACAGTGTATTTGTGTAAGTATACACTAAGCTCTGATTTTCAAATCTGATGCTATTGATGACTTCAAAGAATATTCAAAGTTGATTTCCTTTTATACCTAGCAGCACCGTTCAACATCATTGTCATTTCAGTATTAATGAAAATGCAAAATATTTCAATTTAATAGAAAAAGCCTGAGCATGCGCAATGTATATATGATACAACTATGCAACGTCTGCTGAGAATCAGAAGGGCTTTAACTCATGTCAGTTACATAGACTTAACACCCTTCTGGCTCTAAACAAACAATATGATAGGATTGCTGTCTAATGTAATGAGTTTAGTAAATTGCTTATAAGATCACTAAAGATCAATCTCTTCCTATTCAAACTAAATGTTTTACGTGAAATAATGACATGATATATAACTTTCTTGATGTATACAGCTGATACCAAATCTTCATGAGTTTGTGCATTAAGAAATTGGGTTCTCAATGATAATACACTGGAATGGATTTGGGGTCAAAGTTGCGTAAAATAAACAATAACATTGTACAAACTTAAATTGAACATTTTTAAAAGCACAAAATATACAGATAGCATAACAAATCAGTCAAAATATCATGTGACAATTGCGGTTAAAGAAAAGAAATCTATAAGATTTTCATGGTTAATACATGTATATTGTAAAATATTAATATATTTCTATCTGATAAAATATTGAATTTCAGCCTTTTACCATAAAATATTGCATTTGACAATTATAAATATGCAATACAAATATTAAACCTTTTCTAAAGAACAATATATTTCTTTCAATAAAGATAATTAAGTGTTTCATTTTACATTTCTTTCTTGTTTTAACTGAACAAGAATAAACAATAATTTGAATTAATTGCAATTTCTTTGAAAGACACGATTATACTGCTAATAAAGCACATTAAGTATGGTACATATTAAATTTTTTTGTCTCTAAATAACAAAGCGTAATAATCAATTTGATTTTCTCATGAATCAGATTTGCTGCATGATAAAACTGTATTACTGTCAAATAGGTGAAAATCACAGAAGTCAAATTTTTTTTTGAAAAAATTGTGTTTAAGTGGCTATCGGAATAGAATGGTCTATTATGTAGATTGTAGATATTTCATGAATTTTTCAGGCTTTTTCTTATATCACCTTTTTTTTGCCAGGCAGCTATTCAAATATTTTGAATACAATCATTATTCTATACGGGTGAATTATAATAAATCCATTAAATGATTTGCCCTCCCCTCTGTCATACTCTACAAAAATGAAAGTAGAAAAATTAAAATTAAATATATATATGATCAAGTTAAGCAAAACAAAAACAAAATCCATACGATAATACAAACTGTCTTTAAAGTAACAAGAGATATATTTTAATTCCAATTCTCCCCTACCACCTGTTCATCTTGATTTTAAAATTACATTAGAGAGTTGCATGTTCAATCATCTGTTGTTTTACATACCAACCTAAGCAAACGTATATCATTGCAACACACTTTATGACACAGTTTTGTAACATTGATTAAGTGATCATCATCAACTTCAGGTGGCGCTGTAAAGCGCTGCTGTGGCCTTCACATCTGCAATAGTTTCTTTTCTTTAATGGGATTCCCCTTTCGAAAAAAATATACATTTCAAATCAGAGACATACATGAAAGAATAAAAATCAACATTCCAATCATAATGAGAATCAAGTTCATACCACTACCACCTCTCATAAATGTATATAGTATATGAAGTATCAAAAACAACCTGATTTAGGCTTCTGCTGAGAACCACAAGGGTGTATAATATCTTTTACAATGCCAAACTGTTTATCACTTTTATTACCAGATATTACTTTGTAATTCTTTTCTTGTATGCATTTTGTATTCATCTGTTTAAAACAATAGTACACTTCACCTTTAAGGGAGAGTATTCTACCTACACTACTTCATATTTACGTAATATCTGCTGCCCACGATGTTCTGATGTGTTGACAGCCAAGTCCCACAATGCATCACCTGTGATGATGCTTGGGTACAAGAACCTGATATGCTCTATGTACGCCTTCATCAAAAGATGTGGCAATAGAAAATACATTACAGCAGTGGTAGCAATTTCAGTAAAAGACAGATTTTCAATATATATACCATTATACCACATTATGCAGAGTAGTGAGTTAATACCCCTCTGGCTTTTGGCAGACGTTTTCTTTTTAAATTTATTATTTGACAGCGATGCTCTGACTTGCGAAGAACGTTTGTTCAGGTTGTAGCGTTACTGGTGTAGAAACATGGCCAGCTTCTACACAAATCATCTTAGTGTATTCATCATCACCAAAGTCACTCATCTGTTTTGCTTTCTCTGCCCATGGATTCCATACCACTGAATGTTTAAAAAAGAAGCAGAAATAGATACAAACAGAAATTCAGTATGGTAACATTAAAGTGAAAGGTTGTATTTTTGTCTGTGTGCTTAAATTTGCAGAGATGTTGATTGGTAGTTTTTTTTTTTAATCAAAATGTCTTTGTTGTGAAGTAACCACTCCTTACACTTTAACTACAAATACATCCAATATGATACATATTTTTTTGTAAGCTGTGCTAATTCATATTTACTCAAAAGTGCTTGCCATCCTAGTAATCTTATACTATTACTTTACCTGGTAATGCAAGTCATTGAATTCATTTACACTTTAAAAAAAAAAATTGTTTGGATAACAAAAATAGCAAAACAAATGCCGATTCAGGCTTCATATTACAAGCTAGAATGTGAAAAGATAGTCACATCCCACATCACCCTGTTACTCCTTTAACCAGAAGATCACACAAAAAGCCTTTTACTGAAATTAGTTTCCTTCAAATATTCTTTCCTTCCGCAAACACTTACAGACTAGAATTCTGTAGCACCATTTCTATTTGTTGAGCTGTACTATATTCAGATTCAGAATTCAGACATTAAAATACACAAATGACAAATAAATGACTATTAAACCAAAGTGCATTACTAAATGCAGAAGCTGCAATCTAATGATTGAGTTTCAAGATAAACCTTTTGGCAATTTTATGACTAGATAAAAACTGTACCTGTATCAGGAAAGTTGTTTTTCTCCAAGATAATGGTTGCTCCGTCAATTGTGTTTCTGATTTCATGTTTATTGGGTGTTTGCTGGTATACTCTGGGGGAAAAGAAATGTCCAATAACAATCACTTTGAATTGAAATTAGGAATGCTAATTATCCTCACCCTTTTAAAATTATTATTGTAAAACAAAATAGTCACTGATTCACTTTTGTCATATAAATGGTACGCATTGTACACATGACTGATTAAATCTCTTATAAATCTGTTATAATCATACTTTTTTCATTGATTGTTAAGTGTTTCTCAAAAGAAAAGAAAGGGGCAGGGTTGAGGCATAGAGGGATTTACAAGGTGATATCAAGAGAATACAACCTGTTTTAAGGCATAGCGTATAAATGTTGGAAATAGATTGGTAAAAATAGAATATGCATAAACTACAAAACTGTTCAAGACTATGAGAAGAGTTTGTCTAAACAATCAATGTTAATAAAGCCCTTGAACTTTGCATTTTCTTCTCCAAAGAATCCCCATCATAAAGTGGATTAATCTATCACTTAATAAGTGTCATGTTAATAAATCTGTCATTAAATTGTAGCATATGAGTCATAACAGTTCAAACAAAATAACAAGGATGTTGAAAAGGCAAAGTTCATATTTGATAATGTCATTTTGTATGCTCTACCTAATCGTTTTGTGCTGTACATGTTTCATTAATGCTGTAACACTTACTATCTTTAACCTACTGTTTAAAACAGTTGTTTGTTCGCTGATATTTGCATTTCAGTTTTGCATGTGCACAAACACAGCTCTGGTTCACATTGGTATTAATTCCATTCTTCATTTTTAAAAAAACATACAATACATACAGAGTATTAAGAAAATGTAGCTCTAGTTCACTGGTTCTCCATTTTCCAATGAATTGCTAAGTTTAGATGTGAAACAATATATTAATCACGATCAAAGTGACACTATGATAAAAACAAAATTTGTCCCATTGTCATACCACTAAATGTTTGTGGATTTGGTTGCACTATTGAGGTTAAATGTTTACTGGACACAGCTGATAAACAATTATCTCTAGCCCACTAGTACAAACAACCTACTAATGGTATTTGTTGACATATCAAAGAAGAGGTTGCTGAGACTCACCTGTCATAGTTTTCTCCCACTGTCACTAGATCCCTGTCCTCCGTGAATGTGGCTCCCCCTCGAATCTATTTACAAAAATAATAAACAATTTAAATCCATACCGGTACTCTACTGCATACACTTACAACAGCTGAATGAACCATTTTCAGATTCTACAACAGTACACTCCAGCAGCAATTACTATGCAGTGATTATCCTGGAGCACAAAGTGAATTCCTAAATTCAACCCTGAACCCAACACTATATTTAATCCTAACCCTACTTTATTATTGTGATGAAGTAAAACCTGGAGCAGAAGTCACTAGGGAAATTAATGTCAAGTTAAACATTTTTGGATATGTATTTGAATATAAAGCCTGCTTTCCAAAAGAAAAGTTTGTTGCTCTTAAAGCCTCACAAGGTGTGGACATATGTCTGACAATTTGAACTTGTGCATTTTGATTACTGGAAATAAAGTAAAATCGACTTTACTAGTAACGGGCTACAGTCCTACTCTAGGTACTTGCGGAAAGATGCATTTTGTAAGTTTGACTGTAACTGATGATATAAAATACTTGCCAGTAAGCAAAACAATATAATAACACACAATTAACATCACGTTATCATTTGATTAGAATCATATCATCTAATTATGTGGGTAGTCTGACTAATGATGGAAATTAAAAAAAACCAGAGAGCACTCAGAGCAGATTTTCATGAACATAGTAAACATGGATAGCATAAAATAAACTCAGTATATAGTGAAAGGAAATCTAACAAGATATACTTTTAGCAAGACTGAGCCAATTTCTTATAATTTTGAAGATTCCAAAACCTCACAGTATACACCAATACTTATGTGCTACATCATCAACCTCCTCCGATCACTTCCACACGGTTTCTTTCACATTGCAATTGATTGTAAATAAGTTTGATTAATCCCAACTGTTTATGAGACAGGCCCAGAACTCGACCTGATATTGAACTATTACCTTGTCTACATACTCTAGTCCATTGAGGCCTGTTATTGATACATTGGCTATGTCATCTACTCTGAAGTATGTGTGTAGAAGACAGGTGAATTCTAATTTAGCCAAGCCTGCATGGGAGATCAAAATATTATACAATGATTACATATATATACTGTACATTGATTTGTATTTGTCTGTTTCCACATACTGTCTTTCAACAGACGTTGATTTTTTTTTAAAGGCCCTTGCACACCTGCAAACTTTAAAGTTACAGATCAATATGAACACAACAACAACAACAACAATTAACAATGGTGACAACGACAAGTAAATGAATTCTAACAGATTAAAGATGTTATATATTTTTAAGCACAATTCTGAAAAATGTCTGACAAGCAACAACAAAAATGTGTACTTTAATAAGAACTACTTAGATTAGGTTCAAATTGAGAGGGGGGGGGGGGCATTGGCAAATTGTCTTTCACTCCCATCTTATATTCCCCAGTGAGTCCATATGTTACTAATATGATGTGAATTAAGACGTGGATTGCTGAGAAGATCAACTGTATGGCAATCCAATCATTGAATTACACCGCCAATCTAGTCTATTTACATTCAGGGATACACATATCATTTATGTGCAGGGAATCGAGCATTCATCTGCTTTGCTGTGTATTAAATGCAAATGCTGTAGTGAAGCAACATTTGATCATTTGGTAGCTGATTGATTTTAATTGCAGGTTCTTTGAATTCTTTACTTTAACTATTTTGGATTTGTTACGGTAAGATGAATAGAGAACTGCATATACAGACTATTCTATAAAATTGTATTTGTCTTTTCTCAGAGGATCGAGGGGGAGGGCACAGAAAATAATTTCTTTCCTTAAATCTTTTTTTTTCCTTGAGTACCAGTAAAGAGGTGAAAAGAGAGTGGTGAAATATAGACTATTCTACATAGAGACTTTAGAGGCTTGTTGATATAATGATAGTTGTCAGCATAAACAGAAGGGTCTAAACTATCTGGTCTGTAGACTACACTTTGCACAGTCCCTAGCTGTGATGCTGTAGCTATTCCTGATAATTTAAAGCCAGTGTGTATGTTGACCTTACATCATTCTTCTTTTCTATCCTCATCCGTTACCAAAGTACAAGTGGTTGATTAAAACAGAATTATTGCACACTATGTTTCTAAATTGAAACTCTAATATTTCGATGAAATTTGTTGTATTACACTTGTATTTCACATCAAATTGACAATTTTTGAGATTTTGTTTTCTTTCATTATTTCTTTATCTTTATTATTATTTTCTATCATCTAGTTAACTTGCTTGAATATACAGCCAAACAGGCTATATGTCAGAGCTACAAGGAACCCCATGTTACTGTTATAAATGTACTTCAAATTGAAGGAAACTATTTGCTCAGCTAGCTGCATGCACATGGACCATCAATCATTTTGGTGAAGATTGGATGTCAAGTATTTGGCCCTTGGTTATCACCACATCAGATCACACTCCATTGCTCATCACACTCAGTGCTATAAAGTTCTGACACATACATTCAGTCATACTTATTTTTCTTATTCCTGTAGTTACTTAATATCAATCTCTTTTTTTTTAATATAAGGTCATTATCATTGATTCTACGTGAATATGGTATTGCTATTCCGTGCATGGCCCCAGAGCTCTTATGTAAAATTAATGATCAGTTACAAAATCATAAATGTATTGTACTACAATATCCTCACACAGAACATTATGTATTTGGACGGTTTTGAAAAAGAAAAAAACACAACAACATAATGATAATAATATTTATTATTACTTGTTTACCCAGGGTAGCCTTTTTTGTTGTTCTCAATTAGAGCAAGTATGTTGATATTACTTATTGGAGTCCTGTATATCTTCCTTATATATTGACGTTAGTGGATAATAAACAAGAAAATATTAGCCCTTTACAATTACATAATACTCTGCAGATGATATTTGAAGCTGAAGGAATCAGTACCTGTATTTGTGACAGAAAAGTCAAAGACAGCATTCTTTTTCTTCAGAGCAACTGTGTATTTCACCTTGAATCTGAAGAAGAAAAAAAAACAGATAACATTTATCATCACATATTTGATATTTAGAATTTTACAGTTATAAATGCAGTACAGTTGATTGTGCTCATGAGCATTAACCTGCACTACTGTACTGCAGATTGAATTATTGTTCAGCCATTAAGATTCCGTCCAATGACAAATTAAAGTATTATCTAACCACATAGATCTACCACAAAATTTATCACTCAGGGGCAAAATTAATCTAAGATTTAGAAAATGTATTCAGTAAAAAATCTAAGTAAAAAATGCTGGCGTGACAAACAATTAAAGGGATTTAATTCAATGTGATGATAGTTCTATCAATATCAGAGGCCTATATGTTCATGATCCATACATGTATAATGTACTTTGCTTTTCAAGACTATTATGACTACATCCAATAATACTCACTTATGATTCCATATACTGCGTGTTTCTAGATCATCCTCCAGCTCAAATGTACAAAGGACTTCCTTCTTGGGATCCTTTACGAGATAAGAGAGAGAGAAAGAGAGAGACAGAGAGAGAGAGAGAGAGAGAGAGAGAAAGAGAGAGAGAGAGAGAGAGAAAAGGAGAGAGATGGAGGGAGAGAGAGAGAGAGAGAGAGAAAAAAAGGAGAGAGATGGAGGGAGAGAGAGAGAGAGAGAGAGAGAGAGAATAATAGTTTGAACAGCAAAATTAAAGCTACATTTTGCTCAAAGAGTACACATTAATCCTGGATGCATCATATTAGTTCTGAAGCACCAGGAGAACGTTGCAAAGACGGAAAATATGTTACACTAACAACAAATGTAAATCAACATTGCTACAAAGGATAATACAGATTCCTAAATTATTAATTTTATTTTTATTTTTATTTAATCATCTTATAATGTGTCTTTAATGAAAGCAACTTCTAGAAACAAGTTATTTATATAAAATAGAATACTCAAATATCATGAAATCAATAATGCATAATATACTTTCTAAAGGAGCATCAAAACCCTTTTACTATGAGTATCATAAAAACATAATTTTTAACCTTTGACTTTGAAAAGCTCTGTATATTCACAAAACATAGAATGTACTATCGGTCACATGGTCACATGCATTCACTGCATACTCTCCTGATCAGGATAATTGATGTGTTATCTTCCAATGTACTTTTGAATTTCTCCCATATCTATGTCTCTGTAGAGAAATTTGAACAGCTGGCATAGCTAGGATACCCTTAAACAAATATTTGCCCCCATCCTCCCATGTATGCACCCACTGTCTCCATGCTCTTAAAGGGGAAGTCCACCCTGATAACCCAATTGTCAATTATACATTCACCCTAGATATAATGATTGCACATATGTTTTTTGATATACAAATTTATTTTGTCATCAATAACTAAGAAAAAGAAATTTTATCAACATTTTCTGTACAGAGAAAATTGCAAAGTTTGCCACAGTTCCTTTAAAAATTACCTTAAAATGTTTAGTAGGCCTAATTCTTTTTTTCATAAGGAATAAATTTGTTTTATTTCTTATTTATAATATTTTGAATAATTTTAAGTTTGAATGGTAACCTCAGTAAATGGTCATTTTCTATTACTATATATACAATTTTGTCCCTAAAGGTAAAGACCAGTTTTGGAAATGCCCCAATCTCAAAAAATGAAATGGAAGCTCTCGAGCATTACCAATCATGTGAAAGAATATGTTTTGACTAATACATGATGATAAAAAATTTGCCGGGAAACCGCCTACTAATTCATATATTTGGTAAATTTGTTTCTCTCATGGTCTGTGAGAGATATAGGGTAGTCCCATATACATCTTTCTGTGTATAGTGCTTGTAACTTTACGAAGAATGGGCCAAATTTCTTATCATTTTGATGACTCCAGAACCTTGCAGATGCTAAATGCTAGATGATCAACCTTTTCTGATCGATTCCACAACGTTTCGTTCACAATGCAATCGCATGACCATAACTGGTCTTTACCTTTAATAATGATTACACTTCATATAGATTTCCTTCCAAAACAATAAAAAAAAATGTGATTTTGTACGATGTAAATGTCTACATAATGTGATGAGCCCTTCTTCTTTAGTTATTAATTTGTCTTTTTGCTCGTTAGAGATGTTGAGACTTTTGTTGGTTTGGAGTTCTGCTAGTCCACGAAACTTGAACCCTGATATGTAGGGGTATTTACACTGCAAGTTAAAACAATCAGTTTTTCTCAAATTCTGGAGTTTTGTCAGAAATTGTTCTGCAACTACACATGAACACGACGAAAAAACCATATCAGAAAAATTCCACTCTGGATTGTGTTTTTGTTGTTGTTGAAGATTTTGCTGAACTTACTGTTTGTTTGTCAGTCAGGACCCAAGGTGTTGTTCTAGCAAACCCATGCTGAGCTCCTAGATCCCATGGACCAAACTGGGCTATGGTAGCAAGGAAGAATGACAGTCAACACACATAAAGTCATTACTAATACATTTGTATGTATCAAAATGACTGTGAAAGTGGACAAATATCCTATTAAATTATTTGTATCACACAAAAATACAATGAAAAAAAAATGAATATTGTTCCTGTTCCTAAATTAAATTTGGTCATCATTATAAGAAAGACTGAAATAATGAATATGTTTATTTTCAAACTACAAAAAAAGAAGAAGATATTTCACCTATGTAATTCACTTTTTATTCATCTCCTGCTTGAAATTTAGATGAATTTCACTGTGACTGCCTTATAATGGAAGTCAACAAAATGTAATAGAGCTAAACTCCAAAGCAAAAGATATGGTGCATATAGCTTAGCCTTTAAATTGATTGATCCTCATCAATTTTCAAAATGAGAATACAATATTATGATGATAATGTTTTAAAAATACAATGTCAATACTTTCAAATCTATTTTTTTTTATTGACGATTACTTGTACATATATATCATGTGTAATGGGTCTTGTTAATTCAACAGTGCACATCACTTGAGCTTGAGCTTACAAGGTTGGGTCAATTAAATCTGGCATCCCTAGCCAAACACACCCACGTGCCTACCAGTGCCTCCCTGTGTCATTGTGCAGTTATGTAGGTTCCCTGCTTGATGATGGAATTCATCAATGATGACAAGCTTGCCAGCAATCTACACTATAGTAAGGCCTACATGTTCCTGTGTGATATTTCTTTGACATAATCAAAGCTGATGTGATCTGAAATCACTTTAACAAGCGTACCGGGAGATGCTCATTATACCCTTAACTAAACATGGAAAAAAGGGGGAAATGGGAGAAACAACAATACTTGTATTTCTAGAGAAAACATCTACCGTAACACTCCTTAAACTTATTTGATGATCAGATATAAAGATAAACAGACAATAAAAATAATATTACATAATATACAGTTGTGGGCCAAAATAGAGCCGGTAGTCAAAAGGAGTGGGTGTGCTGGGGTAGGGGGGGGGGGGGGCTACTCCAGTGAGTATTCACACAAAAAAAGTATGTATCTTCTATGATGATTATGATGCCAAAATGTTACATAAAACCCACTTTATCATGACATGGTAATCAGTCATATCATTGTAAAACAGACAGACAAACAAACAAACAAACATACTAAGAAACAGACAAAATTATTATTATACTTACGAAAGATGACTGGAATACCACCCCGTATCGCCTTCTTGTTATTAAACACAGCTTTTTCACTAATTGATAGAGAAAACAGTGAGAATGTTTCACAAAATGTCATTACATAAATGTAGGGGGAAACACTGACTGGAATAAGGCATACATTAAATTAGTACAGGGTAATATGACATCAAAAAATTTCATAATACATTTGGAAAGTTTTAAAGACTTACTGACTGATTCACAAACCTTAAATAGAAAGTTGTTATGTTTTAAAAATAATTCATATCGAAACAACAGTTATTGAAAACCTTCACATAAAAAATTAGTTGAAATCAACGGCATAAAATAAGAAATATTCAAAAAGGCAAAAAGATATTTTATTTGTTTGTGCCTTACCTTAAAAATAATCTATCACATCCATTCAGTGTAAGAGATGTTACTGTAGCTCCTGGGAGACAAAAAAATAAAGACAAAATCATTTTGTTGATATTATTTTAATGAAAACGAACCAACAAACAAACAACTCTATTTAAGTACAAGTTCTCCCAAGATCTACCATACATTTTACCGTTGTTTTACAAGAAGATAAAAAAGCATGTGATAAAATAGCCAGTAACTAGTAATGAATCTGAAAATTTAAAAATTTCATCCCAACTTATTCTCTGAGAACCTTTTTTTCGTTTCTCTTTCAGGAAAGTTAGATAAGTAATATCATTACCTTGATATGTGTACAACAGTGAAATAGAATATAATGCATAATACCTTACAGGCTTATAAATGTTTTATTTTCATCCTCTTCTCTTCTATGTTCTATTATATTGTTTATTACAATATATATACTGGTATATATTTTTTAAAACTTTTACTTTCGAGTTTTAAAAACTGCAAAGTCTATTTGTCTGTCTGTTGAGATGCAGAAGGGCATTACCGGTAACTCTGTGTTAGAGCATGACTAACGACCTTCTGCTTCTCAGCAGACAAATTATCTTTGATCTTGAACTATTTCTGGTCTGGCAGTCAGACCACTCCCTCACTGATGTTGTTGTCAATCTACACGAACTGAGATGACCTTTGCATGTCCTGGTTGGATACCAAGATTCAATGAGCGGAAAAAATGTGCTTGGGTTCAGGTTAGCATGTTAAATGATTTATGGCTTCTGTCAAGCTTAATGGGTCTGCCTGGAAGGGCAATGGGGCATGTAGACAACCCATTTAAGTGGCTAGGGAAGGATACTGTCACATGCTTCAAGGAAAACACTTATATTTAAACATAAATTTATGGGGAAATGACAGAGTTCACATTTTAAAATGTTGTGATGCAGAGTGTTATTAAGTGTCAAAGAAGTTAAAAGAGATATTCCTCGAAATTTCTCTCAGTTTTAAATACACCATAGAGGACTTACAACTCCAAAACAACAAAGAAAGAAAAACAAACTAACTAAAAATATAACAAACAAACAAGCAAATAAACTATGATATTTAAAAATGGATAGTGGGCACACCTGAAAGACAATTCCTTATCATTCTTCTACTTGTACTAACAGCATTTCATATTAAAATGCATGTTATGAAAACAGGAAATTGACAATATCTTGTTACTAGAAATTCTAAACCTCACAGGAAGGTACCATTTGGTGACCAGACCCCAAATTACTGTAAGAGCATTTTCCTCTATGTTGATTTGGTGATCTTTTTTCGGGGGGGGGGGGGGGGGGGGTTGAGCAAACATCAACACAAAGACAATAAACAACAATAGATAACTTATAATATTAATAGGCAAACCTTTTTTTTCTTGAAGTCTTTTATTAAATTGAGTCAGCTTTTGTCAATCATAAACGTGTTGGAGTGAGAAAAAAAAAATCAAATTACATAGTTCACACTACTTCGGGTTTCATTGTTTATTGGTAGGGTCACAGCTATTGTCACTAGCGTGTCCAGGAAAGAGGGGGGGGGGGGGGGGTGGGCTGAAACCCCTCTCAAGCATTGACCAAAGAATACAAAATAAAGAAAGACAGATGAATGCTCTTTTGAGACCAACAATTAAAATAGAATAACTTGTGAGTCCCACATTATTCTTTTACACATAATAGGCTGTGTCAATCAAGAAAATGATCTAAACCTTTAAACACCCTACTTTTGAAAACCTGAGTGGCACATCAATTGGCCTAGATACATGTGGTATAATTCATTGATAGCAACAAATATTATGGTCGAAAATTTATTTGAGGTGGGGCACCCCCCCCCCCCCCCCAAAAAAAAAAAAAAATAAATAAATAAATAAATAAAATAAATAAATAAATAAATAAAAAATAAAAATAAAAAAAAAATAAATAAAAAAAAATAGTAATGAATAAATAAAAAAAATAAAAAAATGCTGAACAGCTCTGATACTCCTAGTATCCCCCCCCCCATCACAAAATCCTGCACACACCTCTGATATTAGCTGAATATAATCTGCATCCATATAGACATGATCACTACTCATCAGGACGGTAGAAGTCAGAAAGTGAATAACAATATATCACACAGTATGGGAGTGACTGAGCTGTTGATTAGATCACATTCCATATTCATTACAACAAGCTAGCATGCAGCTACATGCAGCTACATGTAGCTAGCCTACAATGTAGCCGTGCACTGTTCAATGCATTTAACAAGCTGAAAATCTCTCATATCCAAGCAGTCTTCAATCTAATATTCATGAACTAGAACACGATACAGTTAATTGCATATAACTCAAAGTCGCATGAGTAGAATTTTCTCTTTAAAAGTCGAATAAATCTTTTGGACCAATCAATACAAAAAATGTTACCGTAAATGATGATGTGTATATTAAGACACACCTGTGTATAAGACATACGCAGCCCTTTTTTTTGCTGACTCTGGAGGCAGCAAGCCAAGTTCGTGTACAAAAACCCACGCGTGGGAAGACCTTTATTTTACTGCGAGGTGCAGTACTTGAAGGCGCCGATTTGTGCTCGTGAACTTGTCACAAATAATAGTAACAATGTCATTTTTAAAACTAAAGATGACAGACAAAAAAAAAAAAAATCGGCCATACAGGTAATGTTGTTCTAAGTTCCGAGTGGTGAGTCAACACACCTTGTATGACTGAGCTGGGAGACATTGCCAGGCAAAGTGCGTCTTATACACAGAGATTTACGGTACTTACACTCCCAAAGTCAAATTTTGCATAAATATATGTCAAAATGTTTTTTGCAGTACCAACAGATTCAACTTATGCAGGGATAACTTTTATTTACAAATCAATAATAAAACCAAATAGGTTTGGACTCACACTGTATATCACAGAATCCTGTATTTGCCCCCTAAAAATTTGTATTATAGTGCCACAGTGACCTACCGTACTGATTTTTAAAGAGAATAGACCAGACCTACATTGAATTGAAAAATAAGTTTTGATGGAATAAATGCTTAAAATTAAAACCTATTTTTCATCCAACACATTAGACGAGGAGGCACCTGTAACTCTCTATGGTCAGATTAATTAATCATTTTGCCCTGGCCCTTGCTCTTATGAAAACAACGTTGATATTAAAAGAGTTGGACAATAATTATGATAACAAAATATACCGTATGAATGAAACTTACCGTGAAGCTGGACGTTCGCAGACGACTCCAGCTGCCTGGCCAATACCACCTGTTCCTGGCGCTCCTCCTTGGGAACAAATTTCAAGGAAGCCATTTTTCCAGAATCAAGTATATATCTTTTCTTGAGTCCCGATGATTAGAAACCACTGCGAATCGAAGCCAAACAGAAGCCAAACAACACAAAGCACAGCTAGCTATGCACAGTAGCATAAAACATGCGGAAGTTCTTTTGTGATCACTTACAAAGTTCATAATATACCGTGTCGAGACGACCTCGCATCCAGCGCCTAACTCGAAGGGTTCGATGTGCGTACCACCAACGTATCATCACACACACCGCACCACTGGGGATAGTGCAGTACTGCTTTGCTACTGTTTTGATTACATGTACTTACACACGCCCACTTCTGTACAGTTAGTCTACTCATCTCCAAACGTTTTTTCGTCTAAATTTACTTACATGTCCCTATATGAAAGAGATAGTTTCCTTCAACCATGGAGAGGGGCATAGGCGCCGGAAGTGGGGGGGCAGGGGGGGCAGTTGCCCCCCCAGTCAAAAAAGTGGGGGGGCAAAACGCATTTTTGCCCCCCAAAAACGCCCCCCCCCCTCCAAAAAAAAAAAAAAAAAGCAGTAAAGGAATAAACATGGTTTGTATTTTTAACCCAAAAGAACATAACAATAATAAAAACCTGAATTAAAGCACATATACCATTCCATTCAAAGAAAAGGAAAGTTCACAGGAATTAAATTTTTATAAACATTGCGCATGCTACCTATACGGTTTATAATAGCGATACGCGCATATCGTGGACATATTGTGCGAGAATGGGAAAACGTGTCTGTTTTTTTGGTTTTGTTATAGGGGTGAGAAGACATGAGCCCCTGAACGCTCGCGTACTGATGGGGGGGGGGGGTATATCTATACGATACCAGTGATTTACACATGTTGCTGTTATGACATGATTTTCCGGTATTTTTTCTCCATTTTTTTTTAAGTCATACCTTTTTATGCGTTTGTTGGAAAATAAGAAATTCCCAAATTACAGTCGGGCGAAAAATACGCTTATTTAGAAGCCTTTATGACATGGTCTGCAAAGTGGCTGGGCTCGAGCCCCTCCCCCTCACTTTTTGAAAAAGTATGTTAAAGAGAAAAAGAAAGAAAGACGGAGAGAAAAAATAAGTGACCTGCCAATGTCACAAATAAGGCATAAAAAATGCTCATCTGACCGTAATTAAATGCCTAAAACCCCAGAGCTTACGGGTGCTCCGCCCCCGGACCCCACCAAGGGCCCTAAGGCGGGCCCCTGGATGCTCATCTGACCGTAATTAAATACCTAAAACCCCTGAGCTTCCGGGGGCTCTGCCCCCTGGACCCCACCAAGGGCTCTAAGGCGGGCCCCTGGATGCTCATCTGACCGTAATTAAATACCTAAAACCCCTGAGCTTCCGGGGGCTCTGCCCCCTGGACCCCACCAAGGGCCCTATAAGGCGGGCCCCTGGATGCTCATCTGACCATTATTAAATCCCTAAAACCCCTGAGCTTCCGGGGGCTCTGCCCCCTGGACCCCACCAAGGGCCCTATAAGGCGGGCCCCTGGATGCTCATCTGACCATTATTCAATACCTAAAACCCCTGAGCTTCCGGGGGCCCTGCCAAGTGCCCTAGGGCGGCCCCTGGTTGCTCATCTGACCGTAGTTAAATATTAAAACCTCTGAGCTTCTGGGGGCTCCCCCCCCCCCCTCTGGAACACGTCAATGGCCTTAAAGAGGCCCCTGGATGCTCATCTAACCGTAATTAAATACCTAAAATCCCTGAGCTTCCGGGGCTCAGCCCCTTGACACCCTGCCGAGGCTGGACCCCACGCCAATTTACGCTCTACCTGATCGTTAATACTTCACTTTGAAAAACGTTCCGCGGGACCTGCATGTAACGTGTAAGACTGGTGGTGATGCAGATTTTTCGTCTGCCCCCCCCCCCTTCCGAACGTTTTTTCTCATTACGTCACTGCCCTCGGAAGGTGAGCCCCCTGGAATGTTTGCCCCCCCAATCCCAAACTGCTTCCGGCGCGCCTGGAGAGGGGTATTTAAAATAACATTTATCGTAGTATATATATATATAGCAATGGATAGCTCTTTGCAGAAGAAAAGATGGGAGCTGTCAGTTTGTTTTTGATTGATCTAGATTTAATTTGAAAAGAAATAACTTTCTTATCCAAAAAAAAAAAATATATATCCTCAAACTTTCACATATGTGCTCCTCCCATGTCAAGCTCTCAAAGGGGAAGTCAACCCTGATATTAAATTGGTTTGAAAAAATGAGAGGAATATAGGTCAGTGAAAGTTGAGCAAATTCTGATTAAAACTAGGAAGTTAAGAATTTTTCAAGTTGCGATCAATAAACCACAAATTGGCAGCTTTGTGACGTATCTTGCAAGTATTTTCTTAGTTATTGATGACGGAATAAATTTGTTTCATACAGGGGTTATATAAAACATATTTGCAATGATTATATTTAGGGTCAATGTAAAATTGAAATATTCAGGAAAATATATTGTTGAATTCTTTTAGTACAGGGCGATTTGGGAGGGGAGCTCGCAATTAGATACATCACAGAGTAGCCAATTTGCGTTTGATTGATTTGCACCTTTACAATACAAATTTCTTCTTAAAAAAAAAAATTGTTTTGGCTAAAAACTATGACTGTCCCGTTGCTCTCATTTTCTGCTTTTATAAAATCCAACGTAATATATGTATCAGACTCCCCCTTTAATAATTAAAATAATTTTCAGGGTGGGCATACCCTTATGGCGGTTTACTGCATCATATTTGAACACGAGTTATCTCATGCTTTGGTTTTATTTCATTTTCATTTCATTTTCATACTCAATTTAAAATACATGTATGTAATTTGCTGTGCTGAATTATAAAATGTACTTGCAGTTAATAATGATATTCCATGTTTATATAGGTCTTAAATTATTATTTTATTACACAGACTACTACATCTGTAAGTGCTTTACAGACATATTATTATCCTGGTTATCGGTTTCAGGCTTAAGCCCACACACAATATATGCACATTCTCCACTCCCTGAGGAGCATTCCAGCCAGGCGTCATTTTACAGATGCTTACAGTGCTGAGCAAACTACATTAACATTAATACGGACAAGATAAAAGGAGTACAAAAAACAATAATTTGCAAAAGAAATGTAGTGTTTATTTGAACAAGAAAGATCATAAACTTTGGTAAAACAATAAAATGCATTCTTATCTTGTGTTCTTCTGATAGATGCATATACCATTTCAGTTGACAAAGGTGAATAAGTTGTCCTTTTTAAAACTTTTTGAAATCTAGTCACAGAATAAAAACATTACATGAACGCTACCCCTTCTTTTGGTCACCAAGAATGTATCTAGATTTTTACATACTATTCTTTTCTCTGATGTACTGTTTTGTAAGTAAACACACACTTTTCTCTCCTAAAATATTCTAGCCCTTGTGAATACACTTAAGACAATTATCACAGATGATACAGCTCGTATTATGTTAAAGTGTACCAATCCCCAAAACAGGTTTTACACTTGATGTAAGGGATTCCATGTTGTTATACCATCATGATTGTCAAACTACAAGCTTTAAATATTTCTTCTATAAAGAGATATTGCAGTTTAAATACACTCCCAGTGAACTGTAAAACATCTTGTTGAGTAGACTACTTGGGGCTTGCACAAAACCCATGTCCAACTTAGGTTCCTATACGCATGGCTCAAAGTTATCCTTTGTTTTCTTCATATTCGTTAACCATTTACCTATTTAATGCCAGGTAACGTCTTTTTAGGTTGATTTTTTTCTTTTTACCTACATGTAGATGATTGGTGGGCAATTCCTTAGTTGTAATAGGACATTAAGATATTTAGGCAACATTTTCTTGACTTGAAAGAAAAGGAATCAACAGTGAAGATTAGTTTTATGGTTATAGTACAGTACTACCATGTGGCCCCAAGAAAATATGAAAACCAACTGTAAAAATTCCTTTCTTGACAATAGAGAGCTAAAAGTATCATATGTCGTATGGGACAAAGAAAATGTGATTATCTGGAAGTTGAAGTTTATGCTCAATGAGTTGCATTGCGAAAAATATCTCTGAAAAATGTAATAAATTGAGAGTCTAGCTATCAAAGAAGACTTCAATACGTCTTTCACATTGAAAATGTCTTTCATTTAAAAAATGCACTTGTAAGATTAATATCTTCCGAACGATATGTTGTACGGGTCCCTATTGCTTGCCTATCACAATCAAAGTCATGGTGTTTCTTCTTAAATGAGCACCATCTAACAAAACAATATTAGAACATTAAAGAGATAAGAATCTTCCATATACTGAAGGATAAAAATGGCAATATGTATTGAAATATGAAAAAAACATATGTGGTCAATCTAGTTGGCTTATCTAGTTTCTTTATGTGTTAAAGTCAAATATGATTACAGTGGTGGCCAACAAAATCTAACTTTTATTTTTTAGGATTTTTCTAACACGGAATCGCCTTGGTACACTCTTAGTACAGTTCAAATAGAAATCAGTATCTGCTAACAAGGACAATGTTTCAATGTTGACAAACATTTCCTTACATATACATTTAAATCTGCCTAACTCAGAGTCGCATAAGTAACATTTTCTACGTTTACCATCTTGTCAAGTCAATTAATTCTTTTTGACCAAACTATGCAAAATGTGTTATTTAGACTTCCCAAGTTGATTTTTTTTTGTAGTCCCAAAGGTATCTGTAGTTTCTTGACTTCAATGGCACTCTTAAAAAATACTTGTAATGTATGTTGCACTCTAAAATTACATAGTCAACAAAACAGCATTGATTAGCTTTCAGAATTGGTGGTAGAGGAAAGAACATTTTATTTAAATTCTCAAATATTATTTTAAGCTTTTAAAACACTACAAAATACTGACATGGACCTATTAAAGGAGAATAGGATTTAACTTCTAGGGCAGTATACAGTTAAGATCTCTTACCTAATTCCATGTACATGAAGACAGCATCACCTTACTAATCAGATCCTCTTCTTGAAAATAAACAATCTCTTGGGACAAGTACACTGAAGGTTAAAAAATGAATTCTCGTACCAACTACCGAACGTTTTTAAAAGCTTGATTATTTTGAGCTGATCATTTAATATTCCACATGAATTAAAAAAGATGCTTGCAGGAAGCTGAACATAACCTTTACTGAAGTCCGTTTGCATGCATATTGTCTGTTTTTAAGTCCGCCTGTCATAAAATCAAACGTCGTGCTCTCTGATTTGTGCTCTCCTCATCCTTCCTCGAGTAATTCTTGGTCTAGACTCCAAATAAAACACAAAAAAGTCAGACCCGTTTCCACTTGGAAGGTTGGATTGTCTATTTCTTCTTATCAGTCTTTTCATGTAGCTTTTGTATTTCAGCTCTCAGAGTGGTTACTTTGGATTTCTCTTGCTCCAGGGCTGCATATAATTCGGCAACCTGTTGAGTTGAAATAATGTAAAAAAGACACAAATGAAAAAGAAACTGCTTCTGCAAAATATGCGCTCTGTAAAACCTTAGAAGAAAAGAACAGGCACAAAAATCAGTCTGATTTGTTTATATTGTCAATATGCAATGACATCTTGTAATTATTTATTTTTGTAATTTTATTACCGGGTATCATTATTCATTTTTTTTTTAAAGACATTTAGCCAAATGCCCTACACTTGGTTTTGAATGACAATTCTTCCAGTAAAAGACGACTGTCCTTGATACTGAATCACAGACAGTAACTGAAAGTGATATAGAAAGTTTGCTTGAATTCTTATTTGAATTAATAAATCCTAAATCTGCATACAGTATTAAGATAATTCCTAGCTTTGCTCATACTATACGGTTGGTCAGGGTCAACTTTGATGAAAATCTACATGCATTTCTCGCTTTTGCCAATACTTCCAAATATCTGGATGTAAGACCCTTGGAAGAAATTTCAATCCACTGCTGGGACTTGCTGCCTGTGTACGGTGGCGCGTGCCTGGTTCACACATTATGCATGCGCATTGAAAACTGTGATAAATAACTGCAATTACTGTCAGAAAATAAAGTACACACAAGCAAAACCAGCATGCACAGCACAGCCACGCAAAATAGACCGGAAGTGACTTTGTCACCAAACTATCCCAGAATGCACTTGAAAAGGAGCCTGAACGTAACACACAATTTCTTAAAAATATGTTGGCGATAGTGAGAATTGTTACTACTAGCTTCATGTTTTATGTTGGTATGATAAGTTTGGTATGTTAATACGATTATTACTAACCTCTGCAGTAAGCTCATCCTTCTCTGTTATTAGCTCCTCCACTTGGATTAAAACAGCTGCTTTATCTTTCACTGAAAAACACCCAAAAGAAGAAAATAGTATACAAACGATTCATGCAAACAAGTTCATTATATAATCTATCTGCACACAGCCTCAATGCAGAGATGCCAACCTCTTGACACACATAAACAGACCGAGTATCCTTAAAAAAGATTTTGGAGAGAAAAATCAGATTTTCACGAAAACTCGATACTACCACTGGCCAGTCGGTCAAGTAAAATGTTTGCTCTTTCATTAAAATTTAATGAGAAAATTGTAAAGCAAAGTTTTGTTGGGGTTGTGAAGGTTTACTTGTACATGTTTCTATGCGATTCCGCTGTTTTTATGGGTATTAAAAAAATTGTATGATTTTATCTTATTTTAAGATCGTATTTCACTCTTATTATCGTTACTAAATACGATTTAATCGTACTGGTTGGCATCTCTGTCAATGAGAGCGAATAGATTGTATAATGGACAAATGAAGACAGGCATTTATTTGTTTTATACGACAAAACTCCTAGATCCTTGTTATTTGATCTGAACAGGGGTCATTTTCAGATCGGTCCATGTCACAAAATCCAAGTTGAGTTGAGTATAAGTACACTTAACACCAGATGCTTACACATGCAATGCTATGCCTGTATTCGCCCCCACAAAAAATTTTGTGACAATATCATTAACTAAATAATAATAATAATAATCTTTTTAAAGTCCACTCCAAATGTTATTTTATTAAGTTAACAAACATCTTGGCATTTTGTATCTCTTGCAAAGTACATGAAGCTACCTAAAAAATACTTTTTTAACTTATACTTACTTTCTCCTTGCCCTAGAATGAAACATAGTTGTTTATTTCTCTTCTTTACTTGAGTCAACTCTTCCTAAAAAATGAAAAGAAAAAACAAGGGGGCAATGAACTCCTAGAAATAAATAATAGGGAAAAGGGAACTTTGATTTATTCTTAAAAGTATTATTGGCTGCTGGTAATGATAGAAAATAAATTCACTTGGCAATGGATTTGTTTCTTCTTTTTTTTCTTTCTTAATATCTATCTATTGATATTTCAAAAATTAGTACCTGTATTATAAAATAAAATATTGGGGGGAGGACTATCACTGTGCTTTCACATTCCCTTTTCACCTATCCAATTCTTTCATATATTTCTTTTCTTCTCTTTTGCCTTTTGGGGAAAGGGGCACATGACTCCGGTACTTAAGCTACTGCAGCAAGGTATCAACATATATATGTAATTAAACAGATGTCCAAACATCATCAGTGGACAAAAGCTTGCATAACAAATTTAAGGTTGGTAGAAGCTAAAAACTACATGTTATCATTATCCCCAACTGATGAAAGTTTTCTGTATCATCATCAACATGATTATGATGATGACAATTAAAACAGAAATAATAACGTCAACCCAGGCAGCCTCATCAGTTTTAACCCTACGTTAACTGGGGGGGGGGGTCAATTTGACCCCCCCTGTAAAAATTTTGCGACTACTCCGAAACCGCGGCAGATGTAAAATTTTCCTCTCATGACTTTTTACTTTCGAGTCTTACGCATCTTATAAAACAATTTTTTTGAAAATCGGACCTACGGTTACAAGGTCGCGTGACCTTTTGTCTTTGCATGTCAGCCCGAAAATCGCTCATTTTCTTGATTTGTGTACAAAACATATGTAAAAGTCATTTTTCCTAAATATAGATAAAACATTGGTAATTCAGTCTTGTTTAAAGTTTAGATGTTTGTTTTGAGGTCAAAATAGTTGAATTGTAGTTATAAATGAAATAAAACAACAAAAACAATAAAATACATAAGTTAAAAAAACAATGAAATACATAAGAAATTATAAAAACAAGAGATAACATAAGGAATAACCTGGCTCTTCCAATTTTTTGGGTTGTATTATTATTCCAAATGGTCTAATAAATATATGTAGTGAAAAAGAATACTTAAATATGAATAATCTGTGATTTATGGGCCGAAATGTGAATTTTATGACCTTATTTGCATAAATTACCATAAATATGCAAATGAGTGAATTTTTCAAAAATTTGAAATTACCATAGTATTCTATACACTTCACTTGACATGCATGCAAATTTTCGCGGCGATCGGCGGTGAAACGGCCGAGATCTTAGGGGTTGGGTCAAATTGACCCCCCCCCCCCCCCAGTAAAAATACTTTTCTACCTCAGGGCCCTCCAATTAATGCTATTAACTTGAGACCAATGCGCTCAAGCATTCAAGAAATTTCTTCCTAGCAGGTACCTTTTTTCTTCTACACCTGGGTGGAGAGTGGCAAATGTAGATTAATATCATGCCAAAGGACATACATGCTGCAGCGGGACAAACCATGAATCATGTGATTCACAGTAGCGCGACGTATACAACAGATAATGACACCTCTCAACATTCTTCTGTCTGCTGAAATTAATTACCGTAAATCTACGTGTATAAGGCGCACCTGTGTATAAGGCGCACCCCTATTTTGAAGACAAAAACAAAACAAAAAAATTCTGGAAAAAAAAAAATTCTGTCATCTTTATATTTTGAGTCCTCAAAATGCTACTTTTTAGTGGTTTACGAAATCTCTGTGTCTCAACATGAATTACATAATGCAAATAAAGAATAGGATCTACTATTTGAAGTTACACTATGCATTCCTTATTTGAAGGGAAGAGAGTTTTTTTGTTTTTTTTCAGTCACGCAATTATGCCCCTTCACAAAGCACTAAGTTGCCGGCCGAAGCTGTGCATCGTAATAAGATGAAAGTATTTTTGAACACTGAAATAAGAGCCGATCTATTCTGGTTAACAAAAAGCCAAACAAGCCAAAAAAATGCTTTTAGGGCTTTTGGGGCTTTTTGTTAACCAGAATCAGATCGGCTCTCATTTCAGTGTTCGAAAATACTTTCATTTTATTACGAGGCACAGTTGAAGTGCTTGTGAACTAAGTTAGACCTAGTGACAATGTTGTTTTTAAAACTAAAGATGACAGAAATTTTTTCCTCAAGAGTCCAAACAGAAATTTGGACAGGCTAGTTTTCATGAGTGAGTGTGCTGCATGATACAGGTGAGCGAGGTGAATACACGGGAGAGCTTCGGCCAGCAAAGTGCTTTGTGAAGGGGCATAATTTATCGTGACTGAAAAAAAATGAGAAAAAAAAACCTCTTCCCTTCAAATTAGGAATGTAGTTTAACTTCAAATAGTAGATCTATTCTTTATTTGCATTATGTAATTCATGTTGAGACACAGAGATTTTCAAAAACCACTAAAAGGAGCATTTTGAGGATTAAAAATTTCCTGTTCCTGTGTATAAGGCGCATCCCCGACTTTTGATTTTTGCCGACGGAAAAAAAGTGTGCATTATACACAGAGATTTACGGTATCCAGAATGTTGCTTATGAATCTGTCAGTGGATTGAGTTCTGTTCATATGTTCACAGGATATTCATGATATCCATTCATAATGTAACCAGATTGTACATCACAAGCTCTGGTTACATCTGCCTTGTGGTCAATATCCTACACTAATTGAATTCCTAACTTTAACCCTGCACCAACACTATACAGTGTGAGTCAAAAAAAAGTTTACACCTAGAAAATTGCTAATTATTTTTAAAATCATCTATGAACAGTAAATGATTATACATCTTAAGAAAAAGTGTTTTAATCCCAGATCATTTGGTATCATTTTTGAGTGGTATGTGTTCACGCTTGGATGAACAGGAGGCTGTTTGCGAGAGTGCAAAAATTGATTTGCGCCAAAATTGCTAGAGTGATTTTTGAATAAAACAATTGGGATTTGGGTATTAATTCGGTCTTTGCAGATCCAAATAACATCCCTAACAAAATTAATCATGCCACCACATATCAAATATCGACGAACATTTGTGCATGTGTGTGTGTGTGCGTGTGTGACTTTGCTTCTGCAAAAAGCATATGCAGTGCATTTCATTTGATACATTCAATTCATTCTCTTACTCCGCTAATCCCAACATAATACATGCTGTAGGCATCACTTTGGCGCAAGTCGATTATTGCACTCTAGCAAAAAATGCCTCATGTTCATCCAAGCGTGAACACATACAACACAAAAATGATACCAAATGATGTGGGATAAAACACTCTTTCATAAGATGTATAATAATTTACTGTTCATATATTATTTTTTAAATAATTAGCAATTTTCTAGCTGTAAACTTTTTTTTGACTCACACGATATGTAACCCTAAAGGGTAGTAAAGGCCTCTGCACACAAAACAAGACAAAAAACAAAACAACACGACAGCATGATTTGAGCGACGACCAACATCAAAAATCTGTTCACACCATAAACCAGTATTGTTTGTTTTGTTTGGTTTGCAGAGGCCTTAACACTATACTTTTGCTGGAGCAACTATTGGATCACCTGTGGGTGTTTATAGAGACAGCTTACCTTTAATTGGTCTATTGACTCATGCAGCTCAGTAACTTCAGCTGTCTTCTTCTCCAACTTATCTTCTTTCTGTACTTGTCGTATGCTGTCTATCTCTTGGTTGTGCTTCTGGTGAAGGGCCAAAACAATGATCACGATTAATCATATATATTTTAATATGCAAAAGTCCAGTGACTTGTCCTGCAATTACTGAATATCAAGGGTAAAAATTACATCACAAAAAAGAAGAAAATAATTGAAAGACAGAGTTGATAGAAATCAAACTGAAAACCCTGAATACAAAAGCATGCAGTCTCATGTATGCTGGTGTTTTTATTTTGTTTTGTTTTGTTGGTGTGTGTATGTATAATATTATGATTGCAGGGCCTTCAGGGAGAACAGTATGAATACTGATGAGGCTACCCTTGGTAAACAAGACATATCATTATTATTATATTTTTGCTGGTGGGCATCCCATGAAAACTGTTCACCTGCCAAAAATAATATTGGCAATATCTCCAGAAATATACAAGCTACCATGACATATCTAGTATCAAAACAAAAGAGCTCAACAAGCGCTTTGATTCTAGTGGTATGCAGAGTTGCCAACCTTGTGCCACCCAAAAAAGGAATTATGATGGCAAAAAAAGGGAATTCATAAAAACTTAACTTACAACCACGCGCGACACACTTCCAATGCAGAAATGTTCATTCATCATGCCGGTTTTTTTCGGTGGTTATTTTGGTATTATCGGCATTTCATTCTTTTTGAGAATATTTTTCTTTACAAGTATGTTTTAAATTTAGTTTTCTATTAAATTTGTGATCAAATCACCATTTTAGGGCAGTTGTTTGACGTGCGGTATGTATTTTGAAGAAAAAAAAAAAAAATATTATAAAAATTATTAAAAAACTGTATTTTATGTAGAAAAAACGTAATACCGTAATTTGGAGGAAAAATTCCGGCAAAACGGAATGGTTGGCAGCACTGGGTATGCCTATAGGATTGAGGTATATTAAATCCTGATTTTTTTTCTTTTTTAAAATAACTTTTGGGTCAAATTGTGGAAACATCTTTGAATCTCAGTACTTCAAATAAGCTACAAGTGCTTCAGATATGATTTTATGTTGTAAATTGTGATGAAGGAAACTGATCAGAGCTTTTCATAGGCTATTGAACATGTCAAAATAAAGGTATAAGAGTGTGTCTGATTCACTTAGTAAAATAGCATCTACATGTAGGTTAGCGATGAAATATGAAGTACCTAATGGCATAAGCTGACTAACCTGGTATCAGACGTGACCTAACCCTTATTTCTATGACCATCACTCTACCCACTGTGCAATACTATATTTATGACTACCGTATTTGCCAGCGATAAGGCCACACCGCCGCATACGCCGCACCCCCGATTTTGACATTTAAAAAAACAACTTTTGTCGAAGACGGGATTTGATCTCTTGCGTACAAATGTTGATGTGATTAAAATCCCCGCCTTAGACCGCTCGGCCATCCCGCACCGATGCTATCATCTGCAGTTTTCTCGGATGTATACATTGCGCCTCTCTCTTGTGTATTGAAATAGATTCTAAATAGCGACTTCGCGTGCTGGATGCTTTGCGGCAGCTCCATTAAATGCGCCCTTCTTTTACTTTTGCAATGCATTGGCACGAACTTAGATCAAGATCTATCGGCAGATGTTGTTTTTGGAAGTTTATTTTCGTCTTCATGTCAACAATGCAAGGTAAAATTGTCGGTAAGATATGTGGAAATGTCCTGTACCATAGTGGTATAGTTATTGTACCGTCAGTAGTCCCATATGTGCAAATTTGTGCTGGTTTTGACTTACTTTTTTTTTTACTCTTTCGCCACATAGGCCGCACCCCAACTTTTTGATATTTTCTCTTCCAAGAATACTGCGGCCTTTATGCCGGCAAATACGGTAATAAACCAGTTCGCAGTTAGCTTTGCTACATATGACCTCCAAATTTCCAAAGATCTGTCACACAGTTTACCGTAAATCTCTGTGTATAAGGCGTACCTGTGTATAAGGCGCACCCCTACTTTGAAGACAAAAATAAATAAAAAAATCTGGAAGAAAAAAAATTGGGGAAAAAAAAATTCTGGAATTTTTTTTTTTAAATCCTGTCATCTTTAGTTTTAAAATTTTCTAAAGACAAAATAAATATTTATCTCATATTTTAAACACCGCATGCGTTTTTAAAGCGAAAAATTACTTGGTAATCACAAGTTTCGATACTGATAGCTGTTGCAAGGCAAGTTCAAACTAGTCACAGAAAAAATGCGCAATGCACCTCGTTAGCTGTAATGCGTGCCGAAACGAACCCAAATAAATATACGTGCTCGTAACAAAAAATCATTCAAAACTACGAAATCACAATTGGAAAGACAACTACTGCTCAAAATTACCATAATCATATACATAACTTGGACAAAGAATTCAATAGTCGTCCAAGAAATGCCACGGAAATTGTGATAATCGAGGAGTAACTTTGTTTTATATATTATGTAACAAACGTATCATGTAAAGGGAACCTTAATTACAAGCATAATGCTTCCAAGGTTTCCTCCTCATTACTGCAGATTGTTGTTAGCATCATTTGTATTTAATGACTTGCCATTAAATCATGTTTTTTTTACTGTTGTATCTATCAAATATTATGTACATGTTTTGTTACCTTGTATATGCCTTATTTTGTAAATTCTTTCATATGCAGTTAATGTGGACATAAAACCTTTTAAAAAATCTTAAAAAATATGGAGATATCCCACTTTGTACATTTTAGAATAATCAATGCAAAAGTGATGGAGGTGCTGCATGAATACACTACTGCCAGAGGTTATGGCACTTTGGTTCAAAAGCAAGGTGTCCATCGGGAGTGGCCCATGCTTTTACTCTGATCTTAGTAGTACGCACTTCTAACATAAGTATCCCAATCATGATAATATCCATTACCTCATTTGATTCTGAATCTCTTTTCTTTCTTGTCTTCTTCTTTTCCTTTGCCATGACTCTGTTGATTTCTTCTTTCACACTGGTGAAGATTTCCTTGTTTTCTTCAGGAGGCTGTATAATGATACAAACACACACAAGAGATAAGTCAGGTCAGTTGCTAGGCTACAGTGCTTCGACAGTTATGTTCTCAGATCTACTTTAGACTATATTCTCTCTACTTTGAAATCAAAGATTTAGTGTTATCACCCTGATTTCATCAATTTTGATCTGGAGTTTAGCCTGCATGTATCTTTTTTTTCTCCAATTAAAAGCCAAGGTGAAGGAAAAGTGTACCAGGTAGGAATTTCAGATCAAAGTAATAATCAACACCCGTGATCATAGGACCAGAGCATAGCAAAAGTATACAGAGTTGGAAAATAAACACCCTGATGGTGTGAGCTTAACCATTGAGAGGGCACTAATCTTACAAGTTTTAGTTTAGGAAACGTCATTAACAAAAAGATCTTTCTTTTACTTTCTTGCCTGTTTCCAGTGTTCAATCAGGGCAGGGGGCACATCCTCCTCCCCTTCCCCCCCCCCCCCCCCATTAGCTACACCAATGTTTATTGTGCAGAATTTCATTCACTATTTTCAGCATACATCACGTTTCTTTATAGCATGCAGGCAAATCATCTAATAAAGCCTGGAGCAGAGCAGAGCCCTGTCAGTCTCTGGCTGTTTCAAATATAAAGTACAGAGCCAATGGTGACCATGCAGTCAGCAGCGCAGACACTCTGTTACACACAATGAATGACAAGGGTTTGTGCCTACACACAACACGTTCCTAACCTGAGGTAACTCTATTTCATCCAGACCGACATCACCACTCCCTCTCGATGCTTCTTGATGGAACTCCTGTAAGCTCATTGGCTGGGGCTTCTCTTTGCCTTGTAAGTGCTTTCGTCTCTCCCTCCGATTCGTCTGTGGATATTTTGACAGATCATCTTCCGCCTCAAGCATTTCAGGCCCAACTTCTTGCATAAACTAAAAAAGTGAAAGGTTATGTGATTTACTTCCCTCTTTAGATGCATCATTACATTGATGTTAAAGACAGTAAATGCAAGGTTTCCTTAATGATAGCCTGAATTCTATTCAACAACGTCTTAACTTTGTGATTATTTTGAAAAACATGAAGATATGAATTGTATTGAGACTTCTTTCATTGAAATCTTATGCAAGTCTTATGTATCTTGAGATATCAAGTCCAGGAAATTAGAGTCAAATGAACTGTTGCACACTCATGTCAGCCTAAGAACTTGAGAATTTATGGATTACGTACACCAACAAAAATAGCAAATTTTATTTTCTTTGTTAATCAATTATCATTTCCATGTTCATTTATTTTCAAGATTTGAAATTCATTCCTTTTTAGTAAACAAATGTCACTTGGTTTATAAAATATATGAGAATAAGAAACTAACTATACACATCATTAATACATTTTTTTTCTTTTGTTAGTATAGGGGCAACCATCAGTTACTTGGTTAGCAATGCCAACCATATTAACTATAATGAATTTATGTCAACTACATGTAATTGTGAAAACTCAATATTTCTAAACCCTGTATATCAAAATGAAATAATTTGCATTGTAAATAATTTGAAGAATAGCAAAAGCTGTGGTGTAGACAATATCAGTCCTCTTGTCATAACATAATATTTAATATTTCATTTTTAAATCGCTCTTATATATGTTATCAATATATCACCATCTACCTGAATTTTTCAAACAATTTTACCTGTTCAAGAAAATGATGAACATGATGTTAAAAATTATAGACCCATTATTATCCCCTACTTTTTTTTAAAGAATATATATTACTAAGTTCTGCCAATACGGCTTTTATGAAATAAATCTAATGAAATGGCTTTATTAGATATCCATGATGCACTTGTAACATCTCTGAGTAAGAACCTTTATACTACTGGCATCTCTTTAGATCTGAGTAAAGCCTTCAATCATATAAATCATCACATTTTACTCAAGAAATTACATTTTTATGGTATGCAAAGAGTTCCTTTCTTAGCGTTTTTAAATTATTTAAATCAGAGAGTACAATATGTATGATTTAAAGGTGTTTTATCACATGCACTTATAAACATGGATCTTTACTGGGGTCTTTACTGTTTATTCTATACATCATGATTTATTGCTCTAAGGTTATAAAATTCATCAAATTTGATGTTTTCTTGAAACTAGATGGAACTTCGACTGCGCGCAGTCGAAAATGATGCCTCCGTCATAGAGCAATTTTACAAACCAAAACAGAAGAAATTTTTCGAATTCAAGTTCAATTGTAATCCATTAACAGGTTCTCAGAATATTGTGATTACAAGCTATTTTTGCATACATAATGAGCCCATGACCTTTGACCTTATGAACCAAGAATCTACTCAGTTCATTGGCTCTGCAAGAACAAACATGACCTAAGTTGGCAGGAATCCATCAATCGGTTCTTCAGATAACACGATCACAAGCTCGTTTTGCATACATAATGAGCCCTGTGGCCTTTGACCTTTGACCTCGTGACCTCAAAATCTAATCAGTTTTTCGGCTTTGCAAGTAACATACATGACCTAAGTTTGGCAGCAATCCATCAATCGGTTCTTCAGATAACGCGATCACAAGCTCGTTTTGCATACATAATGAGCCCTGTGGCCTTTGACCTTTGACCTCGTGACCTCAAAATTTAATCAGTTTTTCGGCTTTGCAAGTAACATACATGACCTAAGTTTGGCAGCAATCCATCAATCAGTTCTTCAGATAACGCGATCACGAGCTCATTTTGCATACATAATGAGCCCTGTGACCTTTGACCTCGTGACCCCAAAATCTAATCAGTTCATCGGCTCTACAAGATACATACATGACCAAAGTTTGGCAGGAATCCATCAACCAGTTCTTCAGATAACGCGATCACGAGCTCGTTTTGCATACATAATGAGCCCTGTGACCTTTGACCTTTGACCTCGTAACCCCAAAATCTAATCAGTTCATCGGCTCTACAAGATACATACATGACCAAAGTTTGGCAGGAATCCATCAACCAGTTCTTCAGATAACGCGATCACGAGAACGGGACGTACGTACGTACAGACGTACGTACGGACGTACGGACGGAGGCATAAAAATCTAAATCAAATAAATATGTTTTCGTATGTTTTTAAGTTTTATGGAGTCAGTTTGAAAGTTGAATTAGAGTAGACAGTAGAGTGTTACCTTCTCTCTTTTCTCGAATTCCAGTTTGCTTTGAAGTATGGCCCTCTGAATGTCGTGTTGGTATTGCCCATCTACAAACTGCATGAGGTGGGAACAAAACATTGAAAATATTGGATTAATAATGCAACAATTAGAGGTGGACACGAGAAGCCATCATCAACATTACTGTACAGTATATTAAAATGGAAAAATCCTAAGAGGTCATCTTCCTTAACATAAATATATATATTTTCTAAAAAATGTTGCCCTTTACAACCCAAATGGAACATTTGACAAATCTATCCAAAAGTAACAGTAACAACTACTGATTAGAAAAATGTTGTTTCAATCTTAAATATTTGTTAATATTACCCATAGTATTTACAAGGAGAAGACAAATACAGAAAAAGATTCACAAACACTATATAAATTTATATTTTCAAAAAATATTAAAAAAGTGATGATTTTACAATCTGATGTCCAGTGTATGTTACTCTTCCCCCACACAGTTGAAACCATGTTGATCAACAAATGAAACCATTAAACTTTGAAGAAGCATTGATATTAACTGCTATCCCTGAAACAGAATGTTCAAAGAACAGACATACAGTAGGAGCATGTACCTCTTGATCTTTAGAATGCCAATGTTCATAGTCCTTACTCCCCTCAGGAGGAGATCCAATCTTTAAGACCTCTGGATGAACGATGACCGGCTTGCTGACTGGAGGACTTGATGCTAGAGCCTTGGGAACACAGGCAATCTTGGTGAAAGCCATTTCCCGCAGCTAGTCAAGAGAAAATAATACTTAGTCAAAATTACAGGCAGTACACTGTACGTTGTTTCTTATTCCCTCTTCAAAAATTCAAATCACTGTTCTCATTATCTTCAGATTCTCCTAATCTTTCAACCTTTAACAACTATATTTTCAGTAATCTAGACCATCACCCCAAAGAGTACATCTCCGTAGATGGCGGATAAAGTTATGTCTGTCTTGTCGTTGGTTTCGAGAAACGGGCCCCAGGTAACTATGCGTACATCCGTCACAAATCTCACAATCAAGCCAAGGTAAAATCCATTTTCCAGTCAAAACAACTGTAAATCATGGGAGCTATATATATGTTTTTCAAGAGAAATTATATTTTCTCTATTCATTTTTTAATATGACTTTACATTTGATATGATGTAATTTATTGGAATTTCTGAATGGATTAGGCTTTTATCGCAAAACTTTTTGCCTGTAGAGTAGGACGTCGCTTGGTGTTGAGCTATCAATAACGTCATCAGTATCGTTCTTCTAAACTGACGTCGGTGTTGGAGCTTGGTTCAGCAGCCTTTCCATGCTCTCAACACCAATACTGTACTTGAACTCACTCACTCACTCACTCACAATCGCATGTGTTTTATCGCTGTTAATAATTTGCAAGTGGGTTCTGGAAAGGGCATCAGATTCAAATTTGCATTTAGAGTAAAGGAGGGGTTTTTCGGCCACTTAAGACAAAATCCTATTTTTTGGACTCTTTACTTCCTATTTATTATCATTTCTTGTCCTTTTTTAGGAAATTATGGGTCAAAATCGACATCCATGCACGAGCTACACATTCGTAATGGCGTTATCACAGTTTTTCTTCATAATCATTTTCCCTTCAGTGTAGACTAGAAGGGATGAGATTTAGATGACGTCACGCGCAGCGAGAGTTAAAATACGGCTTGCAAGATTTTCAACATCATGGATGTCGATTGTGACCCATATTTTCGTAAAAAGGAATCATTAAACAGATTATTTCAGTCAAGTTGGTAAGTGGAACCTAATTTACACTGTAAAAATAAATTGGATATGCACGAGGTAAAATGAAATTTGGGGGAATTTTGGGGGCATAAAAATATGGCCATAAATGGCTATGGTAGGCAAATTCATGCAAAAAAATATATTCCAAAAATGGACTTGAAAACACATCAGACAATTAGTCTGAACCGAGTCAGGAGCAGATTTGAAGAAATTATATTTTTAAATGTTGTAAAACCAAAGATATAAGAAGAAAACTGACCAAGTATCTGTACTAAAAATCGTACATGTAAAATTGGTCGTACACATAAATGACGCGCACGGTTGCGTTACGTGCGTTCTCGAATCCAAAATCATACCTCACACACACACTCTCACCATACCGCGAATGGTCCGTCGTGGGGAGCTAGCCGGCTGAGAGTTTGCAGCGATACCAACGCAGCTTCGGAGCTCCGCAGCGCGCCATTTTAGCGGGACTCAGAAAGGTTCGCGGTGGGAAGGCAGCGGCTTAGCCTTTTGCCCAAACAACGCTAGATTGGCTGCTGGCAAAATGAAAATAACTACGATCGAGAACATCGTCGGTTTCTTAACTTTTCAGTGAGATAATTCTGAATTCTAATTGAGACTATATAATAAATTAAATCGACAAAGAAACCTCGGTAGAACTCTTATAACTATACAAAAGCTTGTTTATTTCTTCATTTGACATTTTGTTTTTGACCATTTTTTCGTGCGCGAGTCAATGCAAACTATTTATTACCAAACTTTCAACACGCAAGGAACGGGGAACACTCGCTGCCCTCGTATCAAATTCGTTGCAAAAAAAAAAATCAAGGGTGATTTTGAAGCAGTGAAGAATATTGGCGCTGCAATGCGCAGAAATATACTTGAAAGAAACTTAAAAAATCATACCTGAATTTTCAGAAAATCGTATTTGTATTAGTGTACCTAGATGTGAATTGTTTATAACTCAGATTTTATGAAGATTTGTCGGGAAAAAATGTCAATTTTTTCCGTTTGGTGGTCATTTCTAGGCTAATATTTCAAAAGTTACTTCTGTAATGGTCCCGATGTTTCTCTTATCATACTCGCATGTTATTCCTACATACATTAAACATAGATCTAGGATGGTTAAGGGTAAGACCGGATAACATTATAAAAAAGATATATCCTTCCAACCTCCCATATCCAAGTTTTGGGCTGATTATTGCCGACCCACCGCAGCAAGGCCATTCAGATTTTCGTACGCGACCGAAGCGCCCTCTAGTGCCCCATGAATGTGCCTAGCTATGGTGTTTGAAAGTGAATGCGTATAGTCAGCTTCTGTCTCTAAAGAGAGAGCCGACCCTACCCAAATAATTAAGAGGCTTAGCTTAACGAACGAAAGAGACTGAAAATTTGGTCCAAGTCTAAGATTAAGATAAATAAGAAGGCCTGGTCTACTCTAGACTAGGCCCTACTCTACTCTAGGCCATAGCATCACATATTAGACCCCTAATATCAATTGAACTGAAAACACTGAAGTGAAAATACATATTTTATTAAGTTCAGTGGTATCATCTAGAATAGATGTCACCCGGTGGGGTCACTCCCCTGCAAAGAGTGACACGTATGACCGTTACCACCAATGCATATAACCCCCTTTTGCGGTCAATTTCAAGGACATTTTGTGAAATTTAACCCCCTTTTTTACGTCAAAACAAGGACAAAATCGTACTTTGGAATACCCCTATTTATAAGATTGTAAGGACACTTTCGCAAATTTACCCCTATTTTACCATATTTCAAGGACAAGACTCGGCTCCGAGAATTTTTCTTCCCCGTTTTCTCTTTTCCCTTCCCGGTTTTCTCTTTTCCCTTTTCCTGACCCCTATTTATCAATTTCGGGGACACATGTGCCCCCCTATTTTCTTAATTTCGAGGAATATTTTGTCCGCGGACATTGCTTGAAATTGACCCCTTTTTCCGCGATTTTGGTAACGGTCATGCGGTCCGGAAGTCACATTGAGTGACCCCACCGGGAGATGTCAATTGTCATGTAATGGTACCAATATGAATGTAAGTCAGTTCCATTAAACTGGGGAATTCCCATTGCGCTGCTGAGCCTGAGCTGAGCCACCGGCCACTCCACTAGCAGACTTCAGTGTGCACTCTCCCACTCATACCTCGTTTTTAGTATTGCTCTGCTGTTGTGCCTTCTTCTTCTTCTTGGCCCTTTTCTTTGCTGCTTCCACAGCTGCTTTGACTTCTTTCTCTTTCCTTCGTTGTGCAGTCATGTCTTCATCCGAATCAAGGTCTTGAGAGTCATCTACTCGAAGAACACCAAATCTTGAAGAAAGCTGCATTGCTGGTTTTGCTGCCATTCTTTATTCGATAGCGAGAGAGAGATTCACCGACTTCAAATCACACTGCACTAGCACTGCATGTATAGACTTGTGCCTCAGTTCATAGGTTCAAATGTCACACGCGTTTTATTTTTGTTGACATTATAAAGCGCAAGCACAGCTTTTTATTTTTCGCTATAGCGCCATCTGTGACCACATTTCAGTGTCTGTGCCCTGCCGCCTAGATTCAAGATTCAAGATTTATTTATTTATTTCCACTGACGTGAAAACAATGCAGTTATGAACAGTAACAACAAGTTCATCGTTAACAAGAATAATTCATGAACAATAACAAGGAAGTTATAAAGACATTGAAAAAGTGGAAAAGAGGTGGTCTGTAAAAAAGAAAAAGAAAAATATCAGAGGTCTATCACTATATGGTAGATTTAAAAAAAAGAAGCAGACTTCAATGATAATAGAATAGTAAATAATAGGGGATTAAGGTGGATAAATGTACAATACAGGGGACAAACAATGCTAATCCAGTTACCCATACTGAATGTAAGTAAATATCAGATCTATCACTAATTTACTACAACGAGCATATTGCAGTTCATTGCAGCTACCACTTTATTGTTAATGATAAGCTCAGATATATATATATATATATAGGACCACTGACATATAGCTAGCAAACATTTGTAATTCATTTGATTTTACCTTGGATAAGTACTATGATGACAGGGGGGGGGGGATCCAGGCACTTAACAAACAAAGACTCCTCTTTTGTTGATCTTTAGATTGAACAAAAATTATGCATCATATACTATAAAAGTATAACCATCAGGAATAGTTGTCCTTTATAATATTGTCCAATATAAGGCTTAGATTTATGACATATTGTTATAAACCTCGACAAATTGGACAAATAACAAACAAAGACTTCTCTTTTGTCTTCACATTGAACACAAAAATTCATACTAACCATCATGAATAGTTGTTCTTTATAATATTGTCCAACACTGGTAAGTCTAATTGAGAGATATATGAAATATTAGATGCTGCTTATAAGTATCGGCTTGGATGGTGATGTAGATATACAGTAGGCTTGCGGTTGCCCCATGTGGGGGAGGATTGGGGAGTCCTGAAAAAGGTTATTGCTGTAAACTTCTTAAAATTGCTGTTTTAAATCGACTGTCCGGCCGGTTGTGTCAACCTGTCCGGACACACAACGTCTGGGTATATAATACCGGAAAGTAGATTATTACAGTCTATGTAACTCCTGATGGGATCAAGGGCGGTGGGGTGTCTTTCATAGCGGGAGTGTACCCCGGAGGGGGGAGGGGTACTCTGATTTGGTTCGAAGGGGGTGTGCCGCTCAAGCCAAGCAAACACCTGAAAATTTTTAAAAAAACGGACCCATGCATGTTTAGGGATTTTTTGTGTGAAAAAGTGACCTAGAGCGGCGCTGTATGTTTTAATATGTGAGTACCTCCCCTCCCCCCCCCCCCCGGGGGGTGCACCATGCAGTAAAAAAAGCATTTTGTGAAGAAAAAAGGGCAATGATGCATTAACCTATACCAGAAATCTAACGCTATTTCAATAAGGCCTCTTCAATATTTTGTAACATACAAATAAAATACCCAGGAATGAAGTCCACTAATCATCAAACAATGGAATCAACCATTCGATTTTGCAAAAATTATATGCATCTAGGTACAAAATCCAAGTTTTCTTCATAAATAACAAGTGTCTCAAATCTTGAGAGCAAAATCCCATATTCCGATCGCATTCGCACTCTCAGCAGAATGAAATATATTATGCAAATTGTGATTGATATCAATCGCATATAAGTTGCGATTGATATCAACTCTTTATAAGACAGGGCCCTGCATGGTCAAGAAAGAATGGTGAAAGAATCCATCTGCATCAAAGGGATGATAAATTTTTCACTGAATAAGGAGGGACTGGTTAGTCACAATCACCCCTCTTTGCTCCAGTGATCCCAAGCTTGTCAGGCAGCAGACAGCAAGAAACAGTGTGAATATTCACTAGGCTTGAAAAAGACTAGATAAAAGCTTGCCTACTAAATCGTTCCCGACCTATCACTCTCCATCTAACATTCGGCAATAATCCAGGCTCAACCAAAACACCAGATCCTCCCATCAGTTGTAGAAAAGAAATTCTTTATTATTCAAAGGGTATACTAGACCCAACTCTTTTTATATTATTACCATTTTCAACGGTCATATTGACTTTATTTCTATCTATTTTAAATGGATATAAAATTTGCGAACAATTCAGCCACTGGCTGTTAATTCGTGTGTCAATCTGCCACTCATTAAAACCCACATGAGGATAAACCGCTAAGTATTTATTATTCATGTATGATCAAAATTATCTTTGAACTGCATTTTCATTGTAAGAAATTGTATAATACAGCAAAAGCAACAATAACAAAAGAGAGAAATGATGGGTTTGGTTTTGATAAATTGAACATAGGAATGTGATTTATTACAGAAAATTTCTTAACAACACTAAATTTGAACAAACAAAATGACTGTGATTGAGAGGGCCAGGGAAACATCAAAGAAGAGAAAAAAGAAAACAAATTATAAGTTGAGCTTCATACATACAGTCTAAATAAGAAGATGCTTAAATTATTAATCCCCTTCCCTTCCTCTTTAACATATATCCATAGTCCAATTTTCATCAACTTTGCTTTAAAAAAAACAACCTTTCTAATAGTTTCCAGTATTAATGAACAATTTTTAAAGGTACTCTGTCCCATTTGCAGGCCAAAAAAATGAAAAAGTTAAATTCCAACTGCATTTGAAAGATAATACTAATTTAGAACTCCCCTAAAAAAGGTGGGGCTTGAAAATGTCTTCAAGTGGGAAAATAACGACTATTAGTTGTCAAATCGACTTTAGGGCTATAGAGCCCAAAAGTAATAGTCTTGATGTTCAGACAATTGTACCGAATGGTCATACGTTTTATGCTGCGCAAAGATTCAATGAGTTTAATCTTGGCCATCACAAGAAGTGGGTTATTGATGTAGAAAAATGCTCATGTATCATTTACAACTCTTTTCATGTATGTTATTACCAAAGAAGGAAAAAAGCCAGTCAGTCACTCAATAGTGTCTGACAATGAAGTCTAGCGAGTAAACGGGTTTCCTTGCATAATTTGAATATGAGGAAACTGCTAACGTTTAAATTTCACAGATAGGACATACACGACATATTCATAATTCCTGCAAAGTTCTACAGAATTTGAGGTTGGCTGCAAAAGGGACATAGTACCTTTAAGTACGCGATGCTCAACAGTGCGTGTAGAGATTACGGTACTCTTATGAGACGCGTAAAGAAGCCTGGATTGCACTTATCTGTGTGTGCACACTAAACTAAAACTATTAAAATTAGGAATTCTTTGTCAGCGATGAAACGTAACAATCTTGAAATCAGTTATTCTTACATCAAATAACAAGGATCTAGGAGTCCCATTGTATAATACAAATGATGCATATTTTCATCGTTTGTTAAACGATCTATCTGCTCTTGTTGAGTCTGTTTATGCACCTATCGTACTCAGCATGATGGCTTTGTACGATAGATGCATACAGCCTCAACTCAAGTGCAGATAGATTGTATAATGAAGTCATTCACATGCATAATTTGTATACTATATGATCATCTCTAGTCTAGGAATAGTCAATAAATTTTCAATACAAAATCAGGACCTAGATTTAACTTTCATTATTGAAGTTCATATTATTAATTTTGCTGCTGTAACATATCTCAGTATATTGTCTTTTATCATTTATATAATCATTGGAAATTACTATGATTCAACTCACTCAAAAACACATTGATAAAAACAAAAATGATAGTCACATTGGGTGGTATTCCAGTAGCGCGTACTAAGTTAGCGCGTACTTAGTTATATTTCATACTTTTATGGAGTGCCTGTTGCAAACTAATTTACCTTGTACAGATTATTTTAATCCTTCAATGAAAAGTGTCCAAAAAATCAATTTTGCAATGAAATGGGAAGAAAAAGATAATATGAGTATGAACTGAATTTCAGCAAAGTCTTTGGTAGATTATCTTTGTCATGAATATTTAAGGAGAGAAATAAAACCTAGCATTCCATAGAAGTGTGAACTAAAGTTCTTGTTTAGTCTGGACTTAGTCCCGGCTTAACTTATGAGAATACCACCCAATGGCATTGAAATTACACACATATAATTAAGAATCAAACACATAAAGAAATAAGAAATATTTTACTCACACAATAAACATTTGAAACTGATGATAAATCAAAATGTATGAATCAATATCATACACTACGAATCAGCTGAAAATACACATCTTTTGGGGCTCAAAGTGTTTGGTACGTAACTGTTCTACTTTTGACTCCATGTTACACTCAAGAGTATCGCTGTTTGACCTTCATATTTATTTATACAACATGTTTTACAAACAGTTGATATCTTGAGGCATTTTACCAGTCTGTGGATGTGTAACAAAAATACTTTAACATACATAAGCCAATTTAACTAGACAATTATGGATGTTGCCTAAGTTACCTCTTAGCTGTAATTGTGTAAAGAGCTACAATGATATTCCTGTTAAAGATTACACTCAGACATTAGAATTCATTAAAAACCTAAACATTTACTCCTTGGTCATCGTTCCTGGATTCATGCATATTATTTAATCCAAATGTATATATGACAAAATTCCACTATTCACACTCAAATTACAAATACATGTACCCTCCTGCACGTTATTATAACAGGAAAAATCTGTGAATGAAAGCTGCTCCTTTTTCACAGAATGGGAAAATATACAGAATTTTTCCCCAATAAATCCATTCACTGTTAAAACTTCAATTGAGTTTTACTTTCAGTTATTAAATCCTCTTGTCATACAGGAGGGCTCCACACTAACTTTTGTTGAAAGGGGTCCAAATTGAACTTAGTCTGTACGCTTGAGTCCTATACATTCATTGTTGAATTTGATGGGGGGGGGGGGGGCATGGCCAGTGTAGGAAATGTTATCCTATTTGAGAGACTGTCCTGTGTTTATTTTTAGCCTATTTAGTCTCCCTTTACGATACCAATTTTCTTTGTTTGCATTTGCTGCAAAGGAATTAGATTTACATCGGCTCAATTTGAAAACATGATAAGCAGATTCCAAATAAAAATTGTCCCTTTCGACCATCTACTTTTGTTTAAATAACAATTTCTGTTACAGTCCATACGTAAAACAAATGGGCTTCTGACCTCAGTGAGGCAAATAATGGTTTTTGGTGCCCATGCATCAGAGGCACCTGTTAAGTTGAGCCTTGTGCATAGGATTGATATCTCTGAAAGTCACATCAAGGGCAATTAATTACACAGACACACACACACACATTCATGATCACTTGGATAGGTGATAAATGGACAAGCCACTTTCTCATTGATCACCAGCTCCCTGATGCTCTATCAGGAGTGCAGCAGCTACCTTGTATTCCTCTGTTTCCTTCAATTCTTCCTCTTGGTCCTACAGAGTGAAGAGGGGGAAATAAATTGAAATAAAGTGAGAATTGGAGTGGTAAAATATGCATGGGGGCAAAATGAGTGATAAAAATAAGAAAGTTAGAAAGGGGGAGAGAGATATATACGAGAGAGAGATAGATAGAGAGAGAGAGAGAGAGAGAGAGAGAGAGGAACACAGGAGGGGCATTAAAAAGCGGATGAAATGAGCAAGAAACAAATTTAAAGACATAGAAGGGCAAAAGAAAAAATAGAAAAAAGGAGATATGAATAGATAGATGGAAATAAGAAGGTGTAGAAGATGAAAAATGTAGTAATGAAATGAGCCAGTTCCTCATTATCACATTTTGTCTCTCATAATTATATGAAAAATTCATACGTAACAACAATAACAACAAGGGGACTAAAATATTACAAGGTTAAACAATTTGTTTTCTTTCTAAAAAGGACTACACACAATGCTTGGACACGTGGACACATAGGCCCAGCCAATGAGGGGTACTGGCATCATGGAGGGGGGGGGGGGGGGGGGGGGAGGTGGAGGTACAGGCCTTAAAACATGGATAAAATAAGCTTCAACAGTACCATCAATTAGATTAGGGGGAAAGGGTCCTGTTCCCATAGCTATGCCACTGTAGGTATTGAAACACTTGATATCGTCATGAACTTTGTGTTAGACTCGGAGTAACTCAATGAGTTAACGAGCTTGGTAGTCTACATTCAAAGACCATCACATAAACCATTATAACGTAGACTGAATAAAGTCTGTGTTAGCAACTTATGTACTTACCAATAAGTTCTTTAAGTCTCCATAGGCTGCTTTTATTCTTCTTGTGCAGTCAGGGACCATCATCTTAGATTCTTCTAGTACTTCAATCTGGTGATGTAAAATCAAGATAGGTCTCCATATGAAAGACAAGATTACACATTGCAGTAACACCAAGTTTACAAGTAAGTAAGTTCACAAATAAGATTTTGTCAAAGAAGTTAAAATTATGGATTCATTGTTTAACATTTCACCTTGATGCAAACAACTTCTATAACATTAATTCCCACCATTTCTCTATTTATTTTATTTATTTATTTATTTATTTCTGATCTTTTGACAGGGTAGCCCATTCACCAGCAAGTAGTGGTCTTCCATGGGGCCCTGAATGAACATATTTACATCGTTTATAACATTTATACAGAACAGTTACAAAAATAATACTCGTTTGCAAAATTAACATATATCATTAACCTAGTAAGCAGTAATGTCAATAGGAAAATATTAATTAAGTCGCAATTATGTGAATAAGAATAATGTAAATATTACAGAACATGCACGTAGTGTATGTACGGCTGAGCCATTCACAAATTACAACTTTGTTTAAACAATCTCTTAAATGAATTGACAGAGGAAGCCGTTCTCAACGAATTATCTAGCTTATTCCATTCAAATATGGAAGAAACAATTGGGCTACACTTATAACAATCAGTGTGAAATCTAGGCACACGTAAACATCCACTGTCTATTTGCCTTGTACGATGCTAATAAGAAAACACAGAAACATGTAACCTTTTGTATCATTTTTCTGGCAAAAGTAAGTATTTATAAGGCAATATTTGATAGGGAAAGACATAAAACCTGAATGTCACATCATAAAAAGCTACCTAACATATTTGTGTAAAAACAGTTGTACTTGATCTGCTAAAGTGTTTCAAGCAACAACAAAATACATATATATATATATATATATATATATATGGGTAATTCCATTAATTAGTGACCAACTTTGTGACATTTTTGGCGTTCCTGTAGTGTTACATAAGGAATCCGCACATATTTGTGGAGTATGATTGGTAAGTGATTCTAGGTATGAGGATGCAATACTATGCTTGGAAATCCCTTTACAATCTCACTCCTCTATTTAAGTCTTTACTCAGAGCCACAATATGCATGGGTTCCTTAATATGTAACAGGGCCACCAAAAATGTCACAAAGTGGGTCCCTAATTTATGGAATTACCCATACGATGCATACCTGTTTCCTGATTTCATATTCATCTTTTCCTCCTGCTTTGAATCTTTCCACCTTTTCTCCTTCTGTGATAACTTCCTTTTCATACATCAATTTTTCCTTAGTCAACCTATTGGTAAAGAGGACAAGGGGTGATTATTAACACATTTTTGCAATAATAAAAGGGAAAACAAGGGAAACGCTCTCGGCGGTCTCGCCTGCTTAACGAAATTCAATATGATAAACCAGAACGTCAATGACGTAGCACTCATCCGCATCTCGCAACAACAAATATCGTAAATTTTATGTGGTACACTTTTGAACTGGTCAAAAAATAAAAATTTGATGCCCTGGAAGGGACATAATTTCATTTCATTTGCATAAAGTACCATAAATAGTCAATGGAGCAAAATCTCAAAATTCTGTGTAGAAGTTTAGTGTTCCAAATTTAGCTCTACCAGATAAGGCAAACCAAATCAAAATCGGTCAAGAAATGAGGGAGAAGAAGCAACTTTTGTTATTTTTGGAATAAATTTGCATAAATTACCATAATTAATTAATGGAGAACAATTTCAAAATTCTGTGTACAAGTTTAGTGTACCAAAGTTAGCTCTACCAGATAAGGCAAACCAAATCAAAATCGGTCAAGAAATGAGGGAGAAGAAGCAATTTTTGTTATTTTTGGAATAAATTTGCATAAATTACCATAATTAATTAATGAAGAACAATTTCAAAATTCGCGGTAAAATTTTAGTGAACCAAAGTTAGCTCTACCAGAAAAAGCAAACCAAATCAAAATCGGTCGAGAAATGAAGGAGAAGAAGCATTTTTTGTGATTTCGAATAAATTTGCATGCATAAGCATAGATAATGAATTTCACGATTCTGTGTAGAAATTTTAAATCCCCCTTTTAGCCCTATCTTATGAAACAATCAGAATCAAAATCGGTAGAAAAATAACGAAGAAGTTGATGTTGATGCCACAACAAAGTCTAAGTTTGTTGACCTTAAATGACCTTTGACCTTAACATAGTGACCTGAAATTAAGCTCACACGATTGGGGAGACTTGATAACTCTATAGTCCAAGTTTCTTTGACTAAGAACTTATACTTTCAAAATTATATCAAAAATTCAAAAACTTAACCTTAGGTTAAGTTTTCGATGATGATGATGCTACAACATAGTTTGTTTGTTTGACTGATTTTATTTCTGCGTTCAAAAATATACAAATTCAAATTCAAAGTACAAAATTTCGAACAATAACAAATACAATGAATACAATGTTTACAAAAGTAATTAAATGAAAAATCATGTTCAATTATATCATTCAATAAACATGTACGAAGCATACAATAACATAAGAAATATGAAATATTTTCAATAAATTAGAGAGGTAATTTGGAACGCAGGAGACCACCATCGTGAGCGGTTAGGCTGGAGATGGATGGCGGCCTCGTAAAAAGAATTGGCGACATAACTCTCTTCGAAAAACTGAGTGACCAAGAGGGTGCGGTGCAAGTGCAGGTGCAGTGAGCAGTTGCATGATAAAGAATAAATAAGTCACGGTTTTGTTATACTAATTAGAGAGGGGGAGCATATGATTGTATTATTTGTTGTTTAAGTGTAGCTTTTAAGGAGTAGATGGTTGAACAAGACTTTATGTTGTCGGGTAAATCATTCCAAATGTCCGGGCCAGAATGTCTAACAGATTTGTGTGTTATTGATAATTTGGGGTTTGTAAGATGGAAGTTTCCAGATATGCGAGTAGAGTATGAATGAACGGAATTATTAAACCTAAACATGTTATCAAAGGATGGTGGAAGCAGATTATTAATGTACTTAAACATAATAACTGCTACTTGAGTAGTGTTCAGATCGAAATTTTTTAGTGTTTTAAGTTTATAGAATAAAGGATCAGTGTGAGCTAAGAAATGCGAACCTGTACAAATACGTATGGCTTTCTTTTGCAGTTTGAAAATAGAATTGATTTTTGTCGAACCACAATTTGCCCATACACTATTACAATATGTTATATACGGGAGAACTAGCGAATTATATAGTAGGAATAAGGTTGCATGGGGTAGAAGAAACTTTAACTTGGAGATTATTCCAATACTTTTGGAAATGCACATTGTAACTTGGTGTAAATGATCATTCCAAGTCAAGGTTTCATCTATAAGAACACCCAAAAACTTGGAATTAGTTTTCTTCTCTAGTAGCATACCATCGATTTTAATTTATATAGGTGTTTCTGTATTATGAGAATGATGTTTAAAATACATGAAATGAGTCTTTTTTGTATTAAGTGAAAGTTTATTGGATTTAAACCAATCTGATACTTTGTTAATTTCATAATTCAAAGTATTGTTTAACGAATTAAGGTCTTTATGGGAATAAAAGATATTTGTATCATCGGCAAATAAGATAAAAGAAAGAAGGGGGGATGTATTGATAATATCATTTACATAAAGAAGAAATAACAGTGGACCTAAGATGGAGCCTTGAGGAACACCGCATTGAATTAAAAGAGGATCAGAATCATAACTATTAAATGTAACATATTGTCTTCTGTTTGTTAAATAATCTTTAAACCATAAGAGTGGCTGACCCCGAATTCCGTAATGACTAAGTTTGGAGAGTAGAATAGCGTGATTGAGCGTATCAAATGCTTTACTCAAGTCACAGAATATACCTATAACATGCTCTTTGTTAGCTATGGCACTTGTAATTTTGTCATAAATTTGAATTAATGCTAAGTCAGTTGAGTAATTTTTTCTGAAGCCACATTGATTTGAATTGAGTATGTTGTGTTTAGTGATAAATTTGTGTAGCCTATTATGAACAATCTTTTCTAAGACTTTAGATATACTTGGGAGTAGGGAAATTGGACGATAGTTACTAATTTCGTGAGGATCATCTTTTTTGAGAATGGGGTTGACTTTAGCTAGTTTTAATAAATCGGGGAAAACACCTTGCGATAACGAGTGATTAAATATGTGAGTTAAAGGCTTTGCAAGTGGATACATTATTTCTTTTAGGAGAGACATACTTATTTTATCAAAACCGTGAGATTGGGTAATGTTAATAGTTTCGCTAGGATTTGTCGGATTTAAAAAGAGGGACTCTTGGTTTTGATTGGAAAGATAGTCTTTAAAGTGTGCGTGAGTTCTATTAATTTTGCTGGCGAGTTCAGGGCCGATATTCGTAAAAAATGAATTAAATGAATTTGCATGAAGACTAGGATCATGTATTTTAGTGCCATTTAATGTGATATTATCCGTGGGTGGGGGATTCGTTTTTTTTCCCATTACCTCTTTGATAATTTTCCAAGTTGCAGTTGTGTTTGAACTGGCCTTTTTTATTTTATTAGAAAAATGCAATCTACGGTATGTACGGATAAGTTTTGTTAATTTGTTTCGATAAATTTTATATGTGTTTAGGTTAGTGTCAGTTGGATTGTGTAAATGTAATTTGTAGAGGCGATTGCGTGTTTGTATTGATTTCAATAAACCTTTAGTTATCCAAGGATTCCTGGGTTTATTTCGCTTATTACTCATTTTGCCTAAAGGAATATTCTTTTCATAATAATATTGCAATTTGTTACTAAAATGTTTATATGCAGTATTGACATAATTTACACTATATACCTCAGCCCATCCCTCGAAAAATAAATCCTGTTTCAGCAATTCTATATTACGTTTGGATTCTTTGCGATATATAAGCTCATCAAATGATTTACGGCCAGATAGTTTGCATTCACAAGTTAAAAATATGGGTAGGTGATCCGACACTTCAGAACACAATATTCCACCGATGGTTTTGTTGTTATGTACGTTTGAAAAAATATTGTCAATCTGAGTTGATGAATGTGGATTTATTCTGGTGGGTTTATTAATAATCGAAAAAAAGCCGTATGAATGCATCAACTGCATACAATTGGTTGAGTTACTGTTATCAGATGAGGGTGAGAAGTTGATATTAAAGTCACCAAGGATAAAATTGTGTTTATTTTCATCCCCTATTTTATGAAGATAAAAATCCAGTTCGTCACAGAATAAATCACAATTAGAATCAGGGGGTCTATAAATCAAACCTATGATGACGTTTTTGGCATTTGAGTTATTAATTTCGATAAATAAAGATTCAGCTTGTGTTAGTTTAATATCTGAACGGATTTTGAAGTTTATGTTTTGTGTAATATAAAACGCAACACCGCCACCTCTTCTTCCTTTGCGGTCCGCCCTAATCAACTTATAATTAGGCAAATTGAACATATCTGGAGAATTCTGATGTAACCATGTCTCACTTATTCCAATGACGGAAAATGCAAAATTATTTAAAGAGTGTAAAAGGTTTTCAACGTATTCGAAATTTTTGTTCAGACTTCTGGAGTTTATATGTAAAAGTGAAATATTGTCTGGTTTGTAAGAAAATGAATTTTTGAATTCTTGGGGTGTGTAGTATTTGCTCTCGTTTATATCGTCGACAGGAATATCGGGAGTGTGCGCGTGCGAATTCATTTAACGATACGTATTATGTAAAGTACCGAAAATTTGGAGGATGAACAACTGCATGTGTGATGCTGGTGCGTTTGTGTGTGTACGAAGTGCAAGTGTGCGGGTAACTTCAAAATATAACACAAATAAAAATACAATAAGACCCATCTTGGTCACAGTTACAATAATTGCTTAGGAGCAACAGAGCGGAGCCCGACCGCCCGAGTAAAGGGTGTATTTTTGACACGCAAAATAGAGGGGCTGGGAAGAAACAAAATGCTTGATAACAATAATGACAAATCGGAGTACGATTATTAAATGGCAAAGAGGGATTTGACATTCCCGCTCATCAAAACTAGTTCAGTCTATAACAATGGATTTTGTGATTGACACAGGAGTTTTGCAAAACAAAGAGATTTGTTGTGCGGAGGAGAAAAATGTATGCATGTTAAAACAGACTCTGAGATGATGCTTAATAGCAATAACGTCATTTCGGAGTACAATAATATTAAATGGCAAAGAGGGTTTTGACATTCCCGCTCAAAAAACAAAAAAAAGTTCAGTCAATTACAATATAACAGATAGACTCAAATTTTTGGAATGCTATACAGATAATAATTATTGATAAAGAGTG